ATATCATCTTCTTTAGCACCTTACTTGATGCCAACGCTCAGATTATATACATTTATCTCTTTTGTCATGTGTACCATGGAATTTTCTATAATTCTGAGTCACATGTTAAGGATAGTTTTCAAGACTGCATTTCAATATCCCAAATGAAATGCTTTCTTAAAATGAACTAGAGGGAATTTATATTCTCTAATCAACCATGTGACCATAAAGATATGATCTGCTATAAAAAATGATTTATGAATGTTTTCTCTTATGTTTTTGTTGGTAATACTCTCAAAATTTTAATACACTAAGTATGTAGGCCAGTCGTTGCCAGCATCTACCTTTTTTGTTGATGGCATAAAAACATTTGTGTTATTTTCCATTAAAAATTTCTCAAGATATCTTTAAAAATTGATAACTGCTTATTTTAAATATAAATGCTCTCTGGCACAGATTATTGCCATATGTATTTGCTCAGTCAGTCATTCTGTCTGCATTCATCTTTAAGGAACTGGAAAAATTATTTTAAAAAAATACCATTTTGATGCTGTGTAGATTTCCCCCAACCTGTTAGAGCTCTTGCCCTTGTCCATAGGTATCATTCAAACAGGTAGAACTAATAAAAACCCCTCTTCTATTTCCTGGCAGGAAAGGAACATTTGGGAAGGGAGAGTCCTTGTTCCAATGGACAAGGTGGTTGAGATGGGGGAGGTGGGCAAATATGCTTAAATCCCTAACTGACACTCTGAATGCATTTTTAAAATGCAGAAATATTGTGATTCATGACTGTTAATAATCATTTATTAAGTAACTACTATGTGACCAAGCACGTGTTAGGGATAAAAATATAAAACAGTCTCTGTCCTAAAGAAGATTAAATTTTATATGGGGAGATAATGTGCATATGTAAAGCATATACAAGACATATAAAATATGTACAAGGCACTTTTTTGGTGTGTGCGGGGGAAAGGTTCTGTCCTCCTATTGTTGTTCAGTCATGTCCAACTCTCTGTGACCCCATTTGGGTTTTTTTTTGGCAAAGTCACTCAAGTGGTTTGTCATTTCTTTCTCCAGGTCATTTTACAGATGAAGAACTGAGACAAATGGGGTGAAGTGACTTGCCTAGGGTCACACACCTAGTAATTCTGTGAGGTCAAATTTGAACTCAGAAAGAGGAATCTCCCTGACTCCAATCCCAGCACTCTGTCTACTTTACCATGTAGCTGCCCACCAATCCTCCTATTAGTAGTAGTATTCTTGAGCTCAATGGATTTAATGGCTGGCCAGAAAACATGACCATTGTATTGTTTCATGGGAAAATTAACTCAAGCATCTAAACAACCAATTTAGAGATGAATATTTGGAACCACAACCTGTTTTTGAGGTATGGCCTTTGTGAATATAAGTCTTGATTCTGCGATTAAATAAGCTCTAGAGGCAGCAGACACGATGGTGGATAGAATGCTGAGCCTGGAGTCAGGAAAACCTGAGCTCAAATTCAATTTTAGTTATTTATGAGCTGAATGCGGTAGGCAAGACAATTAACCTCAGTTTGTTCAATTGTAAAATGGGGCTAATAACAGCACCTACTTTGTAGGGGTGTTGTGAGGATCAAACGTGATTAATATTTGTAAAAAGCACTTAACAGTGCCTGGTCCGTAGTAGGTGCTATATAAATGTTTATTCCCTTACTATCTTAAAGACAGTGACAATAATATGTATTTCTTTAAAAAAAATCTAAATTTTATTGATATATTTTGTTTTTTATCCATCAAAATTTCGCTTATCCCTCTCCCTTTTCCTCTTGCAGGGACCCATCAAATACACACACACACACACACACACACACGTACGTTTTGGTGAGGCAATTGGGGTTAAATGACTTCCCCAGAGTCACACAGCTAGTGAGTGTTATGTGTCTGAGGTCACATTTGAACTCAGGTCCTAACTCCAGAGCCAATGCTCTATCCACTGCACCACCCAGCTGCCCCCAATATTTTTTTAAAACTTAAAGAGAAAAAAAAATCAGCAAAACTAATCAATACATGAAATATGTCTGAAACACCGCCACGGACCTCCCATTTTTTGCAAAGGAATGGGATGGGGGTATCTTCTCATATCTCTGCATTTTTGCAACATTCATTTTTGATCATTTTGTTATTCTTTCCATTTATACTGTGCATGGTGTTTTCTTGGCTCTGCTTCTCTGCATCAGATTGTGTAGTTTCCATGTTTCTTTGTATTCATCATATTAATAATTTCTTATTTCACAGTAATCATGTACCACAATTTGCTTAACCATTTCCCAACCAATGAGCATGTATTTTGTCATTATTTCTTTTGAATCTCTTAGAATCTCTACTACAGTGCTATGTGGTTAACAGAATGTCAGGGCCAGAGAGGATTCTTGGGGATGATGTAGTTCAAGACCATTACTAGAGGGCCCCATTCAGACTAGAGGGCCCCATCTTCCCCACCCCTGGCCTAGGCAATCTATGACTAATCAATAGTTAAATTGATGTTTTAAGTTCTTTCTCCAGAAGTAGCATTACCTACTTCACAGAGTTGGTATAAAAAATGTACTTTGAAACCAGAAAGCACTACATAAACGTGAGCTATTATATCATCTCTACTTCATCCATCCATACCCTTTTGCTTTTATCTTCTTCCACCTTTGATTTTTAGTAATAGCTAGGGACATAGACAAAATGGCACTTAGGAAAGCCAGTTCTAACAATAATCTGCTCAATGGTCCTTGGCATATCATTTAACCTTTTTGGTCCAGTCTAAATCAGAAATTTTTATTCAGGTAATCGAATGGGTAACTCCAGGTACAGAGGTCAGTAAATGTGAGCTAAGGTTTGGAGGTAATGCAGCCCTATTAAAAGCACTATTTGACTGGAACCTAGCAGCTAGAGTCATAGACTTTATAGAGCTGTAAAGATCCATATATTTATATCTTAGCTGGGTCAGTATTTCCTTAGCACTATCAAATCATCAAATAATAATGAGGGGAAAATATTCTCATTCAAGTTAATACCTTTTCTTTTTTACCTTTTTTTTAATTAAAGTTAATACATTTTCACTATGCACCTATTACCTATATGAGCCCAGATTTAGCATGTCAGTATTATTCTGAGCTTCATTTTCCATTTCTAAAAAATGAGGGTCTGGAACTACATCATCCCCAAGAATCCTCTCCAGCCCTGACATTCTGTTAATCACATAGCACTGTGGTAGATACTCTAAGAGATAAAAAAGAAATAAAAGACAAAGTACATGTCCATTGATTGGGAAATGGTTAAACAAATTGTGGTACATGATTACTGTGAAATAAGAAATTGTTAATATGATGAATACAGAGAAACATGGAGTTACACAATCTGATGCAGACTGAAGAAAGCCTAGGCCAAAGATCCTTTCCCTGACTACCAAACTTTCCCTCATACTTATCTAGGTCACCATATCTTTTCCATATCCAAATCCCATCCTACCATGCCCTTTGGAATCCCCATTCTACTGTTAATTTACTCTTCAAATTAGACATATGCCCTCCTTTTGGAAGTTACTTTTTGTATATTTTTTGCATTTAATTTTTCATTTACATGTTATTTATTTCTGATGGAATGTAAGCTCCTGGAGCTTTCTTTTTCTGTCTCTGTATTCCCAGCAGCTAGCACAGTACTTGCCATATTTGTTTGGCTGTTTTTCAGTCTTGTCTGACTCTTCATGATCTCATGTGGGGTTTTCTTGGCAAAGATACTGGAATGGTTTGCAATTTCCTCCCTCCAGTTCATTTTACAGATAAGGAAACTGAGGCAAATAGTGTTAAGTGATTTCCTCAGGGTTACACAGCTAGTAAGTGTCTGAGGCTGGATGTGAAGTCAGGAGGACTCCAGGCCTGGCACTCTATCCACTGCCACCTAGCTTATAGTAGGTACTTAATACCTGTTGAGTTGAAACGAATGATGGTATTATCTTTGTATACTCTGGTAGGAGTCTTTAAAATTAACAACAAAACAATTAGTCATCAAGAGTTGAATAGTTGGGCAGCTAGGTTGCACAGTGGAGAGGGCACCGGCCCTGAAGTCAGGAGGACCTCAATTCAAATCTGGCTTCGGACCAAACACTCGACACTTACTAGCTGTGTGACCCTGGGCAAGTCACTTAACCTGCACTGCCTCACCAAAAAAAAAAAAAGAGTTGAATAGTTAAGCTCTTTTTTTTAAGGTTTTTTTTTTCTTTTAGGCAATTGGGGCTAAGTGACTTGCCCAAGGTCACACAGCTAGTAAGTGCCAAGTGTTTGGTCTGAGGTGGGATTTGAACTCAGGTCCTCCTGATTCCAGGGCCAGTGCTCTATCTACTGTGCCACCTAGCTGCCCTGGTTAAGCTCTTTTTTAAAAATTAATTTAAAAATTCTGAACCTATCAAATAATATGAACATTTTTATATATAGTGGGGAAGAGGAGTTATATAGAGCTTACAGAGTTATAAGAGCTTTTTTCCAACAGATAAATGGTCAAAGGATTTAAAAAGATGTCAAAAGAAGAAAGGCATCGGTAAGTTCTTTCTTCAGAACTAGCATTATCTAACTCACAGAGTTGGAATGAAAAATGTACTTCGTAAACTGGAAAATACTACATAAATGTGAGCTACTGATTGATACACTCCATTTTAGCTCTTCTCTGACACTTTATCAAGGAATGGAGGCTGTTACTTCTGAGTTTCTAAGCCTCTTTTAGACAAGTAAAAATTCTAGGAATATAAACTTCCAAATATAAAATCTCTAAAAGTGTTTTCGGTGTGGGTCTTTCCTATGGAAAACAAGAGAGGCTCCTCTCACCAGAAGATAATTCCTGTGGGCCTTAGGAACTCTTTCAGACAATTTGCAAAGAAGCAAGAAGGGGCTGTGATTAGCGGGGAGGCTGCCCACACCGGGGAAAGTCGGGGAACCTCTGAGTCTGTACACATTTTTCGTCCCCCCACCTCTTCTTCCCTCCCCGCCCCCGTACCTACAGAATCCTAGGCGGGAGAAAGGCGGCCCGCCATCCCGGGGGATCTTCCCGGGGGCTCATCCCGCCTGACTCGCCCCGGGCCCCGGGCAGTGGGCAGGCTGCCTTTCCGGGCAGGGTGGGGGGCGCGGAGAGAAAAGCGAAATGTCCCGGAAGCCCAGCCGGGACCCCGGCCACTTCCGCTCGCCTCGCTTCCCCCGGTTTCCGTAGGCCGGTCCCGGCTTAGTTTATGGTCCTGGGAAAACGAGCGTCACTTCCTCGGCATCCGGTCCCGGCGGGGAGGCTGGACTTCTGCGCTCAGCCCTCGAGCTCCCCGACCCCGGAGCGCCCCGAGAAGTAGCAGCAACACACACCGGGGCCCAAAGACCTGCGGGCGATTAGGGATGCGGGCGCCGGCCGGATGACGTCATCGAGGCCGCGTCGCCGCGCGCCGCGATGACGCCAGGCGCCGGCCGGGGCCGTCTGCAGGCAGGGCCCCGAACTGGAGGGACGGTAGCCCGCCAGCCGTGGCCCGGAGCGGGGACATGAGGAAGAGGCGGCGGCGGGAGGCAGACGGAGGCGGGGCCGCCCAGCGGCGGTAGCAGCGTCCCTGGGGGTGGCAGGTGTAGCTCCGGGGCAGGAGCGTCACCTCTTAGCCCCCCTTTCCCAGTCAGTGGCCGCGTTCGGGGCTGGTGGCGGCGGCGCCTCCCTTAGTCCGCCACCATGTTCCGGAGGGCGCGACTCAGCGTAAAGCCCAACGTGAGACCCGGGGCTGGCGGCAGGGGCCCGGCCGCTCCCGAGCCGCCGCGCGGCCAGCAGGCTCCCCGAGAGCCCGAGCCGGCCGACCCGCCGCCGCTGCCGCCAGCGCCCGAAGCAGCCGAGACCCCGCCGGGGCCCCCGCTGGATCCCGGGGGAGCCGAGCCCCCGGAGGACGAGGCGGCCGAGTATGGGTAAGAGCCGGCCGCGCAGCCCCGAACCCCCTCCCGCCTCTGCCCCAGGGCACGAGTCCGGGAACATTTAGTGAGCGCCGCGTGCGGCTGGGTGAGCGGGGCTGAGCGCCAGGGTTACACCTGCCCTGGGGGGGCTCCCGGTGCAATGGGGGGGGGATGGAGAGAGGGAGAGGCAGAGAAAACAGCTTTGTCTGCAGAAGAGAGTGACCCGAAAGTGTCAGTGCAGTTTTGAGCTATTAAAACTCAAGACTTTTGGGACACAATCTAGGATAGTTATCCAAGGGAAGGCACTAGTATTGAAGGATTGCGAATGACTTCTTTCGGAACGTGAGGTTTTAACCGGCTCTTGACGGGAGCCAGGAGGCAGTGAGGAGCAGAGAATTTCAGGCGAGGAGTTGGGATGTGTGGTATCTTGTGGGAGGAACACCAGCTCCCCAGCATGTGGTGATTTACTCATCTCCTTATCCAGCCCTAACCTTCAACTCCTTACACATCTTCAGCTGCCTGTTGGACATCTCCAGTGGAGGGTTCTTAGAAAATCAGCATGCCCAGAACTGAACTCATCTTTCTCCCCAAAGCCTCTTCTCTTCCTAATTTATCTATTACTGTTGAGGGCACCACTTGTTAACCTAGACTCACAACTTATGTGTCAACATCAACTCTTGACTCTCACTGCCCCCTTATCTTCCAGTCCAGTCTGTTGCTAAATACTGTGGCTTTTACCTTCATAATATCTACTGTATATACCTGCTTCTCTGCCACTGCTGCTGCCTTAGTGTAGGCACCATCATCTCACACCTGGACAGTTGCAATAGCACTGGACTATTGCAGTAGTGGCCTTCTGCTTGTTTTCCCCCACTCTGATCTATCCTCCACTTAACTGTCGGATTAATGTTCATAAAGCAGAAGTCTGACCATGTCACCCTCCTCTTCCTCTGATTCCAGTACTGCCTTGTTAATTCCAGAATCCAATATAAAATTCTCGGTTTTGCTTTTAAAGCCCTTTGTAACCTGGCCCCATCCTACTTTTCTGAAACCTTACTCTCCTCCATGTACTCTTATATCCAATGACACTGGCCTTCTTGCTGTTCATAGTAAAAGGCACTCCATCTCCATGTCTGGAGTTCTTTCTCTCCTCATTTCTACCTCCTGGCTTCCCCGTCTTCCTTCAGGTCTCAACTAAAATCTCACCTATGCCTTTCCTAATCCCACTTAATGCTAGTACCTTTCCCCTGTTGGCTGTCTCTAATTTATCAAGTATATAGCTTGTTTGTACATAGTTGTTTTTATGTCATCTCACTCATTAGACTGTGAGCCCTTTGAGAGCAGGGCATGTTGGGTTTTTTTTGCCTTTGTATTCCAAGCACTTAGAGTGCCTGGTGAATAATAGGCACATAAGAAGTACTAGTTGGCTTGAGGAACAACAAGGAGGCTAAGGTCAGAAGAGTACATGAAGGGAGAGTAAAGGTAGAATGGTAGCTTTTAAGATGCTTTGACAACTAAACTGAAGCTTTTTAATTTTATCCCAATAGGGCACCACTGGAATTTGTCGGGTAGATCAGTGATGTGGACAGACTTGTGTTTTAAGAAGATCAGTTTAACTGAGTAGAGAATATATGTAAGTGGGGAGAAACTTGAGGCGGGAAGACCAACCAGCAGACTATTGCAGTAATCTAGGTGTTAGATAAAAAGGCCCTGCACTAGGGTAATGATGGTGGTGATGTATGGCAGGGACCATATAGAAGAGATATTATAAAGATGGAAATAACAGGAGTTGACCTCTGATTGGATATTGGGGAGGGGAGAGAGTGAGGTGTCAAGGTTGACACCTATGATGTAAGCCTGAGTGACTTAGAGGATGACATCCTCAACAATAATAGTGAGGTAGGAAGAGGGGAATGTTTTAGGGGAAAGATAATGTTCAGTTTTGGACATGTTGAATTTAAGATACCATGGGATATCCATTTCAAGATGTCTGATAGGCAGTTGGATTGTAGAACCAGTGAGAGGTTAGGGTTGGACAATTAGATCTGAGAGTTACCTACATAGAGATGGTAGTTGAAACCAAGTGAAATAGTACAGAGGGAGAATAAGGCCCAGGACAGAGTCTTGGGTAACCCAAACCAAGGAGATTGAGGAATAGTAGATAGGTTGGAAGAAAACCGAGAGAGAGTAGCGTTATGAAAACCTAGAGAGAAGAGATTCTCAAGGAAAAGAGGATGATCAACAGTATTAAAGGCTGCAGAAGGATGAGAACTGAGAAAAAGCTATTAGAATAGAGTATTAAGAGATCATTAGTAACTTGTGAGAGAACAGTAAAAGTTAAGACAATGAGAGGAAAGAAAATGGAGGCATCATTGAGGTCTGCTCAATGAATTTAGCCACAAAAGGTAGGAGGGATAAAAGGATGATAGCTAGCAGGGATGGATGATCAGATAAAAGTTCTTTTGAGGATGGAGTAGAGGTGGACATGTTTGTTGGCGGTAGATAAGCAGCCCATAGAGAGAGAACAAATGAAGATTAGAGAGAAGTAGGCCTGATAGAGGGGCATTCTGCTTGAGGAGATGGGATGGAATGGGATTATTTGTGCATGTAAGCCATCTCTTCCTGTGAAACGGGGATGAATGATGAGATAGTGGAAGAAGGCATCTCAGTGATGTAAGATGAGAAATAGGGAGAAGAGGGAGTTCTTAGTGAGTGGCCTCAATTTTTCAGTAAAATACGAGGCGAAGTTCTCAGTTGAGGGGGCAGGTAGAGTAAGGGGAGCTTTAAGAGTTTTGAAGATAAATTTAGAAATTTGGTACATCTGCTGTGGTGAGTGGGCTGATAAAAGATTATAATCTGACAAAAGAATATGTGAATTCATTAACATGGAAGTGGAACACTTAGGGGTGATTAAGGTTAAGGGTATGATTGTTGTCTGTAGTTGAGGTGGAATGGAGGAGTAGGTCAGGTGAGTTCAAAAGACTGAGGAACTGATAAGTTAGGGTATTTGAGAGAACATTAGTATGTTGAAGTATTCTAATATGAAGGGAAATGAGGAAGAAAGACTGAGGTAATGAACTCATTGAGGAAGGGAAGAGAATGTCCTGAGCGATGGATAATAGCCACAGAGATTCTGATTGGGAGATAATTTTGGATGTCTTGAATCTCAAAGGAAGAGATGATGTTTGGTAAAGGAGAGTGGAGAAAGCACTTTAAGGTTGGCAGGTGCTTTACAAATGTTACCTCTTTTGAGCTTCACAATACCCCTATGAAGTAGGTGTTGTTAATGTCATTTTACAGGTGGGAAAACTGAAGCAGATAGAAGTTAAGAGATTTGTTTAGTTAGTAGATGTCTTGAGGCAGTATTTGGAATCAGGTCCAAGAGACTCCCAAGTCTGAGTGACTTAAAGTCCAAGGGACCAGTGAGGGACGGAGAGAGAAAATGAAAGCAAACAAATAACATTTTTGCAATTCTTTTTTTTTTAATTTTAATTTTTAGGCACTTGGGGTTAAGTGACTTGCCCACAGTCACACAGTTAGTAAGTGTCAAGTGTTTGGTCTGAGGCCAGATTTGAACTCAGGTACTGCTGACTTCAGGCCTGGTGCTTTATCCACTATGCCACCTAGCTGCCCCTATTTATGCAATTCTAAGGTGCCTTAAGTGTCATTTATAGAAGAAACTCAAAATAACTTTATTAATTTCCAACTAATTAACATGAGAAGATATCCTAACTTCAGCACTTGTGTTGTCATCAGACAAAAGAGCAGCTCCCTGGTGTACCTTAGATCGATGCAGAGTTTGCACTCTTGCTTGTTGTCCCTGGCTGCCTAGAAAAACATGATGAAATTTATTCAAAATATAGCTCCTGAGGCACACAACAGATTATTCCTATACTTCAAAAAGAATAGATCTTTTTTAACCAAACTTTAATGGAACCATTGCAGACATCCTTTGTCTTACTCAAATCCATGCCATACTTGCAAGGAAAAACTCCAGGTTCTAGAGAATGAATTCCAAGAATAGGCAAGATTCTTTGATGAACAGGATCAATTTCAGTTATTCTTGAGTCCCTACCAAGGCTGGTAGAGCTTCAACCTGCTCTATTCTCATCTGCTATTAAAGCCAAACCCACTTAGCCCTCAGAATTTAGGCGACTTTGGAGCAAATTTAACACTCATCATACCCTCCATGCATTTAGTAGTACTTAGTAGCTCTTGCAAGGTGATAGCCATGGCTGGCTTAAAGGAGCTTCTACAAGAAGCATGGCACCACAGGGCAGCCTCATTCTGAGTGCTGGGCTTGTCCTTAGCCTCTCACATAATCTTAACTGGGCTCTCACTGTGGCAAGGCAGTCTTTGCATACCCTTCTCATTGTTTCACTATCCCACTCATCACAGTAGCTTTTCTAAATCTTTTCTTTCCTCCTCAAAATTCCCTTGGCTTTTTCCCCATCACTTTCCTAGCTGAGCACCTTGTCTCATATTTTATTGGAAAATTGTGACTGTTCACAGAGAGTTCCCTCTTCTGTTCCTCATCTCACATCACTTGGATGCCTTCAGCTATTTCCTCCTTCACTCCTATCTGACATGAAAAGGTGGCCCTTCTCTTTGTCAAGGCAGGCAGACCCCTCTGTGCTGTGCAGTGATCCCATTCTATCCTGTCTCCTCCAGCTAATTGCCCCCTTTCCTCCTGTATCATCTCCATCCTGTCACTGGCTTCACTGACTTTCTCAAGCCTCAGCAAAAGTCCCACCTTCATAAAACCTTTGCTGCCCTCCCCCCCCTTAATGCTAGAAAGTTACATCTGAGGTTCTGTCCAATTTCTCTTATATATATCTTGTTTGTATATAATTGCTTGCATATTGTCTCCCCCTTTAGTCTGTGAGAACAGAGATTTTTTTTTTGCCAGTGCTTGGCAGAAAAGCCTGGTACATGGTAGGTATTTAATGAATGCCTATTGACTTGACCTCTGCTTCATTTGACATTGTTGATTATCTCCTTCAGGATATCCTGTCTTCTCTTGAGTTTTCATGACAACTCTCTCCTGGTTTTCTACCTGTCTGTCCAGCTGCTTTGATTAGTCTCCTTTGTGGTTCTTCATCCATGTCACAACTGTTAACTGTGGGCTTCTCTCACAGCTTTGCCTTGGGTCTTTTTTGTATTCTGTATTATTTGGCTTGGTGATTCATAAGCTCTCATTGGTTTCATTATGATTTCTGTACAGATGATTCCTAGGTGTCTGTTTCTAGCCCTAATCTCTCTTCTGAACTGATGGCATCTGAATAAGTAAGATTATACCACATTTATCTTAGTACTTGTTTGTGGTTTTAACTGAAATAAGTTTTAAAATTAGAAAATAAATGTTTATGGTAAATATTTTAAGATAGTTCACGATATACATTTTAATATTTCAACAGTGATGAAACACCTGCTGGGAATGATGCTGGACAATCCAGTAAATCTTCACCGGCTGTTTTACAAAGAAGAAAGCGAATATCAACTGTGCCTAGTCCTGCTAAACCTAGTGCCCCTTCTCCATCAGTTCCCCAGGACTTGTGCACTGTTCAACAGGAAGCACCTCAACCAAGTCCCCTTCCAGCAAAAGAGAAGCAGCCATGCTCAGATCGTTATAGGATACTCAAAGCTCAAAAGCTGAGAGAAATGCTAAGAGAGGAAATGACAAAAAGAAGGGTAAGGACCTCCATTAAGAATGGGATAGGGAGAAAGAATGAAATTTTGATTCTGTAATTTTACTGGAATTCTGTTCAAGTGTCAGTAAACTATATCTTGGGAATTGTTACCTGGAAAAAAAATCCATGGAGTCTTGTACCCATGCAAATATATCTCTCTTGATTCTTTTGTGGGAGACTGTAATGAAAGACAGCATGGTTTGTTATATAAATTCTGTTTCTTTTGTAAAAGGCCTTTTTTCTTTTAAAAATGCTTTACCAGTTTTTGGGTTTTTTTTTTTTAACTTCATTGTCCCTTCTTGGTACTAATTTGTATAGAACCTTCCCTTGCAACAAATAGTACAGGTAAGCAAATCAAACTTACTTGTTGATAATTTCTAAATGGGTATATCTCATTTGATAATATACCACCCCTTTTCCATGGAGAGTATTTATTAAATTAATTTGAATTCTTACAGCTTTTAAGCATTGTTTTCCATTATATTATCATGGTGGTTGTGTCTATTGTTCTTTTGGTTCTGCTCACTTCATTATGTATCATTTCAGACAACTTCCCAGGTTTCTTAGAATCCCTCATTTTTATCATTTCTTATGGCAAAATAATATTTCATTAAATTTATATAATACAATTCAGTGACTTTCTAATAAACATGAACCTACTTTGTTTCCAGGTTTAATTTTTTGCTACCATAAAAAGTACTGCTATACATATTTTGGTTCATATAGGGTCTTTCCATCTGTCTTTATCCTACTTGGGATATATGCCAGAAACTCATGTTGCTGATCAAAAGGGTGTGAACTACTTAGTCACTGTTCTTTCATAGTTTCAAATTGTTTTCCATAATGATTGGAATAATTTGCAACTTTTATTAAGCTTAATTTTAATTTGTGTACTTTCATATTTAATACTTTGTTTTTAAAATATTAGACCAAAACAATCATTTTCAAATAAGGATTTCCAAGTGATATGAAGATTTATTTAGTTCAAGGAATATGTGGTGTTTTGCATGAGAAGCTGCTGTACTGTTGAGAAAATGAAAGATGATAAAACTCATTTTTCAGTGAGAGAGTAAAATTGATCAGATTATGGAAATAGCAAATGTACAGGTGTTTAGGCTTTTAGGATGTGAGTATATAGGAGGATATTCTAATTTTAAAAGTAGTTGAATTTATACTTTTAATATATAAATTTTAAATGTTTTATGTGGTATAGTGAGGATCTACTGAGAGCTTCATCTGGGTGAGAGTTTGTCTGGTTTATCGGATTTAATCTATGTTAATGAGAATATTATACCCCAAGCCCTTAGAGGATCATGGTTCTTAGGACTTGCACTAATGGTCACTATAATACCTAGGAGGCTGAACCCTGTTAAATAAGCATTCAGTTTTGTTTGAAAGGGACTTAATGGGTACTAGTAAGCACATGGATTATGAAGGTTGTTCTTATCTCTCTCTCTCTATATATACACACATCTATCAAAAATAACTCTCTTATATTGACAATAGAATCTATTACTTTTATTTCCGAATGAAAGATGGTAGCAAGTAGATAACTTTTCCTAAGTACAGTTAAACTTACTCAGTCTTCACAACTCTTAGTGAAGAGAGGGGGACAGAGAGAAAAAAAAAAGTGCTGGTTGCTACTTTATCCTTAGGAAGGGTGAAAGTTGAGGATACCTCTTATCCTGCTGTCTGCCAGGAAAAGAGCTAGAGCAATTTCTCCTTTGTGTACCAGAAGTGAAAGAAAAAAACTGGAGGACAGAATCAACAGGCCCCTCCTGGAAAAAGCCTTTAAACAAAGTACAACACTCATTTAGGCTAAAAACTCAAAAGTATGCATAGAGTGATTTTTTTTTCAATATTGGAAAATTATCTGTCAAAAACCGAAAATTAGCATTATATTCAAAGTGCAAATACTAGATGCTTTCTCAATAAAGACTGGAGTAAAGATGTACTTTTTCCCCAGTATTATTTGACATGGTTTTAGAAATATTAGCAATAGGAATGAGATAAGAGAAAGAATAAAGGCATAAAAATAAAGAGAAGACAAAACTATCACTCTTTGCTGATGTTATAATTGTTCCTAAGAAAATTCTAGGGAATCAGAAAAGAAATCAGTTCTGAAAATTAACAATTCATTAAATTTTGGACAACAAAGTAAACCCACATCAACTGGCAGCATCTTTATATACTAACGTAAAATCTAGTTTCCGTCTTACTCTTTTCCAGTTTTCCCAGCAGTTTTTTTCAAAGAGTGGGTTCTTATCCCAGAAGCTGGGGTCTTTGGGTTTACCAAATAATAGATTACTATAGTCATTGACTACTGTGTCTTGCATATTTAACCTATTCCACTGATCCACCTGTTTCTTAGCCAGTACCAAGCAGTTTTGATGATTGCTGCTTTATAATGCAATTTAAGATCTTTAATTGCTAGGCCACCTTCCCTGCATTTCTTTTCATTAGTTCCTTTGATATTCTGGACCTTTTGTTTTTCCAAATGAATCTTGTTATTATTTTTCTAACTCTACAAACTAACGTAAAATCTAAGAGTCAATGTTAGAAAGGAATGTTCCATTCGGAGTAAATGCAAAATGTATCAGATATCTGGGAATCAGTCTGCTAAAGCACATTCAATACTTATGTAGATGTTACCATAAAACATGACTTCAAGAAATAAAGACCAACTTAAATAATTGGAGAAAAATTCTGTGTTCCTGACTGGGTTGAGCTAACATAATAAAAAATGACAGTGCTACTGAAATTAACTTACAATTAATTAATAAAGTTCTCTCCCATTCAGACTACTAAAGAGACACTTTACAGAGTAAGATATGATAACATTCATTTGTAGGAACAAAAGATTTGACATAGCTACAGAATTAATGAAAAGAGGTGGAAATGAATAAGAAAAGCACTTCCATATCTCAGACTGTATTATAAAGCAAAGATCACAAAAACGATTTGATACTGGTTAAAAAAATCAAAAAAGTAGACTAATAGAATAGACAGGGAAGAATCAGAAATAATTGAACTCAGAAAACCAGTGTTTGATAAACTCTAAAGCATAAATTGCCTAGTTTGAAAGAACTCACTTGAGAAGAACTACTAGAAAAAATGAAAAGTAGTTTGTTAGAAATTACATTTAGAGCAACATTTTACACTATATTCCATAGTAAATTAAAAACGTGTACATAACCTGAATATTAATGGTCATGCCATAAAAATTAGAAGACAAGATAATCATCACAAACCTTCCACTGCTATGGCTAAGGAGGTGAATTCAGTATCAAACCAGGAATAGAGGCATTAAATTGAAAATTTGTTGCCTAAACAAAATTAATACAACTAAGATAAGGGAAGTGGTTGTCTGGGGAAAATCCATGAAATATCTTTGGTAAGGGTCTAATATCAAAAATTATATATAGACTACATACAAAAATAAAAGACCAGAGGCCATTCATTGCTAGATAAGTAGTCAAAGGACTTGAGCAAACTGTTCTCAAAAAAGAATTGCAAATTAGTAACCATACTATGAAACAATGTTCCAAATCACTAATAATGAAAGAAATGCAAACCAAAACAACTTAGTAGTTTCAGTTCACACCTGATAAATTGGTCAAGATGACAAAAGATGGGCTTAGTCCATGTTGGAGGGGTTGTAGAAAGATAGATACACTAGAAATCCTGAATGTGGAGTGGTGGAGTTGTAGACTGTAGACTAACTATTCTGGAAAGAATTTAGACTTATACAAATAAAGTGACTAAAATGTCAATTTCCTTTGACCCAGAGGTTGTACTCCAGTTCTACCCAAAGGAGATCAGGACAAATGGAAAGTCCTCATGTATGCCAAAATATTTATAGCAACACTATTTATCATAGCAAAGGGCTAGGGAATAGCTAAATAAATCGTGGTACATGAATGTAATGGAATATTACTATACTGTAAGAAATGATGACCATGATGTATTCAGAGGAGCATTGGAAAGACTAATATGAACTGATGCAAAGTCAAGCAAGCAGAACCAGGAAAACTATACATACAATGACTACATCAATGTAAATGGAAAGAACAACAAAATGATCAAAACTTAATACTGTGAAATTATAATGAACAAGCTTGACCTCAAGGAAGAGATAAGAGAAGATGCCCCTCAATCCCCTGCTTCTTTGCATGCGTTAGAGGTCCTGTGATTGTGAAGCACCACGTATCAGACCGTTTTTAATATGTTGGTTAGTTTTGTGAAACTTCTTTTTCTTTTTTATTCATTAAAAGGATGACTCTGGGAGGAGGGGTATGGGTGGGGTATATACAGTGGGAAATATAGGTGATGTGAAAGCAAGAAGTCACACTTTATCAGGTAGAACAAAAGGGATTGAAAAAGCCAAGAACTTTTGTTCATATACCCACTAGGAAAAGAGTGAATAGGTAGAGCAGAAGGAATACTACACCTCTGCTCCCCTTGTGTAAGGTAGAGAAAGGGAACTACAGGGCCTAGATTGTTGTTCCTCGGTTGAATAGGAAGAGAAAAAGAATCCAGAGAAAAGTTCCTCAAAAGATCCGGATCTTAAAAGTTCTGCCTAGTATTTGCAGTCAGTTTAGGTCACCAGTTCTTCCTCTTGAAGGTAGGAGGCAACACTGTACTTTTCTGTTTTTGAAGCCACTTCTTAAAATAAGAGATTCCCCCCTTTTTAAGGAACAAATAATTTCTGGATCAAAGGGCACCTGATTGAATGATTTTTGTCCTGAGACCTTTTGTTCTGGTTTGGAGCCCAGTGAGGGGAAGGGTAGATTTTTTTTTTACTCCTGTGTTCCCCTCCTTCCCCCCGCCCCATTCCATACAGCTAGAAAAGAAACCTGGTGTCAGTTTATAACTTGATTTTACTGAGAATGGCTGACCTGGCAAGCTCCTAAAATTTGAAGAATTCCATACCAGTGTTAAATGAGAAGTCATTTGCTTTGTCACCCAAGTTAAATAACCTTGAAAATCTTAGGAATGGGATACATTTTGAACATATCACAAAAATCATGATGTATTCCACTTTGTATAAGCGTATATGTACAAAATAAGAGCAAATTTAATTAAATCAAGTTCAGATTTAAATAGAAAATTTAAGTTTGGAACCATGCAGTTGTACTTGTGGGAATATTTTTATAGTCCTGAGTAGTGATATTTATTATGTCCAAGGATATAAACAGGTTGCTCACTCTTACAGTAGGGGTACAGATAGGTACCAGACCTGTAATTTCATTGATAACAAGGAACTCCTGAATGAGGAGCCCCTCTACAGTACATGTTGGCACCTTCAGGTTAGAGGCTTGGAGAGTTGTTTAGAGCATTGAAAGGTTAACTGGCTTGTCCAGAATCAAACAGCCTGCAGTTGTCAGAGGTAGATTTCTTGGCTCTGAGATCAGCTTTCCATCCACTGCACAATTGCTGTCTTTTTGAATTGTCATTGTGCTTTCAGAAAAGATTGCATCAATTCGAAGTTTGACCAGCCTTTTAATAGTGTCTGTTTCTACATAGTCCTGAATTTTATTGCTTTTAATTATCTTTGCCAATTTAAATGTCATGTATTTCCAGATTTAATTTAACTTGAGAGGCAGCATGACATATTAAAAAGAGCATTCAATTTAAGTTATTGAGGACCTGGGTTCAAATCTCAGCCCTGCTGCTTCTTGCCTTGTTACCCTGGGCAAGCCACTGTCGCCTCTCTTCTCCCTCACCTGAAAAATGAGGGGGTTGAACTAGATGACCTCTAAGGTTACTTTCAAATCTCTAGAGATTTATGAGCTATGAATTTCTCTGATTATTAGTGAGCTTGAATAGTTTCACAGTTAGGTTTATGAGAAATATGTAAATTAAAAAATTTTCCAGTTCTTTGTTGTGGGTGCTTTGCTTATTCCTATACAGAAATTCTTTATTTTTTATTAATTAAATTAGTCTTTTGGCTTCTTTAATTTTTAATATTTGAATATTTTAAAAACCTTTATAGTTATGCAATTATATAACATCCTACCATCTTCTAAATTTTTTAATGGATTCTTAATATTTAGATTATTGATTCATTTTGAATTTATTACACATTATATGTAATGAATTGCAGCTCTTACCCCTGTTTCATTTTTTATTCATTTTCTTTTCTGTAAAATGAGGATGTTAATAATTGTAGTACTTCTCTCACAAGGCTATTGTGAAGGAAGTACTTTGTAAATTGCAATTTTGTTGAGTCATTTCAGTTGTGTTGACTCTTCATGACTCTACTTGGGATTTTCTTGGCAAAGATACTGAAGTGGTTTGCCATTTCCTTCTTCAGGTCATTTTGCAGATGAGGAAACTGAGGCAAAAAGTGTTAAGTGACTTGCTCAGGGTCACACGCAGTTAGTAAGTGTCTGAGGCCAGAGTTGAGCTCAGGAAGATGAGTCTTCCTGACTTCAGGCCTGGCACTCTATCCATTGTACCACCTAACTGCTCGATGCTGTATGAAAATGAGCTGCTCTTACTCTAACTTGATTAATTCTTAACTTCTTACAAGGTTTCATTTTTTTATATTCAGTATTGAAAATGTTTTCCTTAAGATAAAATATAAGATAAAAAAATTTCATTTGAGAAAGCAGTAGATAATGGGCTACTACTACGTTCCTTGTTTCAGCATCCCTTAGATTTATTTGTATGTATAAAATAATATTAAATAATTATGTGTATGTGTAGAAGCAATGGAAAAACAAATATGCTGGAAATGAAAGCCAAATGCCACCAGACCGTTCTAAAATGACTATGAGAGACTTGATATATTACCTGCCGGACAGCAATCCTATGAAGTAAGTCTGATTACGTGTTTTTGTTTTCATTGATTTGGTTTAATGATCTAAACATCATTTCTAGGAATTTATTTAAGGCTTCCCCAACTTAAGGACTCAAATTCCTTGGCATGTCTTTATAGCATATTTAAGTTTTTTCATTTAGATTGTTATGAAGGAAAAAAAAATTTCGGTAATTAACTTATGGGGGAGGCCTAATTGTAAAGGAACAGAATTATAGCAAATCTTAATCTCTTTGAGATTAAAAGTGTTTGGTTTTATTAACTATAGTGAGGTATACTGTAAAACCACTTTGACACCATTCTTGAGTAACCAAAAGCCTAGTTTCTTCTTAACTAAAGAAAGGGATTATAGGATCCCTTTACTATTCGATGACTCACTTTAATTATCTATAAAATGGTCATATTAATACATGGACCATGTGTATCACATAGTTGTGAGGAAAGCACTTCATAAATCATAAACTGGCACATAATGTGCACTATAACTTTATTTTTAAGTTTGAATCTGAAATGATGGATATATCATTAAAACTGGCCCTGGAATAATTAAATGCAGTGATACTTCAAAGAACAAATCCTCTGGGAACAAAGTTGTCCTGAATGATATGATCTCAGTTTGAAACTTCTTGAACCAGGGTACAGTTGAGAAGGAGACCATATTTTGGGGCATGAGAGAACCATGACTTTGGTGGTCAGGAAGGATCACTCTAAGACAAGAGCATATGCAGCCAGTACGAGACTGGCTTGCAGTGCATTAACAGAGTTTGGAGTACTTACTGAGAAGGCAAGAGAATCCCAGCTTGCCTTGCAAACAGGGAAAGAAATACTAGGAGGGCAAGTTACTGAAAGTCTCCTGGATCACACCTCTATGCTTCCTGCAGATTATTTTCTATGTAATAACAAAGTATCTGAAAAAGCATGTCACTTGGACTCATTCTCTTCATTGACAGAGGTATCACTCTTTTTCATTGACAGATTTGACAAGTAATTTAAAGTTGCTCTATTAAATGTCAAGTTTTTAAAGAAGACATTAGAAGTAATAATTGTGTATTCAAATTTGTGTTGTGTTATATATTGTTTAATAGATCTTCTTTGGAACAAGAAGCAAAAACTGAAAAATCTACACCACCAGTGCAAACCAAAGAGTAAGCTTCTGTTTCTAATTTTGAAAGCTTCTGTTATGTAGACTTTTAAAAAGAATTGTTTTAGTATTATTAAAGTCAAGTATAGTTGGTCGGATTCATTAATAGAATCATTAACAAATATGATACTTCACTTAAATTGATATGGGAAAATTATTTGTATGTTTTTGCATTTAAAATTTAACTCAAGCTAAAGCTTTTATTTTATGGTGTTTTGGGAATTAAAAGATGGAATATTGAGTGGTTAACAGCAGTTTTTTTGGTGCAGGTTCATAGAGTGCTTTTCAAGATTTATCTTGTATTGGCTTTTTAGCCCTTATCTCTCCATTGACTTTTGGTAGCTAATTACCAAACATTCATTCCAAAAGATAGAGCAGCAAGTTGTAGCATAAGGCTTACTGCTTCTGTTCATTCTTATGCTTCTGTGTTTCAAGGGTCTGTGATTTCATCAGTTTGAATACTCCTTCCACTTACATAAATCCCAGCCTTTCTGTAATTTGAAATAGAGCTTTTGAAAATTACTGTGGCCAAAAGCATTTAAAATCTGGGTGTGAGTCTGAACTTAGGTAGTTTGGTCCTCAGATGATGGAAGTAGTTTGTCATTGGGCCCATACTTTTCTAGCATGTTAGTGTCTGCTAAAGCTTATGGTCCATTGTCATAGACTTTAAAATTCTGTCATTGCTATAACATGATGAGGTCTTTAGGACTAATGGAGATCTTTTCATGTAAGCCAGGATAATTGTGGACTGAACCAGTGGGAGATCTTGCTTTTTTTTTCTTTCTTTTTTAAATTTTATTTTAAAATTTGAAATTACGTGTCAACAATCCCCAGCATTTCCCTATACAACAGAAGACAAAAAAGCATTGTATATGAAACTGTAAATCTCCATCTCATACTTTTTTTTTTGGCGTTTTCCACATATTACTTTCAAAACTGCCTCATTTGTGCTTTCTTCTGAACATTCTTCTGTTCTCTTCTGTGCACTGTTAAAAATGTTTCAGTGGCTTTTTTTTAATTGGCATCCTCATTGCTAATCGCTCCTTTCTCTTTAATCCCTCCTTCCATCTAAAAATATGAGAGGAAGAAAAAAAACCACTCTTAATAAATAAGCATAGTCAGGCAAAATAAATATACACAGTAACCATGTCCAAAAATGTATGTCTCTTTCTGCATTTTTAGAATATATTTCTGTCAGGAGATATGGTTCATCATGAATCATACTGGAATCATGTTGGTCATTGCATCAGTCAGTGTCTAAAGTCTTTCAAAGTTGTTTGTCTTAATATTATTATTATGGAAATTGTTTTCTGATTTTGCTCACTTCACTCTGTATCAGTTTATACACATCTCTGATTTCTTTGAATTGGCTATTTGCCATTTCTTATGGCATAGTAGCAATTCCATTAATTTATATAATGTAACTTTTTCAGCCATTCCCCATTTGGTGGACATCCCCTTGGTTTCCAGATCTTTTCCACTACAGAAAGAACTGCAGTAAATATTTTTGTACATATAGGTCTTCTTGTTCTTTGTTTGATCTCTTTGGGGATACTGTCTAGTAGTAGTGGTATTGCTAACTCCAAAGGTTAGTACACTTTAGTGACTTTTGGGGCTGTGTTACAAATTGGTTTCCAGAATGGCTGGACCACTTCATAGTTCTGCCAGTGGTGCATTATGTGTCTATTTTCCTGAAGCTCATTCAACAAACTGTAATTTCCTGATATCCTGATACTCTTAACATTCACCCCATCCCTATTTATAAAATCATCTTGTGTTAATTTCATAGTTACTAGGGTAATTCACAGTAGTACTTCTGTTAAGAGGGCACATAAAGAACAAATTGTCTTTCTGCACTGGGAAAACACTTGTTTAGCTAAGTTTAACCATAGTACAGTGTGAGGGTATCTTAGAAATACATTGCGCTTTTAATCTTTCTAGCAATGTCATCTAGAAGATGACATTAGTAATAATTTTTATAAGTTCATACTGATCAGAAAATACTATTTTCACAATTGAGTTAAACTATTTTTACTTTGGGGATATTTTAGTCAAGAAGAGAAAAATATTCCTGATGCTGAAGATGATGTTGAAGAAATGGAGGAAGAGAGCAACGATGGCCCTTTACTTGTTCCTCGTGTTAAAGTGGCAGAAGATGGCTCTATTATTCTGGATGAAGAAAGGTAAAGAAAGAGAAAAATTGGTGTACTTGGAACAGAGGAGAAATTCTGCTCTGTTAGTAAAATCATTCTGGGGCATTGTCGTTTAACCTTATTGTGTTCCAGCTTTTTCATCTGCGTAATGTTTAGTTTGTACAAATGCTATTGGTATCAATGAGGATATACTTACCTATCATTTTAATAATTTAACTGTTGTCTTTTGTACATGAAGATGACATTAATTGGCCACCTGTTTTTTTTTCCTTTAGTGTAGTGGTGTTTTATTTATGCTGAGCTGTTCCCATTCTGTTTGGCCTCGTCATTAGGAAGAGAGACTTGCATGATTAGTTACTTCAGTGTTGAAGTGTGGTTTATGGCTGTGGAATAGAATATTTCTGTGTTTACTCGCCTTGAGGGGAGCTAAACTCATACATACACTCGACCTCATTGCCGCTGTGTATCCAGTCAGTTGAGATGACTGACATTTTAAGAGATTCACTTTTAATAAACCTTACAGGTGAATGAGCATGCACATCTTATGATTTTGGAGGGAAATTTATTTCAATGACTTTAATTTTTTCTTGTTTACACTCTTAAGTTTAACAATAACTTACTGTAATTTTGTCTTGAAATTTACCTTTTTTTGTTTATGTTGATATGTTTGCCTTGCTATAGTAAAAAAAGAAAAACAGCAAATGAAATGAAAATGCAGTGTAAGATCATAATACTTTGATAATTATTCACAGTGATAAATGTTTGGCAATGCTGTTTTTTAAGAATTAGTAGTTGAATGGGGTGCCAATAAATTTTAAAATATCCTTGAAAGTACGAATTAATTGACTACAAGGGTCTTGTACTGCACTGTTGCTTTTTTAACTTCCATTGCTATGTGAACAGTGTTTCCTACATTGTAGGATCACATTATATGTGTGTGTGTGTGTGTATGTGTGTAAAGAATGCTATGTTAAATGATGATGGATTCTTACAATAGAATTCTTACAGTTCTTACAATTTTTTCTTTTGACTGAAGTATTTTACAAATTATTTTTGTAGTTAATAATATGAACTATTGCATCTCTTTTAGCCATGTAAATGTAATCACCACGTATTAAGTGCCTACTATGTACCAGATACTGTGGTAGACCCTAGATACACAAATACAATGTATGAAGCAATCTTTACTCTTATAGACTACTAACAAGTGACAACTTTGTCATGTTTTAGGGTATGCATAATAACTATCAAGAGAATAAATATAAAAAATAAAAATTGCAGTCAAATTTAAGGAAACACAAATAGTTTTATGCATGAATCTTTCATGGTAACTAAAAAATGTAACCTCATTTTTAGGTATTGTAGTCTTCATGTCTTTCAAAATGCTTGTTTCTTTCAGTTTAACTGTAGAAGTTTTAAGGACAAAAGGCCCTTGTGTTGTTGAAGAAAATGATCCCATTTTTGAAAGAGGTTCCACTACTACATATTCCAGCTTTAGGAAAAATTATTACTCTAAACCATGGTCAAATAAAGGTAATCATTGTTCCATTTCAGTTGACAGGGTCTTATATGAAAACATTTTCAATGTGATATCTAACAGTATAAGCTGTGATTATAAGAGTAATTAACAATGAGAGTAAAGGTAGGACTGCGGTAAATATCTAACTCTTTTGTGGAATTTTTTGATGATCATTTGGTAAAATTACTATTGTGTTTTACTTGTAGTTTTATTTTTGATGGGCTTGTTTAAATTCTTCATATAGGTATTCAACTCCATAATTAAAATTTATACTTGTGAGTTAGAAATAACCTGTTTTTCATTTCACTGTTCTTTATTATTGTAGAGTGGAATAGCTTAAAATAAGCTAATATGTTTGAGACACTAATGTACTCATTTTCCATTGATATACTGTTAGAATCCTAGAAAGTTACATAGCACGAATCTCTCAGACTAAAATTAATGCTGTTTTTAAAGGAAAATAGTCATGGTGGAAGAATGTTACTACAAATTAAGTTATCTCAGGATAGATATAAAATTAGGGGTTTTTTTTACCTTTTTTTTTGGTGAGGCAATTGGGGTTAAGTGACTTGCCTAAGGTCACACAGCTAGTAAGTGTCAAGTGTCTGAGGTCACATTTGAACTCAGGTCCTTAAAATTAGGATTTTATTTTTAGAGCAAAATAAAATTCTATTATATTTTTTAGGTATTTCCTGGTCTTTTTAAAATTAGCTGGGTTTCTACTAACAAAATATAGTTACTTCTTTAATTACTATTAACTACTTAATTCTTTTTTGCCTCTTGCTCATACTAACTTACTTTATTTTATTTATTCATTTAATTTCAGCTTTGTTTTATTTGCAAGCCAACATTGTCTCCTGCTTCCCCCATAGACCTCCATTTAGAGAGCAAGGAAAAGTTTATTATTTATTTTATCTTATTACTTTTAAACTTTATTACTTCTTAAATAAAATCTTTGAACTTAGTCTGTTGTTCCCCCATGAGAATACGTCTTTGATTTTATCATGAAAGTTTTGTGAAAAAGTAAGAATTTCAGCCAATTTTGTTGGAATATACATACATACATGCATGCATACATACATGTACATATATGTATATATGTGTGTATACACATATGGGGGGAGAGAGAGAGAGAGAGAGAGAGAGAGAGAGAGAGAGAGAGAGAGAGAGAGAGAGAGAGAGAGAACACAAAACCTTCTAGAACAGAGATGCTTAACCTGGAATCCATGTACTTATTTTGTTTTTCAAAAAAATTTGATAACTGTATTTCAGTATAATTTGGTTTCCTTTTGCTCTCCTTTGTATTATATTTTATGCATTTAAAAACATTCTGAGGTGGGGTCTGTAAGCTTTACCAGACTGTCAGGAGGAGTCTATGATACATAAAGATTAAGAACCCTTGCCCTCAAATAAACAATTTCATTGAAAAGTTCACTGGAACAACAATATTTCCATAGCCTGTTTTGTTTTATAACAGATTATACTGTATAATCTTTGATCTCTGCTCTCAGTGATGTGGATATGCCCTCACCAGTGTAGATTACAGCCCAATTGTGCCTTTCTTGTGTAATTTACAACCACATCCTCTCATGAATCTACTGGAATGGATCAACTTAACATAGTGAAAAAAGGACTTCCTCCCAGTTTTTTGTAAAAGACATTTAATGGTTATTAGTATAGCATGTGGTATGACCATATTAAACCCTCTCAGCAGATATTTATTGTATGCCTGCTGTGTGCTAGACATCGTATCAGGCTTTAAGAGGACAAATTAAAAAAAAAACCTGTTGATCCAGGTGGAGAGGGGAACAAGGAATAAGCATTTATATAATGCATACTGTGCCAGGCACTGTGCTAAGCACTTTTTACAAATATTATGTCATGAGATAATAGGGTTATAGACTTTGGAGTGGCAGAGACTTTACAGGACATTGAATCCAACCCTTTTAGTTTACAGATGAGAAAACTGAAGCCAATAATTCAGTGACTTGCCTAGGATTATATGGCTAGTAGGTGTCTTGAGGCAGGATTTGAACCCAAATCCTCCTGACTCCAAATTCAATGCTCTGTCCGCTTAGCAAGCACAGAAGAGTAGATTAAAAAAATATATATGAAGTATATTCAAAAGTGAAAAAAATTTTGGAAGGGAGAAGCCTTACATCTGGGTGATCAGAGAAGGCATTTAACCTGACCTTTGAAGGAAGAAACCTTAAAGAGACACAGCTGAGGAAGAAGCGCACCAGGCACAGTGCACCACACTTTGAATTGAAGGTCACATTTTCTGTTGAGCTCTGTTCTTCTCATCAGGAAGGTTTGGAAGTCCCCCATTTCATTGAATGCCCATCTCCTCCCCTGAAAGATTATGCTTAGTTTCGCTGGGTAGTTGATCCTTGGTTGTAATCAGACCTCCTTTGCCTTATGGAATATCGTGTTCTGCACCCTTAGATCTTTTTTCTTTTTCTTTTTTTTAAGGTAGTTGGGGTTAAGTGACTTGTCCAGGGTCACACAGCTAGTAAGTGTCAACTGTTTGGTCTGAGACCAGATTTGAACTCAGGTACTCCTGATTTCAGGGCCGGTGCTCTATCCACTGCGCCACCTAGCTGCCCACCCTCAGATCTTTTAATGGAGAAGCTGCAAGATCTTGCATAATCCTGACTGTGGTTCTATGGTGTTTAAGTTGCTTCTTCCTTGATGCTTGCAGTATTTTCTCTTCGATCTGGTAATTTTGGAATTTGGCTACAATATTCCTTGGCGTTTTCAATTTGGGATCTCTTTCAGGAGGTGATCAGTGGATTCTTTCAATGACTAATTTACCCTCTGGTTCTAGGACCTCAGGGCAGTTTTCTTTGATGATTTCCTGAAGGATATTGTCCAGGCTTTTTTTTTTTTTTCAATCATGGTTTTCAGGTAGACCAATAATTTTTAAATTGTCTCTCCTGGATCTATTTTTCAGGTCAGTTGTTTTACCAGTGAGGTATTTTATGTTTTCTTGTATTTTTTTCATTCTTTTGTTTCTGTTTGACTGATTCTTGCTCTCTCATAGAGTCATTAGCTTTCACTTGCCCCATTCTAATTTTTAAGAAGTTGTTTTCCTCTATTAGATTTTGTACTTCCTTTTCCATTTGTCCCATTTTACTTTTTAAGGAGTTCTCTTTAGTGAGTTTTTGTGTGTCCTTTTCGCTTTGGCCAATTCTACTTTTTTAAAAAAAGACTTGTTTTCTGCATTTAATTTTTGTCCTTCCTTTTCTAAGCTATTGACTCTCTTTTTACATACCTGTTGTTTCTTTTCCCAATTTTTCTTCAACCTCTCTTATTTGACTTTTAAAATCCTTCTTGAGCTCAAGACTTTTTGGGCTTGAGACCAGTTTGTATTCCCCTTTGAGGTGTTGCATGTGGGTATATTGGCTGTGTTGTTCTCTTCTGAATTTGTACCTTGATCTTCCCTTTCCCAAAAATAATAATCTATGATCATTTTCCATTTCTGCTTTTTGTTCATGGTATTTGCCTATTTCCTGACTTAAACAAAAAATGTTGAGTTCTCCTGTTGGAGAGCAGGAGGCAATTACCCAAGCTTCTTTTCCTGCTCACCAGGGCCTTGCACTTGAATATTTGGCTCCTGCTGGCCCAGGCCTTGCCCAGGGATGTTTTGATGCTGGTGGATGTCTGTCATCTCGGAGCTTTGCATTCTGGAGTTGTGCTTCCCAGAGTTGTGTTGAGGCACTGGGTGATTTTGCTGCTGGAGAACTTTGTTGCTCATGGTAGTTTTCTTAGCTGGTGTTTACTGAGTTCCTGTGCCTGTGTAGAAGCATTGGGGTGTCCTGGTGTTGGTGTTTGCCTGTTCCACCACCCTGGGGCTCAGGCTCTCCCCCTGGTATGCTGAAGTGGGGCTTGCCACTGGCTTGCTAGGATGCCTCCAGTCCTATACTGCTCCCCCTCCCCCAGAGCAAGAGGGGCCTTTCCCGTTAGTTTCCCAAGCTTCCTGGGGTACAAGACTGCTGTGCCCTGTCTTTTTGCTGTCTCAGGGTTTTTCCTGCGTCGATATTGTCTGAGCTTTCAGAGATCAGTGAGGGAGTGTGAGAGTGACTTACTTCTTACTACGCCATCTTGGCTCCCAGAAGTGGAAGTCCCATAGTACACACCTCAAGCAAAGATATTGATGAGGGAGATAGAGTGTTGTGTGTGGAGAAGAGTAATTAGGCCATTTTGAGTGGAGCACAGAGTGAGTAGGAATAGCATAGACTGGTGCTTTAGAAGTATCATTTTGGCATCTTATGTGGAGATTAGTTTTGAAAAAGGGTGAGGCTAGAGGCAGGGAGGCAAGTCAGGAGCTATTGGAGTAGGTCAGGATAGAAATGATGAACGACTGAATTTTAGAGTCATGATGGAAATGGAAATGTGGAAATAAAATTGACAAAATTTGGCAATTTGACTGTGGGAGATAAGGGAGAAATAAAGAGTTAAGAATAACTCTGAGATTGATAACTTGGAAAATTGGAAGAATAGGAAAGTTATGAAGAGAGGAGAATTTTGAGGGGAATATAATAGTTTCCACTTTGGACATATTGAATTGGAGATGCATATGGGTCACTGAGGTGGTAGTGTTGAAGAATCAATTGGTAATTTAGGACTAGGGCTCAGCAGGGAGAACAAGGGCAGGCTATATGAATAGTAGATGTCATCTTCATAAAGATGATAATTTGTCCCATCGGAGCTGATAACATCACAATGCAGAGGAAATAAAAGAGAGAAGACAAGAGGTCCCAGATTGAAGCCCTGCTTACATACATAGGGATGGGACATCAGTGATGATCTACCTAAGAAGATAGAGAAGGAATGGTTATGTCAAGGTCAGAATGGACTAGAAGAGGAGAATGTTACACAACCTATAAACCCGTTTGCTTTTCTGATCATACATGTCCTTGATACTTTTCAAAATAAATTTTTATTGATTTTTTTTTACATGACCAAAATTTTCATTAGTATCTCCACTCTCCCCCCCCACCGCCCATGTCCTGAAAGCCATAATATATAACAAAAAATATATGTGAAGACAAGAGGAGAAAAAAGTCAGCTTAACTGATCAGTACATTAAAAAAGTTGGAAAATATGTGCAATTTATTACACTTGTGGACCTCCCCTTGTGGACCTCCTACTCCTGTGTAGAGGTGGAATTAGGGGTGCCTTCTCATATCTCTTGTGAACCAGATTTATTGGTAATTTTGCAACATTAATTTTTTGGTGGTTCTCAACATTTATATTGTAATCTTTGTGTATTATTTTCTAGAGTCTGCTTACATCTCTTTGCATCAAATGTAGACCTTTCCATGCTTTTTTCTTTTTTCATCATATTTGTCATTTCTTACAGCACAGTAATATTCCATTATATTAATGCACCAAAGTTTATTTAGCTGTTTCTCAATCAATGAGCATCTACTTTATTTCCAATTCTTTGCTATCACAAAAAGTGCTGCTATAAATAATTTGGTGTATATGGAGACTTTCTTATCACTGGCCTCCTTGACATAAAAATCTGTTTGTGGAATCTCTGAGTCCAAGGGCATGAACATTTTATTCACTTTATTTGCATAATTCCTAATTGCTTTCCAAAATGATTACACTGATTCAAAGCTCCAACAATACAGTATCTTCCTATAGCCCCTCCAGCTTTGACTATTCTCATCTTTTATCATCTTTGCCAGTTTGTAGATTTTTTTGATTTGTATTTCCCTTATCAGTGATATTATGTGGTTGTTAATAGCTTGTAATTCTTTTTAGAACTGTTTTTTCAAATCTCTCTCTTTTTTTTTTTAGGCAATTGAGATTAAGTGACTTGCCCACGATCACACTGCTAGTAAGTATCAAGTGTTTGGTCTGAGGCCCGATTTGAACTCAGGTCCTCTTGATTTCAGGGCCAGTACGCTATCCACTGCATCAACTAGTTGCCCCTTTTTCAAATCTTTTGACCACTTTTTTTATTGGGGAATAGGTTTTGGGTTTCCATAGATATCTGTTAGTAGTTTACATACTATGGATATCAAATCCTTGTCAGAGAAATTGTCTACAAAGATTTTTCCCTTCCCTTATCATAAGTTCATTAATTTTGAGCATGTAGAAGCTTTTTAGTTTCATGTAAAGATTTCTTTTACCTTTTGTAATTTCCTGTATCCCTTGTTTGGTTAAGAATTTATCTCTTGTCAGAGATATATGATTTGCTTTTCTTCTAATTGTTCTCATCTTTTACATTAAAGTCATGTATTGGGGCAACTAGGTGGCACAATGGATAGAGTGCCAGGTATAGAGTCAGGAAGACTCTTCTTCCTGAATTCAAATCCAGCCTCAGACTCTTATTAGCTGTGTGACCCTTAGCAAGTCATTTAACCATTTGCCTCAGTTTCCTCATTTGTAAAATGAGCTAGAGAAGGAAATGGCAAACCACTCCATTGTCTTTGCCAAGAAAATTTCAAATGGGTCATGAAGAGTTGGACATGACTGAAAGGACTGGTCAACAACAACCAAATCCATTCAGAATGTATTGTGAAACATAGTGTAAGGTGTTGGTCCTAGAAGTGTTTCTGCCAGACTTCTTCTGTTTTCTCACATATTTATCATGTGTAGAATTCGTAAGTGCTATTGTTTCTGATTCTCCCTTGCCTACTCTATTTAGTCTTTTATTTATTTTGGTAGGTTGGTCCTTACATATTTCATACATTTTGCCACTTGGATTTTGTTATCATCATGTAGAAATACTGTTTATTTTGGAGCCTACAACTTTGCTGAAGCTATTCATTGTCTCAATTAATATTTTTACTGATTCCCTAAGATTTCTAAGTAAACCATCAGATGATCAGCAAATAGGATAGTTTTATTTCTTCTTTGCCTATCTTTACTTCTTTAATTTCTTTCTCTGCTCTTTCTTCTCATGTTGCTTTTGTTAGCATTTCCAGAACTATCAAATAATAGGAGAGTGGATATCCTTATTTCACCCTTGTATTTATTGGGAAGGGTTCTAATGTATCTCCATTGCATGTTATGCTTGTTTTTGGTTTTTAGATACTTTTTATGATATTGTTCTTGATATACTTTTTACTTGATTTGTTCTGTCTGAGTAATCACTAGTTAATGTGCTGCAGCCTACTCATATTTACCATGTATCTCCATGGCCCTTCGGGTCACTATAATATTGATTTTTTTTTCTATGTAGTTGTATTTTTTAATTTACATCCACCACTGGGAGAATATTGGTGTTAAAAAGGTGGATTTTTGTGGTAGGAACAATTTAGGATTGTTGAAAGTGTGGTGCAGTTTCATCATTGTAATCCGGATATGATTTAGTTCTGGTCCTAGATCATTATTCATCTGCAGTGACTCTGTGTGTGTGTGTGTGTGTGTGTGTGTGTGTTTTATACACATACTGATGAATTAATAACTTCTTATACTACCCAGCCAACTCTGTATTATAGTTCAGGCAGTGCACTTCACTTTGTGTCAATTCATAGAAATCTTTATAGTCATTATTTCTTACAGTGCAGTACTGTTCCATTTGATTTACATACCACAGTTTGGTGGTCATTTCCCCCTTGCCCCATAATAGGCATTTGCTTCATTTCCAGTTCTTTACTGTGACAAAAAGTACTACTATAAATATTTTGGTTGAAGATGGGGTTTTTCAAGCGTTTGGGCAATATGCCTATTTTTGGATATCTGGGTCAAAGCACATATTCTCTTAGCATAATTCCAAATTGCTGCCCAGAATTGTTGGCCCACTTAATAGGATTTGGAGATTTATTGTTGTGATTTTTGAAATTGTGGTATTTTTCCCTATAATTGGCTCTTCATATCTTTTGACCACATTTTAATTGGAAAAATGACTTTTACTTTGATAAATTTGTGTTAATGTCTTATAAATTTTGTATGTTAGATGTTTATCACACTATGCATACTTTTGTTTCCAAGAAACTTCTGGATGAACTTCTTTTTGTTGTACAAAAAGCTTTTTATTTGTGTGTATGTGTGTATGATCATTTCAGCAAATTTATCTCTTATAATTTTTCAAAGAGATGAATAGTTTATTAATAATTTATCTGTTTTCCTTGTAAAGCATATCAGTATCCTTTGTCCTTAATTTTTAAGAAATATTTCTATCACTGATCTATTTGTAATTGTGAGATTTTTGCTGTATCTAGGTCACAAAACACTGAGTAGATTATTATTCAGCCAAATTTTTTTGGGGAACAAATGTTAAACTACTGTATGTACCTGGTTCTAGCTTAGTAATCAGTCAACAAGCATTTATTAAGTGCCTGCTGTATGCCAGGCACTGTGCTAAGTACTGATGATACAAAGAAAGGTTAAAGACAGTCCATGCATAGTCTAGTGGAGATGCTTACAGTCTTACTATTTTCAACGTGTTTCACTCATCTCTTTTTAAAAATCCCATAAAACCTAGTTTTGGTAATTATGTCCTTATGGTATAATTTGAAATTTGGGAATGATTCTCCTTCCCATTTGGGTAAGATTTGCCCAGATCTTGTTTTTATTCCTTTCTCTCCATTAATACTACAGCTACTCCAGTTCAGGCTCTACCTGTTTAGTATCACTGGTACCTATCTCTTCCCTCTCCAATTTAATTTCCACATAGCCTCTAAAATATTCCTAAAGCACAAGTGTGACCACATCACAGCTTTGCTTAGGAAGCTCCAGTGTCTCTCAATTTCCTTTAGGATAAGATAAATTTTGTCATTTTAAATTCTTTATAGTCTGACACTAGCCAGAGTTTCAAGATTGACTTCTCGTTACTCCCTACCATGTCCTGTATATTTCTGCCAGTTTGTCTTAATTCTTTTTTCCTGTCCAAGACATTTCATCCCTTATCTTTGTGCTTTTACACAGGCTTTATCTACTGCCTGGAATGCTCTCCTTTCTACCTTCACCTTTTAGCATCCCTGGCTTTATTTAAGATTTAGGTCATATAACATGACCTACAAGAATCCTCCTGTAGGTCAGGAACAGTTTTTTTGTTTTGTTTTGTTTTTTGTTTTAAATCCTTATATCCTGACACCTAGCACAGTGCCTTGCATTTACTAAGTCCTTGTTGGATTTTATTGTCTTTAATTTTTATTATATTGTCTTTGCTTAACTAAGGAATTGTTTAGTTCTTTATTTCTGCAAAAATTATCTTGTAATTGACTTTATATTAAGTTCTTTATGTTTCTTGAGTGCGTAGTATCTTTGAGTTGTATTTAAACTAATTCCACTGTAGTAACATGTTGGAAATCTTTTTCATTTCTATATAATCAGATTTTATGAATGTTCTCTAAAATGATATATACCTATATGTGATTTTTATTTTGTGTCAGCTACTTTGGTGATCACTGATACTGCAGACTCGAGGCAGAAAGCATTAAACAAAACATTATCTAAATTTATGTAAATATACTAATATTGTGTACATATTTATTATCTACAACTTCTTTACTTTCAGATATTGAAGTTAATTTGAAATTTTTCTGAAACTTTATTTTAACAGAAACAGACATGTTCTTTTTAGCCATCAGCATGGTAGGAACAGACTTTTCCATGATTGGCCAACTCTTTCCTCACAGAGCAAGAATAGAAATTAAGGTAAAAATAAGTGTAAGCTGTGGGGGTTAATCAGGAAAGGGGCGAGGAAGTACTTAGCATGTCTTCCTATTAACTTTGTTTTTTGTTTTTTGTTGTTGTTGTTTCATTTCATTACTTTCTTTTACATTTGCTCTTTGTTAGATGAAAAGTATGTTTCTCAACCTTTAAAATATGTGTTATATAAACAGGTTTAGTTGACCATAAAGCTATATAAAAAACATTATCACATAATAATATAACAGCTGGCATTGAGATGGCACTTTAATTTTGTCTTGTTTGATTGTCACAACAGCCTTGTGAGCTATCTATTACAGTTACTCTTTCTACTTTTTTACATATAAGACAATTTGAGCTCAGAGAGGTTAAATGACTTGTCCATAGCAACAATATGAGAAAGTGACAAGTGGTATTCAAAGCCAAGTTTCCTCATTCCATGTCCCCTTCAGTTTTCATTACTCCTCACTGTCTCTCACCATGAATTTTATGTTTATGTTTTGCAGTAGATGAATAATTGAGACTACTTAAACCATTTCTACCAAAATTCTGGGGCTTGGTCCCCATTCCAGCTGTCTTTACTGTTATCTATTACCTTAAGTCATTGAGGCCAATCATAGCATCACTTCCAGTTCTGGAGTAGAGAGCTAGTGCCCTTGTATCTGTTGTCACTACTGTTTCTCTAAAGCCAGCATACGATGGCATTGACATAATAGTTATAGTAATTTTTTTGAAGATTCTACCTCTTTGTGTTCAACGTTTGAATTCACCTGTATAAAAGGAAGGGTCTTTGAAGGTTGTCACTTGTTTGTGATATACCTGCTTTTACAGTAATTGTTGGGAAGGACTGATTAGATTGAATTCTATCCTAAGCCCTCCTATGGTACGAGCTAGGCATTTTTGTGTGGGTCTTCTTTAATTTATTTACTAAACTATTTCTGAGTTTCCTATTTTTTAACAGTTATTCTCCTATTTATCTTACTTAGTATTCTTCATTGACTCTTTCTCATTTTCTTCTCATCTTGCCACTTGTCAAGTCCTGTTAACTGTGTGTCCATAATAACTTTCTAAACCTTTGCTTTCTTTCTCTTCCCGTTGTCACCATCCTAGTTCAGGCCTTTATTGTTGACCTATTGCCAATACTTCCTTTTGGGGGGGGGGGTGGGGAGCAGCTGGAGTTAAGTGACTTACTCAGGGTCACATAGTTAGTAAGAGTCTGAGGCCAGACTTTAACTCAGGTCCTCCTGACTCCAGGGCCGGTGCTCTATCTGCTGTGCCACTTACCTGATCCCCAGTACTTCCTAATTGATATTGCTGCCTTAAGATCTCAACTCTTTAGGTTCATCTTTCGGTTTTCTCAAGCAAAGCTTTGCTCATACTGTGTTCTAATTGAAAATCTTAAGTGTTAGTTTGTTGCCTGTCAAATAAAATCTGAACTGTTTCACAGGTAAACAAACACACAGGTAACACCATTTGTTGGGCAGGAGATTACAAGAGGCCCCTAACACTAATAGGTGTTCTAGCACAGGTTCACTTTTGATCTGATCAGACAGGAAGACAGCTTCAGAGAGGTTAAATTAGCTTACTTTAGTCTAGTCTTCTCAAATGGGTTGTTGATAATGGGAACACCAACTCTTATAGCATTCCATAATCACGCTTCTTTCAGGGGCGGGCGAGAATAGGAATAAAACTCCTCATCTATTAAGCCTCAGTGGGGACTGGTTGAAGCAAACACAGAGTTCTCCCCAACTCTTGATGAGGGCTGATCAAGGCAGATACATGCATTCCTCTATTCTTTACCCAAATCCCAAAATGGGTTCTCCTTAAGCTTTGATGGGGGCCAATCAAGGCAAGCACAAATGCACATCCCCTGTGTGCATTCCTATTCCCCACTTACTGACCAGTGCCCTCTTGCTTTGTAGGACAACGGACAAAGAAGGCATTTTGCCAATGTTAAGTTCAAGGTTAGCTTTACCAATATCGACATTCAGCTCAAGCCTAGTAAATATCACTTATGTCATGCCTATATCTCACTGCAACTGTGTAGTAGAGGTTGTTTTCAACCATAATTCATGGGAAATATTATCTAAGATCCTGGAACTATTATCTAAAAAGGAATAACAAAGCCCTCCTTACACACACTAAAACCCACCTTTATTTATTTTTTATTTTTTTGCTGAGGCGATTGGGTGACTTGCCCAGGGTCACACAGTTAGTAAGTGTCTGAGGCTGGATTTGAATTCAGGTCCTCCTGACTTCAAGGCCAGAACTCTATTCACTGCTCCACCTAGCTGCCCCTAAAAACCACCTTTCTTAAATGAACTCTGCTTTTATATTCAAAGTCTTCTACATTCTGGCCCCTACCTATATTCTTATATATTTTTTCCAATTACTCTTCAGTGCTTCTGATAAACTGAACCACTTGTCATTCCTTAAACATTCACCGCATTTTCCTGCTTCTGCATCACTGTCCATGTTTTTACCTTGAGCTTGTGTTTCCCTTTTCCCCTCTATCTCAACCCATCACAATCTTGCACATTTTTCAAACCCTATCTTAATTCTTACTTTTCTGATAAGGCTTCCTTCTCCTTGATCTTCCTCTTTTCCTTTAGATAGGATCTTTCTTTCCTTGACCCTCCCTGGCATTTTATATCTCTTAGTCTCCTAGATCTAGAACTGTAAGGTACCTTAAAGGTCGTCAAGTCCAAACACCCCCTCCTCACCATCATTTTAACATTCCTTCTAGTGAAGGAAAATTACAGATGAAATTTTATTTTATTTTATTTTTACAGAATAAATTTAAACGTGAGGAAAAAGCAAATGGGTGGAGAATTGACAAAGCATTTCGTAAGTATTCTGATTTCTAAAAAAAAATTCATGTTATTCGGAGAGCCCTTTTATAAGCCTTATTTTTATTCACTTTATTTTAGAGTAGACTTTTTTGATATTGTCATGCTTGGGAGATGTGGGCACTATTGGAATATAGCTGTCTAGGAGGATCTGAGCCCAAAACTTATGGTGAACAAAAAAGTATCTGGCATGTGTTCCAGGCCTAGACAGAAAAGAAATCACTTCAAATTAAGGCTGGTTGGAGTAGACAAATACCTCGACTCTGTGGAAACGTGATTCAGATCTAAGGAGGTCTATGAACATATATGGTGGAGTAGGCATGTACCATATGTTGGCTGAATCCAGAGTCTAAGAGGTCGAGATCAGTAAACACAACACTAATTGTAAGGCATACTAAGGCTATTTGATTTCTTCCCTCTTTTATACTGCCTGATACATATAAGTATCTGAGTACACAAGTGTTAATCATTGGCATAAAAAGGTTAGTGGAGTGGAGGTTATCCCCCCTTTGATTGAGGAATGAATGGTGATACTAAGATGACCAGGTCCTAATATCAGGTTTGTTTTTTTCTCGTATATGTGAATGTTAACTGTTTCTCTTACATGCTGTTTGATATTTAAGGTTCATATCTGATTTGAGTGTTTATCTAGAATTTTTTTTCTCTTTGAAAGTGTGTCATACAGGAAAACTGCAAAGATGTTAAATATTTAAAGTTTTTAATTTTACTCTAACCTATAAGTTTTTATAGTGTTCTTTATATCAAAGCAAATCGTATTCATCAGGAATATATAAAATCAATATTAAATGATTATTAAAATAATGGTATACAAATTCATTTAAATTTAGAGTTTTGCTGTATATTCTTATAAGTCAGACCAGTAATGCATAAAGCAGTGGGTCATTATTATAGAGTGAAGTTTAAAGCCTAATGTGAGACACTTGGGACAGGTACAGCAATGGAACTATACAAGTAGGAAGATCTGGAACCTCGGATCACAACGATTTTCAGGCCATGGTAGGGGATGGAAGTGGGCAGGTCTTTTGGAAAGCTTGTCCATGGACTTGGAACACGCAGGTTCACTAGCTGTCCATTACTCTTCTTAGTTGATGTCTCTAATGGCCCTGTGTCCTCCACATCAGGGCAGCTGTATAAGGGAACAAACATATATATTAGAGGAAGGGAGCAGATTTTTCACTCAGGCATACTTGATTGGTTTCCCATCTCTAATGTAACAGGCAAAGGAATGCCTGGGCTTGGCCCATAATACCCTTATTGTACAAGCATGAGACATCAGTGTTTCGAGTAGAGAGTATGGAAATTTCCAGAAAAGGACAAGGTTTGAGGTATTAACTAGACAGGTAGAATGAAGGCAAGTTTTTAGAGCAGAGGCAACCTTAGGGGTCTCAGAGAGACCTGAGAAGCCTTTTGTATTATCAGAAATACTGATTAATGCTATTAGAAAAAAGTTTTGCAAAGAAAAATCTTAAGGTGTTTTGAATTTATGCTTAATTTTAAAAAAAATTAATGTACATTGAGATAGATGAATAGGATACTTCTCCCTCCCTTCTCCCTCCAACCAGGTTCTTTGGAAATTTATTCTAGAATGTTGTCTAGGAGGAGACCTAAACAGCATGGCCTAACCTAGCCCTACGTTATTCGCATTTGAAAGCAGTGTTGCTAAAAATCTTTGGGCTGTGGAGCAGTTCAGCAGGACCAGAGACCACTTGTCATGACCACTAGCTTCAAGTTGTGGAACATGTCTGCTAAACCATTAAGGAAATTACTGTCAGTATGGTCGTTGACTTAGTAACAGTGGACTTTGAAAAATGATAGCAATACTACAGGATTAAAAATGAATAAATGAAATATTCTGGTTTCCCCAAGGAAGACCAGAAAGTGGATTTTTCACCCTAAAGACCTGTGTGCTTTATTTCTATACCTGAAAAATTTTAGAATTGCTTTATTAAAGGAATACTTTGTGAGCTTTTGAAAAGGAAAACCGATCAGCCAGTCCTCATTTTAATTTTCTAAACTAGTTGAGAAGGGAAATGCTATAAATATAGTATACCTGAATCTAGACAGCATTTGATAATGTTTCATGATGTCTTTGTGGAAAAGGTAGAGAGATAGGGGTTCATTGATAGTGCCTTTGGTATGGAACATGTTAAATGACCAGATCTGGAGAATTGTGTTTATGGATTTAGGTCAGGAGTAAAGTTAGCCTCAGCAGAGTGCTCCAGGGATCAGTCCTTGATGGCAGTTCTCAAAATTTTTATCATTGACTTTAACAACATCTGTGCTATCTATGCTTATGTAATTTGAGATCCCACAAATCTTGAAAGAATAGCATATTAGTTAGATAAGGGAAAGTATGTTGGATGAAGGAGCCCAGATCTCAAAAAGATCTTTAGGACAGATGGAACAACTCTAATTAGTTAAAATTTAATAGAGATAAATGTAAAGCCCTATCCTTATTGGAGTATAAAATTAGCTGTATAATTCAGGTTTTGGAAAGGAGGCAGCAAGTTGTGTGATTTGGAATTTTAGTGGACTACAAATTGAGTTTGTTCAGTAACACAACAGAGCAGCCAAAAAACTGAACACAATACCTTAGGCTATCTTAGTCAAAGCATATGTAGAAGATCATGTTCAGTTCTGAGTGCCCTGTTCTAGTGGTGGGACATTTATAAGTCAGCATGTCTATGGGAGGATAACTAGGAGGATAAAAGGGCTGGAGACCAAGTCATATCAGTTGAAGGAACTGGAGATGTTAAGCCTAGCAGACAGCAAAGACAACGTTGTAGTTATATTCAACTGAAAAAGGTTGTCTTGTAGGGATTGGCCTTGGTCTTGGAAAACACAGATATGAGAAATGAATGAAAGTTGTGTTGGTTTTTTTTTTTGGTGAGGCAATTGGAGTTAAGTGACTTGCCCAGGGTCACATAGCTAGTAAAAGTCAAATGTCTGGTCTGAGACTGGATTTGAACTTGGGTCCTCCTGACTCCACGGCCAGTGCTCTATCCACTGTGCCACCTAGCTGCTCCATGAATGAAAGCTTTTGAGAGACGAAATTTTGGCTCAGCGCTCAGAAATATCTCATTGTGGATTAAAGATACCCCAAAGTATAATAGGCTATTTCAGTAAGTAGTAAATTTCTTATTACTGGAGATCTTCAGGCAGTGGCTAGATTCCCCTGTCAGGAATCTTATAGAGAGAAATTCTGTCCAGATTGGTCTGGATGATATCAGGTCTGTTCCAACTCGGAGGTTTTGTGAAGTTTGCCACAGTTGAAAAAAAATATGAATTTTGTACAGTGGGAAATGATGCATAAGTATGAAGAATTAAGAGGAGCATAGAAAGATTGATATGGACTGATGCAAAATGAAATAAGGAGAACCAAAAGAATGATAGGAAGCAGTCATTACAAAATGTAAGTGAAAACTTCAGTAAAAGGAAGTCAACCAGTGAACAATAACACAGATAACAAATATATCTTTTCCCTTATGTCAGAAAGGTGGAAGACAAATATGACAGAATACTGTATGTATTGTCAGACCAAGTTTCCTTATCAATTATTTTTCTTTATCATAAAGGAGGTTTCTGTCACGGGATAGTGTTGAAATGACTGTGATGTGAAGAGAAAAGCCATTGATAAGATATATTTTTAAGTTAATTTTTTTCTATAGATTCAAATCTATAATAGAAAATCAGCATTTGTAAACCTGCACATTTTCCTGTGACATTTATGTTGCATCTAGTCCAGTTTTCTTATTTTACAGATAAGAAACTGAAACCCAGAGAAGTTGACATAAGGATATAGTAAATAGCAAAGTTGGAATTCAAATTCAGGTCATCTGATTGAATCTAGTTTGAAACAGAGTGTGTCAGGAACTTTTGGAATAGACTCATAAGATTATAGATTTTAGGGATATTACAGGCTTAGTCCTAAGACTCACCTAGGATGTCCAGTATTCAAGACTTGATAAGGATGTAGGGTGGTAGTTGATTTCTTGAGGCACCAAGTTTTTTCTTATGTCCAATTTACTTTTCTAAGGCTAGCCTCTAACCAGACTACCCACAGTATTTAAATGTATAAAGCATCAAGACTGAAACAGAATTTGGATCAGGATATTTTGTTGTCCTTTCCAGGTCTACCTATAAATCCTTGGAATTCTACCTATGATTCTTTTAATGCCACTGCTTTAGATGTGTTCTTTGATGGTTTGCTGTTCCATTCATTTGTCTACTGTTCCCAGTGCTGCTGAAAGAGATATGATACTACTACTACTACTACTACTACTACTACTACTACTACTACTACTACTACTACTACTGCCACCACCACTACCACTACCACTACAGCTACTACTACTGTTACTACTACTGGTAGTAATTTTACTAGTAGTAGTAATAAACACTAATAAGTAACATATATATACTTTGTGCTAGGCACTGTGCTTTACAAATAGTATCTCATTTGATCTTCACAACAACATTGGGACGTAGGGTCTGTTGTTATTAGCATTTTACAGATGAGGAAATTGAGGCAAACAGCTTAAGTGACTTGCTCAGGGTCACATAGTATCTGAAGCTGAATTTGAACTCAGGTCTTCGTAACTTCTAGCACTCTAACCACTCTGCCAACTAGCTGATTTTTGTCTCATCAGGTTGTATTTCCTGTATATTATATCAGAGGGTGATAGTAGCAAGAGGACAGGAGTAGAGCTGGGTAGGGTTTTTTGGCATGCCCTCAGGTCATTAGATAATGTATTTATCCTAACTTCTAGGATATTTTGGAAATCATGACCAGAAACATTGTTTTTTACATTTTATTTTGGACAGAAGAGAAACGCCCCTTTGATTTCGATTTCTTTGCTCGTTTGCTTGAGAAGGTCCTTGCAGAAGAGGAGAAAAGAAAACAGAAAACTGTTAAAAATCAAAACACAAAAGAGAAGAAGTCTTCTAGACCTCGAAAAAAGCAAAATGGTATTTATTATAAATGAGAGTATGAAATGATATTGATTTGGTTGTGTTTTTATTCATAATAATTCTTGAGGTTTTATAGGTGGTTCTGTAGGTTGGAAACATCAGGATCAGAGCATTCAATGAAAGGGTGATTGATTTTTCTTCAGCTTCATCGTTATTTATGACTAGTAGTCTGTATAGGAGCTGCTTCCTAAATAGTTTTTGGAATACTGTATCAATGTTACATATATACATATATATAATATATATGTATATTGTGTGTGTGTGTGTATATATATATATAGTTGCATTCTGAAAAACATTGAGTATGATGGGTAGTATATCTATGCTATCTATGTAGGCCTTTTTGTTAACACCATATCATAATACTTCAGTACTGATTTCCAGTGTAAAAGCAATCTTTAATTATTTTGTATTTGACTCTTTATATTTTTTTTTAGCAGAAATCTAATTTTCTTTATTTTGGGAGATCTGTTTTATGACATTAATGCATTTGAGTACTACTGGCATCTGAAAGGCAATTTTAGTTTCTGTTGGAAAATTACTTCTACATAAACTTCTTGGTTTATAAGCATAAATATATATATTTTCTTAACTGCATCCTTTAAATCCTCCTTACATAGCATATGCTGCTAAATTAGGGGATCTTAGAGCTAGACGTTATTTAACCATTTTACACCTGAGGAATTTGAGGCTGATGAACTCAGGTGACTTCACCAAGGTCAAACCAGCTAGTCAGTGATGGAGTTAGGGTGAGATCCAAAGTTTTCTCAGGTGCTTCTTCCACTTTGTTGTCTCTATCTTTGTGGAAATAGTATTGAGAACATCATACTTCATTCACAGTATATAATTCTTAGCCATTTTTCATTTGCCACGTATGCCGGATGGGAAAGAAGTAATATCAATTCTGCATTATTAAATTCTAAAATAATTCTATTAATTCTGGTTTACTAAGTTGCTTTTAGAGCTTTCTCAGTTCCTAGGATCATAGATCTATATCTGGAAGAAATCTTAGTTCACTGCAACTTGTTTTATAAATATCCAGACTACTTCTAAGGACAGGAGCAAGTTTCCAGAATGTTGAAACGGTGTTCATTGTTGTGACGTAGAGGAGATCTGATTTAATTCTCCATTTGTCCTCTTTCCTCTTTCTGTACTTTTTATATTCTTCATTTTTATTTATATTCATTTCTTCATTTTGCCCTTATGTCTTCAAGTTGCCTATTAGCCTGTCTGGAAGAAGTATTACCGTTTAAAGGTGAAAATAGAAAATTTATGGATACTTCTGTTTTTAGTAAATAGAGTTGCCAGTGGTGAAGTAGATGATGATCCAGATGAGTCTCTGAATGCTAGACTTTCAGACATGAAAGGAACCGAAATGGGTGCTGAGATTGTCGAGAAAGAGAATGACCAATCTTTGAATATAGCAGGACAGACTATATTAGAGTCTGTTGTAAACAGAAAGAAACGGAAAAGGAAGAAAAAGGATGACATTGATGAGCAAGAAGCAGAAAATGTTTCAAAAGAGGCCACTGACCCCTCAGACAGTTCTAAAGGAGAAAAGCCAAGTAAGAGTAAGTGATGTTTTTTTAGCAGAAATCTATAGTAAAATTAAAAATTATGCAATACTTATTGTACAACTGAACTTTTTGCTTATATTTTGCTTTTGAATAATCACTGTCAAATAATACCTATTAACTGTTGATTTATTTATATTCATGGCACTGTGTCCAAGTTACTTATTGTTTTGACAGAGATGGATTGGCATTGGGAGATGTTTTTATTGGAAGCATAATGACACTTATTAGAATTTACGTGTTTTCGACCATTGGTGGTTGTTAGGTTGAGGTGGGAAGGTGAACGTACTAGATATAGAGCAGACATTGTTTCTGCCCTCATGAGTTAAAAATTTGTATTGCTTAAGATGACAGATGAGTTAAAAGTAAGAGAAAAAGTAGTAACAGATTAGAAGAACCCCAAGTAATTTGGTTACTGATTTAACTATAGTTGGTCCATCAAGACACACGCGGAGTAAATGGGTACTTCCAGGTAAAATAACACTAATAGCTTACATTATATGTTCTTTTTGGTTTGCAAAATGGTTGATATACACTACCTATTTATATAGGACTCCTAACAGTCCTTTGAGGTAGGTAGCCACATATCATTCTTATTTTACAGATAAAGAAACTGTAATGTAGAGATGTTAAGTGATTTACTGATGGTCATGCACTTAATAAATAGAAGAGCTGTGACTCAAAGTTGGGTTTTATGATAGGACAGCTGATGCTCTTTCCACTACACTGTAATATCTGCTTTCAGATTTTAAGGGAATCTTGGTATGGTGGTTAACATGTAGTCAGTGATAATAAAAAATTATTTTTTGAATAAATCATTGAATATTCAGCATTTTCCAAATTATAGGCTTAGAAAGATTTTTTATACTCTTGATGATACCATCAGAAGATGCTTCTCTGTTAAAAAGATTGGAAAAATTTTTCTCTTCATTTTGAAAATAACATTCATTTGTTTGTTAATAGAGAAATGTCAGCTTTTGGTAACTGTAATAAATGGGGATGAATGTAACAAAGGCTTGGAAGTTTCCAATTTAGAAAACCTAGATGAGATTGCTTGCATACCACCAAGTAAAAATGTTGAGAATGAAACTGAACACATCTCTTCAGCAAGGTAATTTTAATGCTTTTCAACAAGTTCACTGTCTTCCTAGTTCTCTTGGATTGTCAGACCTGTAAATGTAGTTTGTTATTTAAGTCATTTAAAATAAGTGTATAGTAAAGTAAAATCTGATTTATCTCAGTGCACAGCCACCTGATTGGAAAAGCAGGAGTATTTGCTTGCATTTTGTTTTCAACGAGTGGAGTTAGAACTTGGAATTCAAGTTTAGAACTGCGATTGTTAGCTCTACTCCTCCAAAATGTCTCCTAGAAGGGGACGACACCTACCACCTGAAATTTCCTATCACTTACTACTCTTTTATATGTGTTACAACTAATGCCCACCCACGGCCAATTCAGTAAATTCCTATTTCTTAGCCTTTTGGTTTGGGTCTCTTAAATTGGAAATTAGATAAACACTGATTTTTGTTTGTTTGGCTTGTGGGAACAACCGCATTGCTTTATGGTCACCCACTACACATAATACCGACAACTCAACCTTGAAAGGATAGCTTCAAATACTTTGTGTATGTAAATTTGTACCATCAGCCTCATATAGGTAATGATTTTACATTTTGCTATTTCCTGTCTTGAGGAAGAGCTTCTCTCTTGAGCAGAGCTTGCTTGTGTTGACTTGTAGTAGCTTCTTACTCTGAAGAAGGATTTTTTTTTTCAGAATATACTTGGATAAAGCAGGTTTTTCCTTGCAAATGAGTTTCAGGTGCACTTTCCATTTAAGCACATAATGCAGGTTGCCTTTAATAACCTCAGTTTGTGTAATCTTAATAGCTAATTTGATTTTCTTCCTTTCAGATTGTTTGCAAAACCTATGTAAATTTTTGATGGTGATAGACATCCTGTTTTTTTGAAAGAACGTTAGTTAGAAAATACTGTTAGGAACACTATAACAAATTGAATTAATTAGAAACAATTTTGAATATTATTCATGGAAAATGCCATACAAAGAAGCTATAGGAGCAATACAGTATCAAATTGAATTTCTTAAGTGTATACTACATACTTCTTAGAATTTCCATGCTTTAAAGACTTCTGAATGTCTATGCATGCTAAAGTATAATACTATCACATCTCTTTGACCATGCTTTTCTTCTTCAGTAATCAAGATGTTAATGCCGCATCAGTAGCAGCAGTTGAATCTTCTGAACCAGAGGCTTTAGATTTGTCTCCCTCAAAAGCCAGAAGTAAAGAATTGACTCAGATTGTTCAAGTTGACAGCAGCGTAGGAGGAAAAATTGGTGATACTACTATTAAACTCCTGTAAGTATCTTTTATAAATGAAATTGTAGGAAGAAGTGGTATGTTGAATGTGCATGACATTTCCAAGGGTTAGATTCAATGCACTTTTCTTGTGCCATTAAGTGTATATGTTAATGACATGTGGCATTCTGCCATTAACTTTTTATCTTTAGATACTATAGAATAGATGTATGATTCCTAGTAAGTTACTGATTATAATAATGCCTCTATAAGAAATTAAGTCTTAAGTTTCACAGTTTTCATTTTTACTTTTTCATGGGGTTTGTAGTACCGAGAATATCATTCTTGTGGTCATTTTTTCCATCAGTGCATACCATGATCCTTTGGGATCTTTTCATCTTTTTCTGTTTTTTCATTGGTGCTACATTGTTTCTCTAGCCAACATTTTAGGGACCTTCCTCTTCTTTAATATCCCAGTTATGCTATTGTACTATTTGGTCAGTCAGTTTTCTTTCTAACTAGATGAGCAGCCTATACCCTTTTCCACTCACGTGAGACTATATTTTTATGCCATTTCTTGCTTTCAAGTTGTTGTTGGTTATATACATGGCACAACTTAGTTATGTCTATAATGCACCTTTCCATTTGCCAATTTAGGGATTTACTGTGTTCCATTTTTGTAGCCATATAACGTCACTGGGGAAATGATGGAGAGAAGGCGTAGGTTCTTTGTGGGAGCCCACAATTTGAGATCCTTGAAAACCCTTTGCAGTTTCCTGAATGTGGTTCATTCTCTTCTGCACGCTACTCTTGGGTCAACCAGTACCTATGTTGTTGTTCTGTGTATTTGTATTAATTTGATGTACTTCTTGTCCACTTTTGATGCATTTGAATTTTTTTTTTTTGCGCATAGTTGGTTAGACTTCTCTTGTACTGTGTGTATTTAACCAAAGAGGATTTGGGACTTGATGTCATTTAGACATCTACTAATAGGAGATAAGCATAACCTGATATCAATGGGGACTTATAGTTACGTCATTATCCATTCATCTGATTAAAAAGTAGAAGCTATGAATCATTGACTAAAGTAGCCCTTGTAGAATATCTTTTATAAACTCTCAATGAGTTTAATCATCTAAAAGTCTTTAGAGCTATATTTTTTCATTCTAAATTTAATGAACACTAAAAAGAAACCTTTCCCATATAAAAAAATAGAACAGAAAAAGGGATTATATGTGAAACAGCAAATGCATATGCTTTTTTAAAAAAAGTCATGAATTCAGTATGCTACTGTCATGACTGTCCTGCTCATTGGTTTCTCTCTGACCTTTTATTCCCTTCCTTGTATTTTTTAAGGTGTTTCAATCTCCTCTTTCATTTAAAAAAAATTTTTTTTTTACTGTCACTAGCTACCAAATGCTTTTCTCACAACAACACTGAGACTGAGATAGTGTAAGTATCATCATCCATTTTGTACCAATTAATAGAATGGAGATTCAAGGATATTAAGTGATCTGACCTGAGTCACACAGCTAGTAAAGGTCAGGTCAGGGACTCATTCTGTAATCTTGTGCCTCTTTAAAAAAAGATCATATTTCAGTAGGCTGTCTCTTTTATAATAACTTTGTTTTTAGCATTGTTTTCTGTAATTACATGTCTTTGACCATACACAGACTCTCTAGTTTAAACATAGTTTAAATATTATGCTATTTTTGGTTTTTTAGGGAAGCTGAAAAAGCTGATACTAGCAAACCCAAAGTGAGAGGACGTCCCCTCAGGCCTAAACCCAACTTGTTAAGACCATTTGGAAAGAAAGTAGAATCTACTGAAAATAAAATTGAAATGGAGACTAAAAATTCATTTCCAGAACTTCCAGGAAATGTTGAAAAGGTATGGAATAGGGAGAGACTAAGTTGAAAATAAATTATAAATTTTTTCCCAAATGGTAGATTAAAATGCATGAGATATGACTATGAAGTAATATTATGTATTTTTAAACCACTATGCTAGAATTTATAAATCCAAATGATAAAATTTTCCAAATGAATCACTATACTTATTCCAATGTGACTGCCTTTACTGAAGACTCTTTCCCAATTATCTGTGTCAACAAATGTTTGTCTTGTGAGGATAAATTTGATTTTTGCAAATATCTCAAAATAAATTTGCCTGAAGTCTGATAAACTTGAATATAATACTGTTTTTGTGTAAAAATGAATTGTGATGGGGTTAGACCTCTCAAGTGGAGGTGTACCACTCTTAAAGGAAATGTGGTATTTGTTATATATCTTGTGAACTTTTCCTAAAAGCAGTTTTGAAAATGCACTTCCAAGAATGTTTTTGAGAAATGGCATTATCATTACCACCCAGCTTGGAGGATCACACAGAGAACTTAAGGCCCAGTATCCCTGGTTATTTCCAGAAAATACTACCCTCTTTGAGACTATAAGTATTAAAATCATCTTCCACCTGCTGCTTTTCATTAAGCTATCCAACTTCCCTGTCCCTTTGTTACTTAAATGCTGCCTAGGAGCAAACTTTGCTACCAATGTCCACCTTATCCTCTCTCATTCTCATCCTCTTCAACTCTCCCCCACCCATGTCCTCTGGATTTTCTCCTCCATAATGATCAAGCTTCCTTTTGTTTTGGACTTCTTTCTCTTATACTTCTATTGTTTGGTTCTTAGCAAAATCTGTCTTCTCCAAGATGTCTCTAGATCCCTGGCCTTTGTCTCTAGCACTGGCTAGATTTTCCTTCACACTTAGCACCCTCCAACATAATCAGTGTGTATGTCGGTATGCATGTAGGAGTCTAAACAATCCTTGCTTCCCCATTGAAACTTTCAGACTTTACCTTTATCACCATCACTCAGCAGCCTGTTCTTTGAAATGGAGATGACTGAATAATTATTTTGCCTTGTATGATCACGGTGGCTATTCTGTATTGGCCATGAGGACATTCTTCCACCTTTCTCTACTCTTTGTTGCCTGTTCTGACTGACTTTTCACAGTCTTTGTCCTTGTTGACCTCTCTAATATATTTGACGCTGTTGACTACTCTCTCCTCCTGTATATTTTTTCCCTCTCTTGATTTTTGTGAAGCATCTCTCTTCTCTCTTCGGATTCATCATTCTTTGTCACACTTGCTAAAACTGTGTGTGTTCCCCCAAAACCCTGTTCTGTACCTACTTTTCCTTTTACCCCCTTTTAGGGTGCTCCCATGGATTTAATGATCATATCCATGAATTTGACTCCTAAATTTATATATCCAGTTTTAGTTTCTCCCCTGAACTTCAGTCTTTTACCTATTTGACATTTTAAACTGGATATCCTAGAGGCTACTCAAACTCAGTGTGTCCAAAGCAAAGTTCATGATTTCCTCCCTTACTTCACCCCTCTTCCAGATTTCTTTGTTTCTGTCAAAGGCACCACTGTTCTTCCAGTCTCCTAGCTTTACAATTTTGGGCTTATTTTCATCTTCTTGCTTTCCTTCACCCAAAATCATTTGCTAAATTTTGCTACTTCTCCCTCCACTAAATCTTGTGTACCCAGTCCATTCTCTCTTCTCACACAAGTAATTGGTCCCCTCAAAATTCACCTCTACCTCAGTTTATCCTCCACATAGCTGCCAAAATGATTTTCTGAGGTGCAGATCTGGCCGTGTGTCACTCCCCTTCTCGTTTAACTTCAGGGTTCCCTGTTGCTTCTGTTTGGCTTTTAAAGTCCTTTAAAATCTTCCCCAAAACTGTCTTTCTAGCCTCATTCTAAATTATTCCTCTTTCTTACATCCTGCAGTCTAGCCAAAGGTCCTCTCTGTTCCTCACTCAGGGTGTAACATCTTTGTCTTAGGACCTTTGTGCTGGTCCTCCCCTCTGCCTGGAATGCAATTCCTTCTCACTTTGACTTCATAGAGCGCCCTCATTTCAATTTTCATCTCAAACATTATCTTCTACATGTAACCTCTTATGATTCCTCCAACTATCAGTGCCCTACCTCTGTGACTATTTTGTATGTAGTTATCTTGTATTCTGTTTATATTTATTTGACATATACTAATAGATCTACTTATGTTTTGCTTCTTAGAGTGTATTTTTTGAGAGTAGGGATTGTTCCATTCTTTGAATTTGTATCCTTAGCATCCAGCACAGTGCCTAGAAACATGCTAAGTGGTTAGTAAATGTTTATTGAGCAGTCCTTTTGTGATGCCTTAGAAGGACAGTTCCATTTGGATGTCTGAGTTCTGGTGTATTTGTTTAAAATAGTTGTTATCATCCTACATTATATGATAGCTTTTTTTATACATTCTATTTGGATTTATGGGATTTTTCTTCCATTCCTTAAATTCAGCCATTAAATTAAATATCAAAAACTTATTTTGCTGTGACTGTTATGTATAAATAGGTTAATGTTTTACAATTTTCCAGAGTCACATGGAAAAAGATGAATGTGGCCCTCCTGATATTCCTGGAAAGGAAGTCGCAGAAACAGAGAGTCAAGGACCTGAAGCTGAATCTCAGTAAGTATCAGGAAAAATAATTTTTAAAATAGCATTTAGGAATGGTGGCAATATGCATGGAAGGTGATTATGACTTCAGATTTTTTCATTTTATTTTATTTTTCAACATGTATTTCTTTTCTTTCCTCTGATTAATTTAGAAGTAAAAAAAAAAACAAAACCCTTGTAGCAAATATGCATAGTCAGGCAAAACAAATCACCATGGTATCCTCATCTGAAAATGCCTATCTCTTTCCAATTTCTGATTTTTTTTGTTTCCACTGGTTGTATTTAAGGTCCATTTAAAGTGTAGCTATACCCAACTCAATTGAAATTTGACATGTGCAGAAATGGTGGTTTATGGTAGTTATTCCTATAGGTTATGAAGCTCCTTTCTTACTACCATTGTCAAAAGATACTAAACAAATCCATGTTTAATAAATGAAGAGAGTAACAGCATGGGAATTTTATTGATTTATTAATTTTTAATTTAAAAAATTTTTATTTTTATTTTTAATTTTCAGTTTTAAGTTCTCTTCCCCCTTCTACACCTTCCTCCACTCATTGAGAAGGCAAGAAATACAATACTCAGTATATATAGGAAGTCATGCACGCATTATTTCAGCATTAGCCATGTTGCTAAAAAAAAAAAAAAAAGAAAAGAAAAGAAAAATAAAGAGGAAAAAAGGTTCATCAGATGTCTCTGGAGGGAGATATCATTTTTCATCTTGAGTCTCTTGGAATTGTTTTGGATCACTGTAGCTCAGAGTAGGTAGGTCTTTCACAGTTTCATCATTACAATATTGCTGTTACTGTGTACAATGTTGTCCTGACTTCCCAGGTTTTTCTGAAACCATCCTGCTCATTATTTCTTATAGAACAATAGTATTCCATCACAGTCATATATCATAATTTGTTCAGCCATTCCTCAATTGATGGGCATCCCCTCAATATCCAGTTCTTTGCTGCCACTAAAAGAGCTGCTATAAATATTTTTGTACATAGAGGTCCTTTTCTCTTCTTTGATCTCTTTGATCTCTTTAGGGTATAGACCTAATAGTAGTATTGCTAGGTCAAAGGGTCATGGTTTTATAGCTCATTGGGTATAGTTCCAAATTGTTCTCTAGAATGGATGGACCATTTCAGAGCTCTACAATAACAGCTGCGTGGAAATTTTAGAAAGGAACATTTACTTAGGAAAAAAAGAGAGACAAAAAGGTATCTCTAGTATCATTCTTTCCAGTGATCGCCAGTAGAATTTGTTGTTTCCCAGCATTGGATTTGTTATTTATCACCCATGTGACCTAGCAATTCACTCCACCTTTCTGGGCTCCCTCATCTGTAAAATGAAGCATTGGACTGGATGACTTTCAGGGCCCTTCCAGCTCTAAATCTGTGTTCCCTATCATGAGAAAAAATGGTGCCACATCAATCAAAGGGAACCAAATAGTAGATGTGTAGTTGAGTGGGGAATAAGCATTTATGTAGTGCCTGCTATGTGCCAGACATTGTGCTAAGTGCTTTATAAATTCTTATTTGATCCTCACAGTGATCTTGTGACATAGAAGCTATTATTATCCGCATTTTACAGTTGAGAAAACTGAGACAAACAGAGGTTAAATGACTTGCCCAGGGTCACACAACTAGCGAGTGTCTGAGGCCATTTTTGGAACTCACGTCTTTCTGACTCCAGACTGAGCACTTTCTCCACTGTGCCGCCAGGTGCCTCTCACTATGCCACTGCAGTATGAGTATCAGATAATCAGGAATCAGGAAGCAATGCTATCACACTTATGTATATGTATTAGATCCAATAAGATGTATAAAAATTCACTTTGTAAACAAACTATCATCTGCTTTAAAAAAAACTTTTATTATTTCTAATCATGTGTAAAAACAATTCTTAACATTCTTTTTCATCTTTTTTTTGGGGGGGAGGGCTAGGCAGTGGGATTAAGTGAGTTGCCCAGAGTCACACAGCTAGTGAGTGTCATGTGTCTGAGGCTAGATTTGAACTCAGGTCCTCCTGACTCCAGGACCGGTGCTCTATCCACTGTGCCACCTAGCTTCCCCAACATTCTTTTTTAAAACTTTTTGAGTTCCAAATTCTCTCCCTCATTCCTTCCGCTCCCACCTCATTGAGAAGGCAAGCAACTTGTTTTGGTTATGAATATGCAGTCATGCAAAACATATTTCCATGTTGGTCACATTGTGAAAGAAAATAGACCAGAAAAAACCCCCAAGAAAAATAAAGAAAAAAGTGTGCTTTGTTCTGCATTCAGGCTTTATCAGTTCTCTCTCTGGAGGTGAATAGCATTTTTCATCATGAGTCCTTTGGAATTGTCTTGGCTCATTGTATTGCTGAGAATAGTTAAGCCGTTCACAGTTGATCATAGAATCATTATTGCTGTCACTGTTCTCCTGATTCTAATCACTTTACTTTGCATCAGTTCATGTCAGTCTTTCCAGGTTTTTCTTATAGCACAATAGTATGCCATCATAATACGTATCACAACTTGTTCAGCCATTTCGCCAGTTGATGGGCATCCCCTTAGTTTCCAGTTCTTTGCCATGACAAAAAGATGCTATAAATATTTTTGTACATGTAGATCATTTTCCTTTTTTTTTTTTTAACCTTTGGGGATGCTGCTGGGTCAAAGGGTATGCAGTTTTATAGCCCTCTGGGCAAAGTTCTGATTGGTTGGCTTAGTTCACAACTCCACCAACAGTGCATTAGTGTCCCGGTTTTCTCACATCCCCTCCAAACATCCAACGTTTTCCTTTTTTGTCATATTAGCCTATCTGATAGATGTGAGGTGATACCGCAGGGTTGCTTTAATTTGCATTTCTCTAATCAGTAGTGATTTAGAGCAATTTTATATGCCTGTAGACAGCTACAATTTCTTCATCTGAAAACTGCCTGTTCATATACTTTGATCATTTATCAGTTGGAGAATGACTTGTGTTCTTATAAATTTTACTTAGTTTTCTATGTAGTTGAGAAATGAGGCTTTTATCAGAGAAACTTTCAGCTGCTTTTGTTTTTGGTGACTATTTAGTTAATTCTTAATATATTTTAGGCAATATAAATTTTTTTTTTGTGAGGCAGTTGGGGTTAAGTGAGTTGCCCAGAGTCACACAGCTAGTGAGTGCTATGTGCCTGAAGCAGATTTTGAACTCAGGTCCTCCTGACTCTGGAGCTGGTGCTCTATCTACTGTGCCACCTAGCTGCCCCTGGCAATGTAATTCTTTTTCCTCAGTCCTCCTACTCCTTTCACCTTCTCCTGTTTCCCTCTATTTTTGTTTTATAGAAGTTTAATGAAGTGCCTAAAAGATGGGAATTATCAATTTGTGTATACATTTCTAACTTCACAATTAATAGTAATGAAAAATTTAATAAATTTTACAAAGAATTTTAAAGAAAATGTTTCACAAAATGAATTATATATTCCAAATCATCTTAGTTATTCACATATTGTAAAATACACTAAATAACAGCTCATGTGTTAGGAAGAAGACATCCCTTATTTTACCCCCACCTTTTTTTTTTCAGTGAAAACCATGGTTTACAAGAAACTGATAAGGCAAGTACTTTCAGACCACCGAGGTTAATGAGGGGTCGAATGCAGAGACCAAAGCCACATATCAGGAGAACAGCTGGCCAGAAAGAAGTATTAGCAGCAGAAGACAAAACCGGAACTAAGGAAGAGGAGGAAAGTGAGTCCAGCGTCGCCAAAGGTGTAAGTATTGTTTTTTTTTAATTAAAACAAAACAAAACCTTGGATCCAAGATCAAATCTTATGATACAAGCCAAAATTCTCTGCTTAGCAGAACAGATTTCCTAAGTGTTAAAATTAAAAAAAGCATGAACCCTAATTTACCTGAATTTTGAAGAGGCCTACTTTATGCATAAGTGTGTAGCCAATCTTTAATTCCAGAAAGATCTCCCATGACCTCTCCTATAACCTCTCACTTAAATAACCCTTGCTTTCCAGTTGATCCTTCCTTTCTACCCCTGCCTTAGCAGTAGTTGTTTGCTTAGGAAATGAAAAGTAATTTTTAACATTTACCTAAATAATATATTATTTAAAAAGGTAAATACTTTTCCCTTTTGGAATACATTATGAATTTTTTTTTTGGCATAACTAACATTTTTCTTTACTAAATAGCAAATATAAAATAATCCATATCAGTCTATTATGTCTGTGAAGTTTATTATGAAGACTTTAGGATCTAATTTTAGATTTATATTGAATAATAAAATCTTTCAATAAAGTTGGAACTAGGTATTTTATATATAGTGTACAAAAGTCTTAGTGCAGTTTTAAGCTGTAATAACTTCAGTTAGTACTGCAGACTTACAAAAAATGACATTTAAAAGGTAAATAATTTAAGGTTTTAAAATATTTTTTTTCTGGTTAAAATTCAAAATAACAAGTTTTGTGCTGTAGTCACTTCAGATTTCATAAAAACTTTCGTCAGCTGCTTCTCAGTGACTGAAAGCATTGCATTTGTAACCCTAGCCTTAATTAACATCATGCAAAAATAAGGTTTTGATACATACACGACAGTTTTGATGTGACCACACAACAAAAAGTCTAATAGATCTAATAGATCAGGTAACTGTGGCAGCCAAGCAGGGAGAGTTATTAAATTATTAAACTGTGCTAGGACTTTTGGGTCACCCTGTGTACTGATTGTGTAGATTTTGTTCAGCTGTCAGTATAGGTGTCTTCCATGACAGCTGGAGCACTGACAGTTTTGAAAAAAAAAAGTAGGGGACAAAACAAGTTAGGTCATTCCTAAGTTGGTCAGTAGGAAAGACTGAAAATGTTCTGTGAATAATATTTGTTGTCTAAAATTTTATATTCTCTGATGTTATTTTTAAGAGCTGGTAGAATTCAGGTTTTTAAAAATTGAATTATATTTTCTTTATGTGTAATCAAATTAATTTTTGTCTGATGGTCCATGATAGATTCTTTACTTTTGATATTATTTAGTCTTTTTGTCTTACTCATAGCATCTATTATTCTCTTTAATATACAGTGGGCATTCAATAAGTGCCATTGACTGACACCAACAGTCTGACATCAAACTTTGAAATGATAACTGTGGGACCTGTATACAAATGTCATGCCTGCATTTTGTTGATTTCATTATAGTGGTCAGTCAACAAAATTCTGGTTAAATACAGTCATTGTTAGTACCATACTATCAAAGTTAAGGGTCACATCCTTCTATTTGTTAACAAGTAAAACATAATTGTGCTTAATATACTTTGTAATCATGTTTTAAGGAATACCTTTTTATTAAAACCAGTCATGTCAGTATATTTAAAGTAATAAATGAAAGGGATCAATATAACTGCCTTGTAATAAATTTATATATCTTTGGTTTTCAGGCTACCATTTGAACTATTGTAATAATTCCTTATGGCTTGTGATTCTTAGTGATATAATAGCAATAACTGACCATATATATACATTATCACATTTGATCCCCATTTGACTAATATATTGAAGGAAGGATACTGAATGAAGAAGTATTTGGAAAGATAATTTTGAGGGTCATGATTTGGAGGGATAACATTCTGGCAACTTCTTGTGTGTCAATAAGAAGGGAGAAAGAATGGGTCCTTAGTGATATGAAAATAAGAAGAAAAAGTAAATGGAGGCATATGAAATGTTATTAGCTATTTAAGAGGAGTATTGAAAGGATAAAATTTGTTTGTTTGTTTTTGCTTAGGCAATTGGGGTTAAGTGACTTGCCCAGGGTCACACAGCTAGTAAGTGTCAAGTGTCTGAGGCCAGATTTGAACTCAGTTCCTCCTGACTCCAAGGCTGGAGCTCTATCCATTGCTCCACCTAGCTGCCCCTGAAAGGACAAAATTTGAAGAATTATGTTGGAATTTTATTTGTAAATAGGATACCTTGTCTTTTTTTCCTCTAGAAGTACAATCGCCTGGATTTTCAAATGAAGTTCCTTTCTCCATTGGATATATTTTTTCCTCCACTGAAGACCTACTCTTGATGCCTTTTGGTGATATAGAGTTGATCTATTCTCAAAGGCTATCCCAGTAGATTTACAAGTACTAGCACATTCTTCTAAAATCGAAAGGCTTCTATTACAAGCCTAGTAACATGTTTTGCTGGGCATATGGACATCAGCATAGCTAAATTCAGAAAGCTTCAGTCATCAGAAGGTTCATCTTCAGGCAGTTGAGTTTTTTGGTCACAGAAACTCATGAAGCTTACTATTGGGTATAGGCATCATTAATAGAGGAATTACCTACACCAATAACAACTTTTGAATTATTGAAATAACAAGTACATTTCTTAGCATCATTGTGAAATATGTAAGATGTTTGCCATTCTTTGTTCTTAAGGCCCAAGTACAAACAGAAGATAAGTCATTTAACAAGTTAGATGTTGGGGACAGTAGTTCAAAGAGTGAAAAAGAAGATGTAATTTTTCAGAAGTCAAAAGCAGATGAGCTTGAGACTGTTAAGGAAAATCAGAGGTAAGTGCATCAAAGGAACTGGTTGAGTTTTTTTTTTGTCTTTGTACTCCCAGGTCCTAACACACAGTATGTGCTTAATAAATGATTGTAGGTAAATTGATTGGTTTGTAATTGAAAATTTTATGTTTGCACATGATAATTTTTCCAAAGCTTAGCTGGAAAGACTGAGTGGCCAATCCATTTCTTAGAACATCTATGGTTACTTATAGGGAAGACATAGGAAATTCTTTATACTCACTCATGAGAAAACTTGGAAACCTGCTATTTTAAATTTTTGGACATTTGAAAGCATTGCATTTAAAAAAAACATTTCTTAGTTTCTTACCATTTGTATAACTGGTTTTGCTAAAATTATTGTTTCTATAAGATTTCTTTCTTATACCTTGTAGAGTATAAGATGTAGAACAGTGGTGAAAATTCTACTTTAGCCTTTCCCATAAGCATTTTAAAGACAGGAACTAGAATTTTTGCTATTTACTGTTTTCTTGTAAGATGAAGTATTTCTTTTCCTTACTTTTCTGAGGTTTCTGAGTATTCTAGCACAAGTGTCCAACTGCTATAGCTTTCACTGAAAGATTGAAGAACCTGCTTGTGATTTGCATTGTTTTTTACAGTCTGCAAGATGACAATAAATCAGATACACTCAAACAAGGACCAGTAATGAGAACACGATTTCAGAAGCCAAGACCTAACATAGAAGAGCAAGTGGAAGAGGCGAAATTAGCACAGGGGAAAAGGCACCCAAGGAAATAAGTGTCACTGGAAAAATAGAGGCGAGTTTGCTTCAAACTGATGATGAATTCAGTTCTCTTCCCCTCCCAGATGTAAGTTTTATGTGTTTTTCTTTATTAAAAATATTCTTAGTTATTTTTTCAGAGAAAGTTATTAGCAAATTCTTATTATGAACATTGCCTTACACCTAATGAAATTTGAAATCTTTGAAAGTGGTGATGGTTATATGTAGATTCTAGAAGGAGGAACATTATTTGTTAAGTACTAAATTCATTGTAAAGATCCATAATATGGTCATTATGTACCATGCTGTAGCTGAAATAATGTTATAAATTACCTTGGATAAGTCAGTTTTGTTCTAGATCCTAGTTTTTCATCTGTAAGCTGAGAAAGTTGGTCTAACACAGTGTCTGAAAGGCTCTAAACATTCAGGGTTTTATCATACCTCAAGGTCATCACTTCTGTGAATTATCATTTTATAGTATTGTAGATATAGGCGGTATGGAAAATTAGGATTAGAATGAATCTGTACTGATTATAGAATATTCCTGAGGATTCATTTTTAAAATGACACTAACTCATCACTCAGTTCTTTGATTTTTAAAAAACAAATTCCCTTTACTTGAGGGTTCTGGTTCCATTAATTGAAGTTTCATTATCCTTAAAGCATTTTGTTAATGAGTGCTTTCTAATATATCTCATCTGTTAGATGATTGGGTTTTAAGGAGGTAGCCTAAAGAATGGAAGCATGCTTAACATAAAAGTAGCTAGGAAGAATTCACAACTTCAGAATTCTTTTTTATCTGGGATAAAGATTTGGCATTGCTGCTTAAAAAATATTGGTTATAGAGTGACTTAGGAATATTTTAGACACTTGAGATCATGCTTGTGCGTTAGTTGGTCATTATAGATGTCATTTCTAGATTATAAGCTGTGGAGTGCCACCCCCTGTTGAAGCATTTGAAAAAGAAGCACCTTCTCAAAAGGGAATCTCAAGTCCAGTAATTCCTCTGAAGCCTTCTTGCATGTCACCTGTAGAAGAGTGTGAAGAAGATAAGGAAAGACAATCTACAACTGATCTGGAGCAGGTTTCACATATTATTGAAAGGTATCTGAGTGGATATATTTATTTGTAAGAGAAAATAAAATTTCAATTCATAGTTGATAGTAAATTAGGTAGGATTTCTGATACTTGGAAGACAGAAACAAAATTTAAGACTACCATAACAAAAGGAGAAACAAGAAAATATGCTGAAATTCTTATATGATGATCTTAGATCAAATGATTCAGCAGTAAGACAATAATTTTATTAATTTAGAGTTAAGCTCAGCTCTTAGTAAAAAGAAATATCTGCCAAGTTAGGGACACAAGAATAAAGAGAGGGAGGAATAAATTAAAAACATTTAATAAGTACTTACTATGTTCAGCATCAAATACCTACTGTATTCAGAGCATTGAGCTAAGCACTGTAGGAAATATATAGTTTAAATAAGACAAGACATTCCCTTATAGAAGAGCTTATAATCTAGTAGGGGCATGTGATGTACATACAGATAACACTGATACAAAGTATTACATGATAAGCTCATTAGAGAGGTACTACAAAAGTGCTGAGATTTCAGATGAGAAAAGTCGCCATATGCCTTCTCCTTTCTTATTTACGGTTATATAAACTTGGTTAGTCAACTTGGTTATAAGTTGACTAGGTCCATTACAAATTCATATTCTCTAACCATAACTAGACCCTCATTGCAGCAAGGCAGTCTTTTTTTTTCCTTCCTTAATTTAAATTCCATGTATCACTTCCCACAGAAACTTCCAGAACTTCTCTCCTCAAGCCTTTCCACAGTTAAAACTAAAGATTTTTACTCTTAAATATTTACTTAGAAAATTGAGTCCATTTGCTAGTAGCGAGTTCTTCTCTTTTGCTCTTCATCTTAAAACCTCTTGCTGTCATTCCTCACTCTCTTCTCTTTTCCTCCAGTTTCTGATAAGGTAGCCCTTCTCCTTGCCAAAATAATCCCTCTGCTTGTGCCTTTGATCCCATCTGCTTCCATCTTTTTCAGCAAATTGCCCTCACTATCTTTCTGTCTTCCCCCTCCCGACCTTTCTGTCCTTCTCCCTCTTCCTCATCTATGATGTCTCTCCTGGTGTCTTCACCATTGCCTTCAAGCTTGCCCAACACTTCCCCATCTTTCAAAAACCTTTACTAAACCCTCTTGTCCCTTCAAGCTATTGCCCTCTGTCTCTCTTTCCTTTTTCAGATACAGTCCTAGAAAACCTGTCTATTCCTCTCTACTTCCACTCAACTCTTTGTTGAAGTCTGTCGTCTGTTACTCAAATGAAAATGCTTTCTCTGTGGTTATCAAGGATTTTTTCATTCCCAAATCTGGTGATCTTTTCTCAGTCCACTTTGATTTGTATAGATTGAAAAAATTTAATAGAGTGATCTTTACAGAATAAGGATTGTAGAACCACAGTAGTAAAATAAAAAAGGAAGCAAAGAAGCAGAAATAAGCCCCTTCCCTAGGCACAAGCATAATCTTGTAGAATTTGTTAGCTCTGGGAGAAGAGGGAGCCAGAGAACAAGGCAAAGCTTATTGGGTATGGGAGAAATACTCCCAAGTACTTCATTAAGTAATGCACGTTTTGTTTCCTTGATGAGTAGATTCTCATGGTACATGGTTGTATAATTCCTAGCTTAAAACCTCAACTTCTTGACATACCAGTACTATTTGCATCTTTAAGTGTCCTCTCCATATTGTAACCTTTTGCCACTAGTATTAATAATTTCTGTTTGGTGCTTAAATGGCCACTTTTTTTTAACTAGGGCTCCTTTCTAGCTATAGGTAGAAAAGAATTTGCTTATAAGTTTCTTTTGTAGCATTAACTGCTTTCTTATGTTTAATATTTTTTCTTCTCAAAAGCAGATGTTCTCAAGATGAAAAGCTCTCTGTAGTTAAAAAAACACCTTTTGTGAGAAGTCGATTCAAGAGACCAAGACCAAACTTAGGAAGAGCAATTGAAAAAAGTGGTGTTCCAGGAGCAGAAAAATGTGAGTTAGTGGAAACAGGAAAATTGGAGATTATGATACAACATGATAGTAAACAAGATGCCATCTCCCCCCCTCAAGATGATGCCTTTCTCCTTCAAGAAAATGTTTCTATCTTTCAAGTTAATTCTTCCCCCTGTCAAGAAGATTCCTTCCCACCTCAAGTCACTTCCTCTTCTCCCCAAGTTGATGCCTCATCCCCTAAAAATGATTCTGTTCTTGATCAAGGTGATGCCATGCCCCCTCAAGTCCCTACCTCCCCCACCCAACTCGATACCTTCCCACTTCAAGACAGTGCTTCTCCCCCTCAAGTCAGTGTCTTTCCTCTTCAACATGACATTTCGTCCCTTCAAGATGATGCCTCTCCCCTTCAAGGGGAAGCCTCTGCCCTTCAAGGTGAAGCCTTCCTCCTTCGAGACAGTGCTTCCTCCCTTCAAGACAATGGCTCCCCAGTTCAAGGTGAATCCTCCCCCCTTCAAGGTGAATCCTTCCACCTTCGAGACAGTGCCTCCCCCCTTCAAGGTGATGCCTCCCCCCTTCAAGGTGATGCCTCCCGCATTCAAGGCAATGCCTACCCCCTTCAAGGCCATGCCTCCCCACTTCAAGTTAAAGCTTTCCCCCTTCAAGATGATGCTTCCCCCTTTAAAGATGAGGCCTCCCCCCTTCAATATGAGGCCTCTCCCCTTCAAGATGAGGCCTCCCCCCTTCAAGATGAGGCCTGCCTCCTTAAAAATGAGGCCTCCCTCTTTCAAGACGAGGCCTCCCCCCTTCAAGATGAGGCCTCCCCCCTTCAAGATGAGTCCTCCCCCCTTCAAGATGAGGCCTCACCCCTTCAAGATAAGGCCTCTCCCTTTCAAGATGAGGCCTCCCCTCTTCAAAGTGAAGCCTCCCTTCTTCAAGGTGATGCCTCCTCACTTCAAGTTGATGCCTCCCTACTTCAAAGTGAAGCCTTCCTTCTTCAAGGTAGTGCTTCCCCCCTTCAAGACGATGCCTCTCCACTTAAAGGCAATGCCTCCTTCCTTCAAGATGAGGTCTCCTCTCTTCAAGGTGAGGTCTTCCCTCTTCAAGGTGATGTCTCCCCACTTCAAGGCGAAGTCTCCCCACTTCAAAGTGAAGCCTCCTCTCTTCAGAGTGATGTCTGTTCTCAAGACAGTGCCTCACCCCCTCAAGTTGGTGCTTTTCCTGCTCAAGTCTATGCTTCCCCCCCCCAGTTGGCTGCCTCCTCCCTTCAAGTTGTTGGCTCCTCACATCAAGATGATGCCTCTGTCCCTCAAGATGATGTCTCTCCCCCTCAGATGGCTGCCTCTCCCACTAAAAATGATGTCACCCCTTTTCAAGTTGATGTTTCTCCCCTTCAAGTTGATGTCTCCACTCTTCAATACAATACCTCCCCCCTTCCAGTTGCTACCTCCTCTCTTCAAGTCAGTGCTTCCCCCATTCAAGTCATTACCTTTCCCCTGAAGATGACGCCCAAGTCACTGCTTCCTGCCCTCAAGGTGCTGCCCTTCCCATTCAGGACATCAGCCACCCTTGTCAGAATGTAAGTGATGCTATTTAATATTAAGTATTTTTGGAAACTTTTAGTCATAAATATGGCTAATTTTGACTAGCTGTGGCTAGTTTTACCCTTGGAATTAGTTGTTTAAAGATTTCTGACTTGGTTTCCACCCTCCCATTACTCTTTCAGTCATACCACATAGCTTAAGGTACAAACACTTAGGGAATCATAATCATAGACATAGTCATGGACAAGACTGTGGAAAGAGCTTGTCGTGAAGTGTGGAAAGAGCTTGTCGTGAAGTCAGCAAGCCTAGGTTCTTAACTAGCCTCTATCACTAATACTACATTGATTTGACATTTACATCTCTCTGACTCAATTCTTCATCCACTTGTTTTTTGGATAATGATGTGAGATAATGGAACTGAAAGTACTCTGAAAAGTTAAGAACTATCCCTATTTGTTACATTATTGGTTATTTTAAACACTTAACTTATCTGTCATGAATTAGTGCAGAACCACATTATTTCCTGTGATACAGGGTCACATGCTTGATGTAAAGTGAAATCCATCTGATGAATATTTGAGCATTTTGTACACATAACCTTTTTGAGCTAAAAATAATTTGACAGCTTGTTTTAAAGTACCTTAATGCTTTTTTGTTAATAGTGCTTATAGTTGCCTTCTTGGTTTTTAAAATAATTAATTCATTTGTGCAATATGCCTTTTAGGATGCAACTGAATGTTCTCAAAAGACAGTAGTTAAATATGAAAAACCAGTTCCAGCAAAGGAGGAAGCAGACCTGCTTTTAAATGAACAGACTCCAAAAAAGCATTTAGATTCAATGAGTTGTGCACCTGAAGAGAGGTCTTCATTTATAGAAGCCCAAGAAAGTGATTGTGCTGTTTCTATGGGGTGAATAGTTTTGCTTTTTATTGTTGTTTGGTAGAATGGGGGAAAGGGAATATAGATAGACATTAAAAATTCCATTCATTTTTATAGCCATGCAAAGCATATTTGAATTTAGTTAATACCAAAACTACCAAAGTAAACATTTATAGTTAAGCAGTTTTTAATGAGTATTTCATCATTACATTTTGAAAATTGAGAAATTTTTACATGCATTTTTGTTGAGCTGAGTGGTAGTGTATTTCCCTTCTTTGGTTAGATTGTAGAGGTGATTCACAGTTAGTTGCACATGGGATTAGATGGCCTCTGAAGTTACTTCTAGCTCTTAAGGTTACACAGTTCTCTGATATTTTACACTAAGTTGTAGTTAATGGATGGAAAATATTTAACCTAGTTTTTTCCTTAAAAATGAATGAAAAGGCATTTTAATGCTTATTATATGCTAAGTAAGCACTGGCTAAATTCTGGGGCTATAAACTAGAAAAACAAAATAGTACCTGCTTCCAAGGAGCTCATGTTCTGTTAGGGGGAGACACATTTTAAAAACATTTATGTTCATTAATAATTTGTTAATAAGTATAGTAAATTTAATCTAACAATTTTGATAATGTGTGAGGAAGTCATTTATGAATTTAAGCTGCTGTAATTTATTATAATTCGGAGATTCAAATTTTATACCATTAGAATGCTTTCTTTAAGCTTTATGTAATTTTAACTTTGTCTTCTCTCCTCCATTCCCTCGGACTCTTAGTGTTGAGAATTCCCAGCAAGATATTAAGAAAAATGACATCCAACCTGTACAGCGAACAAGGTGCCGATTTAAGAAGCCTAGGCCAAACATAAGCAAAGCAGAACGGAGAGGATCCAGGGCAGCAGGAAAATGGGTTATTGAAGAAAAAGATAAGGAAGAAGGAATAATACAGCATAAGAATGAATCTGAGAGTGAATTCTTCACCATTGTAAGTTAGTCTTTTGTAATTTTATTGAATTATGTCAGGAATGTTGATGGAAATGTATAAAATGGCAATGCAGAAGCAATCCCAGGGACAAATTAGGGAATTTGCTTATAAGACAAGCATCTGTGACATTTATAGTAAGCCTCTCCAAGACTACATGGGTCTCCTGTTTTGCTGGTACTTAGCTGTATGACTAAAGAAATGCATGTCATCTAGGTCTAGTTTTTCAGTCCTACCTCCCCTCATACTGGATTAAAAATCATTTGGTCTTTCTTGATTTGAGCTACAAAAAAAAAATTGTGCTTTTAAACCTTTCTTTGTTTTTGTGTCAGGGGGCTATTATATCTTTAAAGCAAATTACTCCTGGATTAACACTTGATGCAATCTATGAACTGGGCATATTTAATTAGTGTAACAAATTGATGAGAAAGTCACATGGCATAGTGGTTAGGGGCTGTTGGTTTAGTAGTCTAGAACCTTGGGTTCAAGTCCTAACTTTGTGTTGCTAAATACTTAGTGCCTCAGGCAGCTTTTTCAGACTATAAGTTTATAGATAAGATACTAATTTACATTGGTAGAAGAAGCTTCTTACCAGATCTCCCATAAAATTACAGATCCAGTTAAAAAAATGCATACTGAAGTTTACATATAGATTGAAATGAATCCTTTTATTCTTTCTGTTCTATTATTTGATTGTTAGGGATTTAACAGATGGTTGCTGATTGATTGTTTATGTCATAATCTTTTAAAGAAATTTAAACCAGCAAATTTTATATATAATGTGCAAAGACTGCATAATTTTAGTCCTCGTTATTATTATGTTCAGATAATTCCTAGGTATTTTCTACTTTTTGAAACAGGAAATCCTCCATGTTTATTTTTCTATTATATAACATGCCCTAACTTTGTTTTTTAGCCAAATTTTAAAATTGAAAGTGAAGTTGTACCTTCTGAAGCCCATAGTATGTGTGGAAGTAAGAATCAAGGGGTATCAGAACAAAACTTGCAGATTAGCAGAACTGAAATTTTAAATGAACCAATAAGGTGAGTTTGACCTTGACATCATCACAGAAAGTTTAAAACTTTTAAAATATGAATGGTAAATTTTTTGTAATTAATTTTGGCACATATAAGATGTGTCTCATATGCCTGTTTTTATATAGTCAATTTATATAAAAACTTTTTATGATTGAGTAATTTTGTTCCAAAAATATTTGCTATAAGTAATTACTACTGCCACTCTTTTGCTCTGCTATTTTTTATTTTTAATTTAAAGCAAGGATAAACATAAGCCTCATGCTATCAGTCCAGCACAGTTGAGGAGGAGCCGATTCCAAACAGCTAAGCCAAATTTGGGGAGGGTGTACAGAAGGAAAGAAGAACCTGGAACAGAAAAGATTGTGCCAGATAAAAATGACACAAGAAAAGCAGAAGATAAGTTATTGCAGCAAGGAGATTCTGACACCCACCAGTCTCTAAAAGTGAGATTTTTTTTTTACCTGCCACAACAGATTGATTTCATATCTTTAAAAAAAGATGTTGCTGTAATATTTCAGTAGGTATTGAAAAATCTTTGTTTAAGACTCCTTCTTTTGTTTTGATACTTTTTAAAATTAAAAGTACCCTGTCAAATTATATATTGAGAGGCATCTCAAACTTCAGTTTACCTTTGTTAATGGCAATTAAGTGTTTTCATAATTTTTAGTATTTGCTCTTTATAAGACTATGCCTTTTAGAAAAACCTAAGCTTTTCATAGCTACCTCGCTCTAGGAGAGCATTCCTTTTAGAGTTTTCTGCTTCTCTTCCTGGGAATTTAGGAACTTTTAGTGTTAAAAAGATTCATTCATTATGCATGTTTTTGAACAAGTTTAGATTAAAGATGTCATGCCAAAATATAGAAACAAACCACATTGTGATACTTAAAAACATTTTTTAAAATTTCATATTTAAGGATAAAACAGAGCTATTGTCATCCCTGGGGATTGCAGCAAGAAAAGAATGTGTGGATTCGAGAGACTCTGCCTTGCCCAAAGAATATAGTCAGTCAGAAAAATTGGATTCCTTTGACAGACAGTTGGACTACGCTGGTCACAGTGGTCCAGGAGCTACTTCCTCATCTATAGGTGTTGAAGAGCAGTTTCTAAATAAATCAACAAGGTACAGTTTTATAACAAAATATTCAAAATAATAATAACAATAGCAATAATAATAGCATTTATATAAGCAGGAGTGGGGAACCTGTGGCCTTGAGGCCACATGTGGCCCTCTAGGTCCTCAAGTGTGGCCCTCTGACTGAATCCAGACTTCACAGAACAAATCCTCTTAATAAAAGGATTTGTTCTGTACAACTTGGACTCAGTCAGAAGGCTGTATCCAAGGACCTAGAGGGCCTTGTGTGGCCTCCAGGCTGCAGGTTCCCCACCCCTAATATAGTGCTTTAATGGTTTATGAAGAACTTTATAACTATCATCTCATTTGATCTTCAGCACAACTCTTGAGGTAGGGGGCTATTATTCCAGTTTTACAGATGAGGAAACACAGTTAAGTAACTTGTCCAGGATCACATGGTTAGTAAGTATCTCAGGCAGGATTTGAACTGGAGCCTTCTCAGCTCCAGGTCCAATGAGCTATGTAGTATGCCAACCTAGTTACTTCTAGTTTAATGTAACATAGCTTCTCTGATTAGAAAATTAAACATACCTCCTGTCTTCTATGAGAGCCTTTCATTTGCTCCATTCATAGAGGAAAAGGGTTCCTTATTCATGTAAATTTCTTTTCTAAATTTTGATTATTCTTGTCCTTTTGCATTATGTTCTCCTTTTTCGAGAAGGGTTTTCTCCCTTATCAATGAATGAATATAAAATTCATTATTTCCCCATTCCAGGTTAAATCCTTAGTGTAGGGTGCATCTCATACGTTGATGGAACCTGAACAGGCAGGAAATGTCCCCACTGACTAAAAGTGAAACTAGGGCGAATAGGTAATATTGGGATGAGGATGGGGAAATGGAAAAAAGGTACATTCTCCTGCCACATTCTAATGAGTGAAGCTGGAAGCCATTCACTCAGAATATATCTCTGGCAATGTTTTAGCTTCTTTTACCCTCTCCCTGTTAACAGAAATTAGATTGGAACAGACTTCTTATGAAATTTTTTTTAAAAGTGCAGTCTTTCTGTTCTCAAGTTCCTTAAGATTAATGCCTCTTTACCTTTATTTCTCTTCTTTTTTGAAATAATTGTCTGTTCCATTTTCTATTTGGAAAGGAAAAGATAGCTCAGGATGAAAGCTCTGCTATGGGTTGTCACATGTGGTTGATCAAAAATTGAATTTACTGCTAAATATGGAATAATAATAGGAAGTTCTGACCGACTAAATTATAATTCTTCAAGGAAATAACCCATTAAAATGGGTGGTGATAATTTTTTTTATAATGACTTAAACTTATGCTTTATGTGAGTGGCCTTTATTGTTAATAAAACTTCCCTAAAAAGTTGTTTATGTTTAATGACCACAATATTTTTTAAAATGATCATTTAGATATACACAACAATCAAAAGAACCAGGTTGTCTGAAAAATACTCTGGGTCGAAGAATAGTTACTTCCTCAGCCTCTGAATGTGAGATGGATAATACTGACAGGAGAATGCAGCGGAAATGTAAACAAAATTTCACCAAAGGACGTGGAGCCAAGCGTGTCCGTGGCAGGATTTCCAAGAAGGAACCTAAGACCTCAAAGGCAGTATTAGTGACCCTCCGAGCTTCTCAAGAAGAGGATGAAGAAGATACAGAAGACCTTGAATCTGAATATGAGGAAGAAAACTACCACCTTGCACCAGAAGAAGTCAACAAGGCACCAGTGTTTGTACCTGTAGGACTCCGGTCACCAGAACCTGTTTCTGCCCAAATTGAGGAAACTATGGAAGAGGTATACAGAGTTTTTGATTCCCTGACATTGTGTTACTGCTTGGTGTTTTTTTTATGTGACATTTTCTTCTTTTGGTCATAGGATTTAAAAAACTTTAAGTTGCCTCAGGCTAATTAAATTTATATAAGTAAGAAAAAAGTACGCACTCTTGGGTGCACTGCTCAGCTCTGTGAGCCAAGCACAATAATAACAGCAATAGAGTGTGAGAAGAGTGGGGAGGAGGAACAGCTGTTTACATATGGGCATCAGAGCTCTCCAGTGTAGCTGTGTTATGTAAAATACCCATGTCGGTGATTGTCCTTACTTTTTAGAGCCCGTTGGTCGGGCCATAGTTGGGTCCAGTATGATCATATTTTTCTAGTTCCTTCAGCAGACGTGCACCACAACGCTTTGTCTTCTTTAGCTAGCCACAGATGTTTCAGAACCCAGGGGTTGGAGTGAAGAATCTCTGAGCCACTGATTTTAACGTCTGTTAGAACTCCAGACGTGTAAGAAAATGGCCAGGTTTTGATGGTAGCAGTGACGGTGTTATAAACTGGGATCATTTAGTCCCAGGGTCTGACCAGAAGTAAAGGAATAGCTCAAGAGACCAGTTTCCATTTATGTCCATAAGAGTAACAATGCAGCATACCTTCACTGGTCATTAGCAGAAATGATTAGTCTCAAGCACAGAAACTTGAAAATGGCTGGAGAGTAATTAGGAAGAAGGCTAAAACTAATTAGGAGGAGATTAAAGCGGTTATTGATGCTAAAATAACAGAATCTTTTCAAGTGCTGCCAAAAATTCAGAGGACACAGTAAAGCTGGCAAAGAAGATTCATACTGAGAGGTTAAAAAAAAAACCAAGCAAACCAAAAACCAGGTTAATTTGGCCTTTTAGTTAGCTATATTTTGGCAAAATTAATTGCTGTGTAACACTGTATGGGGAATTCATCAGATACACATTCTACACCCAGGCTTATTTTTGAGAGAAGAACAATGGTAAGTGAAAACTAGTTACCTGATAACAGAAAAACAAGTTTCAGGGTATGTATGCCCTGGGGACTGTGTAGAATTATTCTGATGTCCTAGGATGAATAGCAGTTCACCATAGTGATTGTCATTAAAGAAAGGTTTCACTTGTGTTGTTTGCTGTTGCATACAAATGTATAATATATTTTAGCTAATTCATCAAAAAGGGTTGAAACAAACAAACAAAAATAACCTTTAGTTATTCAGAATACCCTTTTTGCCAAACATCATGTGTAACTGGTATTCCTGTGCCTTGTGTTTTATAAAACGCTTAATTTTTTAAAAAGTACCTTCACTTTGTATTTCATTTTGGCTTCAAAACAGCCTTGTTAAGAGAATAGCAAAGGGTTACCCCCATTTTCTAGGTGAGGATACTGAAGCAAAGAGAAATTATATGACTTGTTTAGGTCTAGCACTTGAGTCAGTAGGCTGATATTTTTACTTTTAATTATTAGGTCATATGGTCTGTAAAGACATCAGGTTAATTGGAAGAGAACATCCAGGGAATCTTGTTCTGTTCCACATTCCCGATACATCTGCCATCCAAAAGGCCACACAGCTTGTAAAGAAATTGAGGAGAAAATGTGGTTAGAGAGTAGGGCTAGAAAATGATGACAAAAGAGAATAAGGAGTAATTGTATTCAGTATGTAAAAAAAATACCTCTAGTTGTGTTTTTGAAAAAAACTTTGCAGTATTTCATATGAGTTTTTAGCATTTTTCTTTATAGTCCTCAAATTTGAGCTTCTTTATGGTGATGTCACTCCATTACCTTGGTATCTCACAGTTTGTTCAGCCATTCCCCAAACTATCTGTTTCCAGTTTTTCCTTGGATAGCGAAATAGAACAGCAATAAACACCTTTAAGCAGAGAAAAAAAGGAGAGAATAAAGTGTCAGGGACTTAAGTTTAGGTAAGATTACTGCTGATCCTAAGGAAATGTTTTTATTGGCCAATGCACTATCACTAATACTAAGTAAGGATTATAATCTTTCAGTCCTTTAATTATGAGTATGGCACATTGATTTAGGTTGGCAAACTTTTATTTTCTATATGTGTTGCATCCCCCTACCAAACTATGAACTTTAAAAAGAAATGTTTTATTGATACTTGTTTTTTTGGGTTTTGTTTTTGTTTTTATACCACAGTCATTTTTCAAAAAATATTCCCCACCTTGTACCTCTCCTTTATAACTAATCACCTAATTAGAGATCATATTTAACAATATATGAATCATAATGCACCCATAATCACCTTAATCTCTAATCAGAGAGGAAAAGTGTGTTTTGTCATCTGGCCTCTGTGACCAAAATGGGTCATCCCATTCATCTGTGTTTAATGTTATTTTTATTTACATTATTAAAGTCATTTTGTATAGTATTCTCATGGTTCTGCTTTCTCCATTCTTTATCAGTGAGTCCATATTTTTCTGATTCAAGTCATCATTTCTTAAAGTGCAGTAGTATTCCATTACATACATATACCACAATTTATTCAGTTGATGCCCATTCAGTAGATCTGTCCAGTAGTGGCATCGAAAGGGTTTGAACAGGTTAGTGACTTTTCTTGCACAATTCCAAGTTTTTTCCAGAATTGTTGGAACACTAAACAGCTTTGCCAACCGTATATTCATATAATTTTCTTCCCACAGCCCCTTCAAACCCCTTCCTAAAACCTCTGTTTCTGCCTTTTATCATTTTGACTAATTTAGTGGTTTGTAAGGTGTTATTTGAGAGTTTTTAAAATTTGCACTTCTTTTATTTTCATGTGGTTGCTGGTAGTTTACATTTCTTTTGAAAACTGTTCAGATCCTTTGACCATTTATCTGTTGGGCAATTGCTCTTAGTGTTATATTTGTTAATTCCTTATATATGTTGGTTATCAGACTTCTAATCAGAGATTTATCTGATAGAAGGTTTCTTTTTCCTGCTTTACAGTTTCTCCTTCTATTACCTTGATTTTGTTTGTGCAAAACTTTTAAACTTTATTTAATCAAAATTATCTGTTTTATCTTTTGTGATATCTTTTGTCCCTCATTTGGTTATAAATTCTCTTACAGCTATAATTCTGAAAGGTTCTTGTTCCACTGTCCTTTAATTAATTTAATTTCTTAAAATATGACCCCTTTACATTCATATCACTTACTCATTTGTAGTTTATAGTGATATATGGTGCCATAAGCTCGTTTATGTCCTTAGATCTTTTCTATCACCCCTAGCACCTAAGCAAGTACTTGAAAAAGAGGTTAAATTACATTCTCAAGTTGAACATGAAGTTTTCAAGTTTAATATTGCTAAATTTTTGTAGACTTCCAAATGAAATAATAAAATGTTTTAATTTCTATAGCTTGAAATTTCTGTGAATGTCCCAGATGTACCATGTATTACTATTACTGAACATCTCCTTCCTGATATAAATGTGTCAAATGAAGGATTGAATCGGGAACAAAATTCGAATGCCTCGGTTGTAAGTGTACACTTCAGTTTGTTACCTTTAATTCATGTATAGGTACTCAAAAATAACTGGAGCAGTATTGTCATGGATAATCTACACACAAATAATAGTTAATGACATATAAAATTGAGACTAATAATGCCAATGAAAATTAGTTATGTTATGAGTAGGTTTCTTTGTAACCCCACTGTGGTACTCACCTGACCAGTGCTAGTGCAAGTGGTATCACTTGTATTCATCATGCTGATCTATTTTAAACGAGGCTCCCTTTCCCCAATATTTCAGTAATCCCTTAATCCTTTGTATTGAATTAATACCAACTTTAAATTATTCAGAATATATTTATTTCCAAGTCTTTTGGAAGTCACATTAATTGCTTTGCTTCATTCATTCATTCATCCATTCATCCATTTATCTATTTATTTATTTATTTGCTTATTTGCTTATCTATTTATTTATTTATTTGTTTGTTTATTTGTTTGTTTGTTTATTTGCTGAGGCAATTGGGGTTAAGTGACTTGCCCAGGGTCACACAGGTAGTAAGCGTCAAGTGTCTGAGGTCAGATTTGAACTCAGGTCCAAGGCTGGAGCTCTATCCACTGCACCACCTAGTTGCCCCAATATTATTTATTAAAGACTTGGAGTTACTGGTTTTGTATTTCTAGACTTTGTAACATTCATTTTATATTAATATGTGTGTCAGCTTGTCTGTCCTTTCAAAAGGGACATTTTCAGACTTATTTTATTTAGGTTGTAGCTGACAGGAAAGATGTCCTGAGACTTATGATGACAAAGAAGGAAAGACATGAATGATAAAGAGTGTAAAGAGGTTTTACTTGTGGCCATAGCTAGGACAAGGATACAAAGAAAGTGGAAAAATAGGAATAGTGAATAGTTTTGCCCTTTTCTACTTGTAATTTCATGAATAATGATAAAAAAAGAAAATTAAGCTTTAGAATTATCAAAAGGCAGCTAAATGCCACATTGTACCATAAGTAAGGTGCTGAACTAATACGTAGGAAGATAATTTAGTTGACATTTTTTTCCTCTTTTTTAGGAAATTGCTACAATTGGATATCCTGAAGAAGAAACAGGTAACTTTTAATAGGGAAACTATTTAAGTAACTGTTGATAAACTCAGTGATTGAATGATGGTTGTAGTTGATGAAGGACTTGCTAGAGGATTGAAGCAAAGGACCATATTGATGAGTAAATTCTTTTCCTTTTAGAAGAATTGTATGTTTTTCTTTTTTTGGATAGTCAAATGGGTGACCTACTACATATCCAGAATGTTTTTAACATGGATGAAAGGTTATTGTCATAGCAGATAGTCATTTGATACTATCGAGATTTCTTTTCAAAGGAGTATAATGGCTTTTTTGGTGATGGATTAAACTGATCAAATCATTCAGGATCTGATTTTGATATTTCTACTGTTTCTTTGTAAGATGTTGATAGTAGTATAATAAAGAAGAGGAAGAGTATCTTCAAGTAGATTCTTAAAAAAGTAAATTTAAATAAACTTTGATTTCTACAATGACTCTTTTATTCAGAGTTGGGTAAATTGGTTTGTAGGTGTCAATGATGGAAGCACAGAAGCTGCCATAGCTTTACTTACAATGGGAAATCAGATGTTGCAGTCAGAGACGAGTACTGAAGGTAAGAACAAGATATGTTTTTGGAAGAAAAAGAAAGAAAGAAAGAACTTCCTCAAAAAAACCTATTCTACCATTTTAACAGAAGATGAAATTGTAGTCTTTCACATATCAAAATCATTTTTACCACTAAGACATTATCAGTAGCATGCATTTTGGGTTGCTTTTCTGTTAGTAATATGTGGTAGTTTTTCAGTACTGTGTATCTCCTGTGGAGTTACTAGCCAGAGGTATTGACCATCAACCTCGTAATAGTAGCACTTCTTTTGAATGTGAGGTCTGCCCATACTGGAACAAGGCTTGACACATCTTTGCCCAGATCTTTTGGATAGCAGCAACTGTTCAGTGTCTGTCACAGAAGTAAATCTGTTATAATCACCTTGGCCCAGTTCCATGCCATTCTTTTTGCCATTATTAATAAGTTTCCACAAGGTATATATATAACCACAATGTACCTACATGCTTGGATGCACTTACTTCCCTTAGTTAATGAATTCTAGAGCTGGAGAATACCATAGAGATCATCTAAGCTAACCTGATATTATACATGTGGATCTGAACCCAAAGAGGTTAAAGGATTTGCACAAGATCACATAACCAGTGTAAGAGTTGGGATGGATGAAAACCTAAAATTTCTGACTTCTCAACACTGTGCTTTTCATTGTAAGGTCTCAGGATGTTTATTCATTTTAAAAAATGCTAATTTAAATAAAGATGCATTATTTTTTCTTACAAATTTATTGTAATACTTCCTGAATTCATTAAGAGAGCATATAAAAGCTGAGTTCACAGATTCATTAAATTAACATAGGTTAATTAAATTAACATTAGGTTAGTCTCATGCAATTACACAGTCTGCCATAGTGTCACATTTGTTATTTAAATAAATATCCGTCTTGAAATCCATCTAAATAGGATTTTGTTATGGGCAGCACGAAGGATTCCTTGGGAACCATTCTCAGCAAAATATGTATTTGTTGTGCTAATACCCAGGCCATATTAGGGTAAAGTTCCATTATATAAAAATTGTTAAGATTACATCTTTAAATAATTAATTCTTCATTATAGAGCACTAATAGATCATATGGAATTATTGCTTTATTGGTTATGAATAAATTAATTCATTTGGAAATCTCCTTGTCACTCTCATTTCTTCTGTTTCCATACAATAGGAATAGTGTGTGTGCTTCCTGAAGATGACTTAAGGAGCCATATTTCCACTTCTAACCCAGAGACCTCTGACCACAAAGTACTTCTTGAACATCAAGTTCTTTCTTCACCAGTCTCTAGTACATTGCTTTCAATACTAGATGAAAATAAGAGTATATTAGAGGAGCAAAATACTGGAAAAGAAATGAACATACCTGGGCAAATAAAGGAAAATTCTACACCTTCCAGGTTAATTTCATGGGTTTTTCTTTATAGATCATTTTCTTTTGACTGATAGTGTAAAATAAATGTAAATTACATTGTCATTTAACAATACAATTTGAATTTACTGCTTTAATATAGCAGATAGTATTGAGGCATATTTAATCATAAAATTCAAATCAGAATGAGTATTGATGACATTAGTTTTTTAATTTTGAAAAAAAATTGTTGGTTTCTTGCTCTTAACATTTCACATTGATGGTGTATCACAGTATATTTGAGCCTGTACTAAAATTTATTTAGACTTATCTAAAGTAGTTAGAATATTTTATGAACATTGAATCAAACTTTCTTCCTTACCAGTTACTCCTTGCTGGTAAGTTTGACCTTTGGGAACTAACTATTTTAGACTAATAAGATTAATGTGCTTATAGTGCAGTAAGATATAGGGGCATTTATGAGAAATCTGTGGTTAATGGGTGTTTTTCTTCCTCCTTTCTGTAGTGATCTGTCTTCTAAAAAGACAAGTTCATTGAGAACAAGAAGCAGATTTCCTAAACCTAAGCCAAACCTCAGTAAAATACTTGGAAAAGATAGACATGTTCGTCGGAAAGTTACTAGTCTTCCTGGAACTATGAATCAGCAGGTTGAAATTCACAGTGGTGAGTGTTGTGGTTCTTTTTGTAGGGGATGGAGGTGCTTTTGGCCCCACATTTGAAGTTATGGCATATCAGCATTTGAAATGGAATATTCTATCTGGTGGGAATCTTGCTTTGCTGACTTTCTACCCATTGGCTTTATTTTGGCTTCAGAGCTTTCATTTACAGGCTTTCTCATATTTAAAGGCAGCATTTGTTTCCTCCTAAATCTTTTTGGGGGGCTAGCAATTCTCAGTTCCTTAATTCTTGTTTGACCTGGTTTCTAGTTTCATCCTCATCCTGGTCACATTCTCCTGGACGCATTCTAACTTATCAATGTCTTTGCCAAAATATTGTATCCAGAATACTGTAATATTCCAGATGTGATTTGACCAGTACCAAATTTAGTGGGACTGTCTCTTCTTTCTGTTAATGTAGCCAGAGATGACATTAGCTTCTTTATCAACTATTTCAGCTTTTTTACTCATATTAAGTTTGCAGTTCACAGACCCCAAGATCGTTTTCATATAGTCACATCTCCCACATAGACTATTTGTTTCTTTGAATCCTAGATATGTTAAGAGAAGCATAGATGGTGTCCAGAATGAGGACAATAATAGATATCTGTTGACATGGAGAATACTTTGTTCAATTCTGGGTACCGCATTTAAGCTAGAGCAGAAGAGGCCATCCAGGATGATGAGAGGACTAGGGAATATGCCACATGAGGGTCAGTTAAATGAACTTGGGGCATTTACCTTAGAAAAAAAACTTCAAGGGGAAGTTGGTAGCAGTATTCACTATTCGTATATATATAAAGAAAGGCTGTCATGTGGAAAAGGGCCATATGTTGTATTCCTTTCAGTCTTGGTTTGTTCTCCATGTCCTTGGAGAGTCTGAACTCAGGAGCAGGGGATAGAAGTTGCATAGACGCAGCTGGAGGTTTCATTTCAAGAAACACTTAATAATTAGATCTGTACAAAAGTAGAATGTCCTTCATTGAAAGGTAATGGGCCTCTTTAACAAGCACAGGGTGGATGGCCCCTTGTTACCAATATCATAAAAGAGTTTTAAAAAATTTTACCTTTTATTGATAAATCTTTTGATTTTATATCACCTGAATTTCTAAGCATGTCCTTCTTCTCACTCCATATCCAGCAAGCCTTCCTTAACAACAATTTTAAAAGAAAAACAGAAAAAAGAAGTTTGAGCAAACACACCAACACATCAACGATATCTGATAGTATATGTGGTGTTGTACATCCTTAGTCACGCAGTAGCTCTACAAAGTAGGGAAGGAGGTGTATTTTTTCCACTTTTGTTTAGGGCCAGGTGATTATTATAATTACATAGCATTCAATTTCTTCTTTTATCTTTCTATTTATATTGTTGTAGTTATGTGTATTCTTTTCTTGGTTCTTCTTGCTTCATCTTGCATCAGTTCACATAGATCTTCCTTTGAATTCTCTGAAAGGATTCTTGGTCAAGTACCATTTCAAGTAGGTGGTGTCAGAAATCCCTGCTAACTTTTAAGTTCTGTGGCTTTGCATTTATCACTATTAAATTTCATCTTATTTTCTTCAGCCTAAGAGGCAGCTGGTAGGTGATCTAATCTTGAGTTTAGAATCAGGAAGAATTGGGTTCAGATTGTTCCTCAGACACTTACTAGTTTTGCGCTTTTGTGTGCTGCTTGGTCTGCCTTCCACAATTCTCTGCCCACTCCAGTCCATCCTCCACTCAGTTGTCAAAGTGATCTTCCTGAAGCACTGACCACATCACTCTCCTGTCCCCCTCTCCCTTCCCCTGTCCCCCTACCTCAGTTAACTCCTTTGGCTTCCTGTCACCTCTAGGTTTAAGTATAATATAAACATTAAATAGACTATCCTCTGGTATTCAGAGTTGGTTGTAACCTGCCTTCCTCTCCTCATCTTATATCTTGCTCCTCCCTCCCCCTACCTTCCCCACTGTGCAGATAGATCAGTGGTACTGACCTTGCTGATTCTTATTCAAAGGCATTCCACTTCCTGATTTGGCATTTTTGCTGGCAGTCCCCAGTGTCTGGAATACTCTCCTTTCCTGCCACCTGGCTTCCCAGGCCTCCTTCAGGTCCTAGCTGAATCCCATCTTTGACAGGAAGCCCTTAATTCTAGTGCCTTCCCTCTGTTCATTATTTCCAGTTTATTTTGTTTAAAGCTTGTTTGTATATAGTTGTTTTCATGTTGTTTCCTCCATTAGAAAATGAGCTACTTGAGGGAAGGGACTGTCTTTTGACTTTCTTTGTATCCCTAGTGATATCTGCAACATAGTGGGTGCTTAATAAATGTTTGTTGACTGACTCTTTAAATAGTTCCTTTATTTGTTCCTCATCTGAATCATTTTTGTTTGTATTGTCACCATTTTATTTCTAAATGCATCTCATCTCTTTTGAGCCATCTTCTTTTGTGGAAATAATCAGGTCATCACATCTTACCCATCCATGCTCTGAGTTTTTTGAAATTTCCTTTCCATCTTCATTTTTTAAGATGTCTTGTCACTTCCTTCTGAGATTATGGTTAATTTCTACTTTGCCAGCAATTTCCTTCTTATTATTCAGTATCGTATCCAAAATAGCAGTTCTGCCTTTATCACTTTTACCTTCTAAAGGATGGGGTTTTCAACAAGGCAAAGATGATTTGTGAGGAAAACCATTTAATTACAGTTGTAAGAGTGTAAATAAAAATAGACATCTAGATATTATTTTCTTTTGATGTATCAAGTAATGGAGATCTTGCTGGGGTCATTTCATCTTTTAAGAGGACAGTGTGGTCAAGAGGGCTCTGGAGGTGGAATAGTACTAGACTTGGAATAAGTCTTCTCCAAGCCTTAGTTTATTAACCTGTAAATGGGGGACAATAATACTTGCATTTCATAGAGTTATTGTCAAGATCATATGAATAAATGTATATTAGGTGACTTATAAACTCACTAAAAGTGATATAGATAGATGTAAAATTTTATTTTTGAAACATGGATTTCAGTGTTGCTTACAGGGTGGCCTTTTCATGTAGTATTTAAAAATGTAATTGTTTAAACTAGGTTGGGATTACCAGTAAGACACTGCTTAGCAAGCAATATATATATCACAATATATTAATTAGATTTAGAATTCAGTAATCTGATTAGCTGTTATCATTCTTTTTCCCCTTTGTGAATAATACCATCAGTATTTCTTGTTTAGGAATTGTTTAAAAGAGCTACTGATTGAGTAAGTTATTTTGGTAGGAGTTTAATCAAGAATGTGGTTTTAGTGTAAGCCATCTTATCTTGCACAATATGTTGAATGATTTGTTCTGTTTTTTAAAGAAACAGAATGTATAGCTTCCAAAGGAGCAGTATTGGAAGATACAAACCTAGAATCAAAGATTATTGCAGATGGCTTGATGCAGGCTAGCATGTTGACAGATCTACACAGCTTCGAAGGCACCGATGATGGCAAAGAAGTCAAACAAATAGAAAGGTAAGCAAAAGGAGGGAATTCCATTTATATGGTATAGGCTGTTAAAAGGTACAGGAGATAGAGCACTGAACCTAGTCAGGAAGATTTAAGTTCAAAGCTAGTTTCAGATGCCTACTAGCTGTGTGACTCTGGGCAAGTCACTTAGCCTCTGTCTGACTGAGTTTCCTTAACTGTAAAATGGGAATGACAATAGCACCTGCCTCCCAGAGTTGTCATGAGGATCAAATGCAAATTTGAAATGCTAAATAAATGCTAGCTAGCTATTATTAGCAATATTTATAAAATGGCATAAGTTTTCCAAGCTGCAGTATTGATGGAAATATCATTTAAGCCTAAAAATAAATAATTGGGTGTTCTGTGAAAATAACTGGTTATCTATTGTATAGCAGAAATATCATTGAACTGTGAGTAAAAGAACCCCAGTTGTAATTCTGGCTTTGCCACTCAGTGGCTGTCTGACCTTGGGAAAATAATTTTTCTCAACATTTTTCTCAACAGTTTAAAATATAAGAATTAATCTAGATTACTCAAGGCCTTTATGCCAGTAAAATTCTGTGATTTTATACCTATTCTTCCATAAATTTTTTACTTTCAGAGAAGAAAACCAGGACAAGGAGTCTCAAGAGTCTCAAGTGGTACCTCCCACTCCACTAGCCAAGACCATTTCAGATGACATGAGTGGTAATCTCACTAAGACTCCCACTGGAGAATTTCCTAGCCATAGTGATGATGGACACAACTTATTAATGACTCATTTTACCCAGGTAAAAAAATATCTAGGCTTTCCTTTTATCCTGAACTCCTTTCAAACTGTAAGATTATTGTACTGTGATAGAATTTTGTTGAAATAGGAGCATATTTCTTCTTTTTTAGTCCTAGAAATGAAATAGCAGATGTTCAGTCAGTTCTAGTAATTTGTTTTATATTGAAGTGCTTTGAATCTGGTAATGGCAGAATGGAGGTACTGTATACTGCTGTTTTAAACACTTACATCTGAAGTTAATTTTTGGCTTTGCTAGATTGTTTGAGAGATATTTTAGTTTGGATGTTTAAAGGTAAGCATGGATGAGAAGGAGTTGAAAGGTATTTGTTAAAAAGAACAAATAGACAAAGTGCTCAAATTGTCTTTCCCCTGCCTTCATTCTGAACTTCACACAATCAGTTCCTGTTAAATTGATTATTAAATGCGTGGAGACTTGCTGAAGGTCATAGGCTTATTTGTTATGCAGGATTATTCATTTTATGCTTTTAAAAAAAATAATAACCCTATAGCCAGTTCTTTGTATTTATTGGTCCACTTAACAAAATTTGGAAATCTCTATGTAAAACACTTCTTTGTAATGATATTCATTGAAATAAGATTTTACTCAATTTGGGTAATTACGACCTATCAAAATCTTTGGAAGTGCTTAGATTATAATGTTCCAGTTGATAGAAAAACACACGTATTATGATGCACTCACACACATAGTAAGTTCATATAAATTCTTCGCTCTGTCTCTGGACTTGTGGTGATTTTTTTTCTAACTCCCTATGTGTCTGGGGAGAACCTGAACCTAGTTTCTCTCACATCTTATCCATGCCACAGTTCCCAGCAGTCACAGATTGATAAGGGCCTCTGTAGCAGGTTGATCTGTCACTTTCTCTGTCCTTTACTCCCTATTGCACCCAGAGCATTCTGTGTGTTTACTGATTGAAGTGTTTAATAATGGGACTATTGTCAGAAGCTAATGACCATATTCCAGAGACTGGATGAGAGGTAAGTTTCTTTCCCTGCATAACATTTTTCTCTGTCAAGTTGGTACTTGCTGTGTAGAGGAGAGAAGGTTTAGGACCACTATCTCAATTACTTCATTGGATAGAAATCATTTGGGCAGTTTAGTCAGCATACTTAGAGTAAAAATACTTCTGTTTTCACTCCTAGGTCTCTTTATGTGTATGCACATACACACACAATTAAATAAATGGAAAACATTGGCAAAATGAAGATTTTTAAAATTTTTTAACATTTTAAAATATTTTGGGTTCAAATAACTCCATGAATCCAGATCTAGTGGCTGTTCATTGTGTCATTTTGTCCTAAAATAATTTTTCATTTTGCATTTTTATAGCAGTGTATGTTGAATAATGCTGCAGAAGTTGAGCAGCAGAATGTAAGCATCCCAGATGGCATAGCAGGTATGACACACTATTTCTAGAAAGTGATTTTTTTTGTTTGTTTGTTGTTAAGTTGTTTCAGTTGTGTCCAACTCTTCGTGAAACCATTTGGGATTTGTTTTTTTGACGAAGATACAGGAGTGGTTTGCCATTTCCTCCTCCAGCTCATTTCACAGATGAGGAAACTGAGGCAGAGAGGGTTAAGTGGCTTGCACAGGGTCACACAGATAGTGAGTGTCTGAGTTTGGATTTGAATTCAGGTCTTCCTGACTCCAGGCCCACTCTATCTATTGTGCCACCTAGCTAACCTATGTATAAAGTGATATATTACCCATATTTTTACCTTGATAATTTACCTTTATTTGGGCCCATTAAAAATAAATATTTTTTCATTCATAGGAACTATTCTTTTGTAAATGATGAAGTGAGTTTTAAATCAGGAGTCTTAAATTTCCCTCATCTTAGTGAATCATGTTTTTTTAAAATATTTTATTTTCTTCCCCAGTTACATGTAAAAACAATTTTTAACATTCATTTAAAAAAAATTTTGAGTTCCAAATTCTTTCTCTACCTCCCTCATTGAGAAGGCAAACAGTTTGATATGGATTATACATGTGCAGTCATGCAAAACATTTCCATATTAGTCATGTTGTGAAAGAAGACAAAGACAAAAAAAGCCCAAGAAAAATGAAGAAAATAAAGTATGCTTCAGTGTGCATTCAGACTCTATTTGTTCTTTCCTTTTTTTTTCTTCTTTTTTTGAGTGAGACAGTTGGGATTAAGTGACTTACCTGGGGTCACACAGCTATTAAGTGTCAAGTGTCTGAAGCTGGATTTGAATTCAGGTCCTCCTAACTCCAGGGCTGGTACTCTCTTCACTTTGCCACCTGGCTGCCCCTCTGTTTTCTCTCTGGGGATGGATAGTATTTTTTTTTACCATAAGTCCTTCAGAATTGTCTTCGATCATTGTAACTGCTAAGAATAACTAAGTCATTCACAGTTGATCATCATACAATATTCTGATTACTGTGTACAGTGTTCTGGTCCTTCTCATTTCGCTTTGCATCATTTCATGTAAGTCTGTCCAGGTTTTTCTGAGAGCATCCTGCTCATCATTTCTCGGTTTTCCCACATCCATGCTAGCATTTGTCATTTTCCTTTTCTGTCACATTAGCCAATCTGATATGTATGGAGTGGTAGCTCAGAGTTAGTTTAATCTGCATTTCTCTGATCAGTAGTGATTTAGAGTATTTTTTCACATGGCTTTTGGTAGATTTGATTACTTCTCTTAGAAAACTGCCTGTTCATATCCTTTGATCTGTCAATTGAGGAATGGCTCTTATTTCTATAGAGTTGACTCAGTTCTTTGTATATTTGAGTAATGAGGTCTTTTTTTTTTTTTTGCTTTTTTAGGCAATTGGGGTTAAGTGACTTGCCCAGGGTCACACAGCTAGTAAGTGTCAAGTGTTTGGTCTGAGGCCGGATTTGAATTCAGGTCCTCCTGACTTCAGGGCCGGTGCTCTATCGATACACTGCGCCACCTAGCTGCCCCTGAGTGATGAGGTCTTTATCAGAGAAACTTACTGTAAATTTTTTTTCACAGTTATGATTACTGTGTATTTCCCTCCATTCTATTTTCCCCATTTATCCTTCCTTCTCTCTTACTTTCTCTCTTTTTCTCTCTCCTTCCTTCTCTCCTTCATCCCTCCTTCCTTCCTTTCATGCTGTCTGTTTTCAAAAGTGTTTTGCTTCTAATTACTGTTTTCCCCAATCTACCCTGCCCCAAACATATATACTCTCTTCTGTATAGGTTTCATATATAGGTTTCTTTTCTTTTTTTTTAAAGGCAATTGGAGTTAAGTGACTTGCCCAGGGTCACACAGCCCTGTGTGTCAGGTGTTTGGTCTGAGGCCGGATTTGAACTTAAGTCCTTCTGACTTCAGGGCCAGTGCTCTGTCCACTGTGTATATAGGTTTCTATACCCAACTGAGTGTGTATGTTATTCCCTTTTGGAGCCAGTTCCAATCATCTTTCTTTTTGAAATACTGCCATTTGTACTTTGTATGAACCTTTTTGCTAAGGCTAATTTGAATTATGAGAAAATTGCTAATTCATCCTAGCTCAGATTTTCATTACTGACTGTTCAACTTTGGTAGTGAATCTGGTTGCTGATGAACATCAAGGAGAAGAGGAGCAGACATTCATTTTAACACTGGTGGAAATCCCAACAGACTCAGTAGAGCAGTTTGCTGGTTTGTCGGATTCATTAACTTCTGGCCCTCTACTGCCAGCACCCATATTGGTCAAACCAATGAATAAAGAACAAAGGGGAGACCTGAGGTAAATTGTGAGAAACACTATTTTTGCTGAGTTTTTTGGGAAGACATTAACAAATATATTTTTAAAATGAAATAAGCTTAGTTGAAATTTTATTTGTAGTTATCTTAAATATTTTATTTTAGCTTCTTGATGGACAGCTGAAGAGGAAATGTATTATGACCATTCTTATATTTGTTTAAAAAAAACCATTTGGGTGTTAATGTTTTCTTATACATCCCTTATTCTGATTTCTTCCGAAAAGTGTTAGATTTTCCTCTAACCTACATAGGATGTTCCAAAAGTCTTAGTGAAATTTTAACTTTGAAGCTTAGAGTTATTAAAAGCTGCTTTTAAGCTGCTAAAGCTTAAAACTGCCCTAAGATTTTTGGGATTTTTTGTATAGTCTTTGATAAATGATATTAGAAATCAAAATGTCAGAGATGGAAGAGAATTTGGAGGTATTTAAGTCAAATTTTCATCATTTTGAAGATACTAAACATTTCAGATTTGAATCCAATACATAAGAATTCAAGTTGAGATCATGCCTTAAATTGGAATATAATTAGAAAGCAGAATTTTGTAGTAGTCTGCATAATTTTTCATCGTTTTTCATTGGAATTACACTTAGCACATTATAAAATTATAAAATCCAATTTATTTTAACTGCAGCTTGAATTTCCCAGTTATAGTAACAGTGTTCCACACATTTTTCTAGTTACGGAAACAGTATGCAGCCATCCTCTGAAAAGCCTCCAACTGATTTGGATCTGACATTTAGTGAAACATTTGGTCACAGCCTTGAAGAAAGCACTAGCCTGATTGCTCCTACAAATGTTAATGTTTCTACTTTAGGAGAGGATTGTCAGAAAATCACTTCTGAGGTAAGAGAACCGTTAAGGACCTGAGGTGACTATATTCTGTCATCTCTTTTTCTGTTTGTATTTTGAAATCTACTAAATATACATGGAGAGACAAAAGTAAACAGTAGGTACTACAGCTATTAAGCACTCTCCAAACCTTGAAGTATGATACAATGTCAGCTTTTATTATTAGATGTTCATGCATGTGGAGAAAAATAATGCGAAAGGAACCTTCTCAAAGGGAAGGTTGAAGAGCAATAATCTCTCTCTAGTAGAAGACAAATTAAGATAGTATTTGTGCTCCCCTGAAAGGTAAATTGAATAATAAAGCTGTGAATAAAGCTCATGTTTTTCCCTGCACAGCTGTATTGAGGGTTGCATCTACACTGTTTATTAGTTTGTGTACTTGAGTGAATAATCTGAACTAATCAAGGAAATACATAAGAGAAAGAGAAAATGGTTTGGCTGTGTGGTAAGCCCAAGGGAAATGTGGTGGATCAATCGTGAGATGGACTTAGGGAAGATGTGGACAAAAATCCCATAGAATTGGCATGTATAAATGAGTTGCAGTATGTGTCATTGGGAACTCCCTTCTCATTGAGATCACAGATCCATTTGAGTGTCTGAGTATTATTACCTGATGTTTCTTAAACTAGTGATAGAACATTCTGGACATTCAGAGAACAAAAAAAAAAGTGGGGAGGAATTAATTGTTTGCTGAAGAAGTGTGAAGATATTAAATACAAATGGCTTGCTTTGATAATTTTCAGGGTTACATGGAATAAGATAAGCCTTGTGACATACCCTTACAGTGCCCAGACTTACATACCAGTCTCCTTTTCTCATTGTATATTCCTTCTTAGAACATATTAGGGGAAACAATAGAACTAAACCTCCTTTGGTGGTTCACTTTGGATACATCCTTTGTTTGCCAAAGACCCAAAGCAAAGCTTTATGTTACTGGGCTCCGCAGAGGCAGCATGGTAAAGCAAGAGGGAAAGTGCTTACCATTTAAAGTTAGAGCAAATGATCTCGAGTCTCCGCCTTGTCACTTATTTTACCTCTTTGACCATAAGCAAGTCATTTAACCTCTCTGGGCTTCAGTTTCTTCATCTGTGGACTGAGGAAGTTTGTCTAGATGACTTGAGGTTATATAAATGGTAACATCCATTTGTTAGGTGACTGGCCTGAACTAGGGTAAATTCTTTAAATTCATGGAACACAGTTCCAATTTGGAATTGAACCTGTAGCCTTGATTATCAGCATTATACTCTAGTCATCTGAGCTGGCTTTTTAGAAGATATTTTGTTATCTCATTTAAATTGCTGAACTAAGGACAAAATAATACATTTTAACTTTAATAACATTTATTTAAAACAGGTGTCCTCAGAAGAATCCACAGATGTGTACAAGAATGCTACAGGTGAGGGATTTGGTGTTTACGTTTTGCTTATAATCATGAATGACCTTAATCTAACTGGATATTTCACAAACTTGAGTTAGTCCTTTGAAAAAGAGTCATGGTGATCTAGTTATTAGCCAGCCTTAGACATTGTGGTACAAATGAGGCCTTTGCCTGGTAATACTATGATATTATTAATATCTGCTAACTTTCCTTTTGGGATATTAGCAACATTCTTCTGTTCTTCCCTTTACATTGGGATTAAGAGTGCTTCTGTTGCCTTCCACAAAGCAGTTTGCTAGTAGTAGCATCTTGTGTTAGCCCCAAATCAAATAATTATCAGGCTTTTTTTTTTTTTTGCCCTGAAGCCAAATTTATGCTGGACGGTCCTAGTTCATACTCCCAATTTTAAAGAGTTTTCTTTATTCCCTGGAATCATCCTGAAGATTCATGTTGGGACTAGTAAAAAGCATTTGGGCTTGACTTTCTCCTAAAGAATTTTTGGTTCCAATATTTTTACAACAGTTCTTTGGGAAATCTATATCAAATTGGCATTTGGTGTCCCTCTCCCATTCCCCTCTATATGTACCTCTTTCCTTTCCATACTTCTTTCTTTTTCTCCCTTTCCCTTTTTCATTTCTCTTTTCTAATCTTTTCCTTCTTCTTTCTCTGCCTAATCTTGGCCTATCAGTTGTGCCTGAAGTCATTGCTTAATAATGTTTGAGATATTTAGAACCAAGGAAGTTGCATTTTTTAAAAAATGTGGATAGAGTGGTGTGGTGAAGACTTGGATAGCTAGTGATGTACCTGATTTTGCAAGGCCTGTTAACCATTTTGGCTTCACCTTCATTCTAAAAATTCAGCTGTTTTCAAATTCCAAAGCTAGAATGACTTGTCAATGATTGGAAAGTCCTAATACTATACAAATGATAAGGCTTGTTTTTTGGGTTTGCCCTACAAACAAACACACACTCATATTTAACACAAAAATATTACATAGTATCCGTCACCACTTTATAACTAGATCATTTACAACATAGGTTTTTAGTAACCTTTGTCTCTATTTTTATGGAACTTTAGCATTACTAGCCTATAAAATTTTCATTATGTTACTGGTTCATGGTACATATTTAATCAGAAATTGTCATGGGAAGGAAAGAACTTTTTAAATTATGTTAAGTTACATTACATAAGGATGAACCAATGTGTCTCTTTATTTTGCTTACATTTCAACTAATTTGGTTGAGAAAGATGTTGGAATCAGTGGCTGAATGGAGCTTTTGATACTCTGAAAATTTCCGTATCTGTAATATTTCTGCTCTTAATGACTATCAAATTGTTAAAAATGACAAAATTTGGGAATAGTCAGTGTTGGAAGGGCTATGGTAAGGTAGGGTCATTCATCAGTGTACTAGTGTGGATCTATCAGTTGTCACAATTATTCTGAAAAACAGTTTGGGAAAATGTGACCGTATTGTTTGACCTAGAGATTGCACTGTAAGACCTATACTTCCAAGGAGGTCAAGACAGAAAAGCTCACATTCTAGTGAGACAGACAATATGTAAATAACAAAGTACTTACAAGATGTACTGAGAAGATTAAAATTGATCTTCTCTCATTTTGTTATAGATCCTATTTATAAGTAATTTATTTTGCCCTATAACTGCTCCAGTTATGGTTCTTTGTTTTTGAACTTAGTTCAGACTTCAGCTGGCCTACAATGGGTTAAGTTTTAAAATCTAGCTTTCTTGCCTCAAGGAATTTAACTCACCTTGGTGAATGTGTGAGCAAGCAAGGAAATTTGGGCCTGAAATTTTTATGCCACCAAGTTGTCCTTCAAGGATGTCTTGTATGCTGTCCAAAAATCTGGGCTGCTATCTTGTACCTAGATTCAAACAATGAGCATTTCTTAATCTCATGAGAAAAGAAGTGGGGTTTTTGCTAGCCCCCATTACCAAACTTCCAACCAATCATGTTGTTCCCTGAACCTCAGCTCTGTAATCAATCATGTTGCCCTTCATCGGATGATTTTGTCTTCTTTGCTTTGTACTCTCTGAAAACCTATATGAAGGTAAATGTGCTTTTGCTTGGGGGTCTTTGGCATTAGTGGAGGCAATCCATTGACTTATTTATTAGCCTCTGCTAATAAATGTTATCTTGCATGGTGATTTGCCTCAGTTTACCCTTTTGTTAAAAGTCAGTCACCACAGTATGCAGAGTAAATGGAAGGCAATCTTAGGGAGCATGCATAGGGATCAGGAAGTATCAGGATAAGCCTCCTGCAGAAGGTAGGATTTGAGCTGAGTCTTGAAGGAAGCTGGGGAAGCTCTTAAGGCAGAGATGACGAGGGAGATGATTCTGGGTATGGGGATGTGGCCAGAAGAAAGGCATAGTCTGGAGATGGAGAGTTGTGTGTTAGATCTAGCACCTAGACCAGTTTAGCTGAAGAGTAAAGATTGACAAGGCAGAAAAAGAAAAAGGGGCTAGATGGTGAAGGGCTTTAAATGCCTGAGGCCTTTCTACTAGATCCTGGAGGTGATAGGGAGTCACTGCATTTTGTTGAGTGAAGAGGTGACATGGTCAGATGTGCCTTTTACGAAAATCACTTTGGCAGCAGAACAGAGAATTGAGCAGAGGGGGGAGAGACTTGAGGCAGGATTGCAGTAATCCTGATGAGGTCTGTACTGAGGATAGGGAAGTGGGAAGACCAGCTGAATGAGTGGAGAGAAGGGGATGGAGGCAAGAGTTATTTTGAAAGTAAAAACAAGATTTAACAACAGATTGGGTAAGTGGGGTGAATGAAAGTATGGAGTTAAGGATACTATAACTGAGCTTCAAGCCTGAATGACTGGGAGGATGGTGGTTCCCCTTTGACAATAGTTAGACAGTTGGGAAGATGGCAAGGGATGAAAAGAAAGATAAAGAGCTTTGTTTTGGACATGTTGAATTTGAGATGCCTGTGCGACATCCAATTCAAGATGTCCCAAAGGCAGTTGGTGATGCAGGACTGTAGCTTAGGAGAGAGACTAGGGCTCAATCTTAGAAACATCTACATAGATTGGGGAATGATTAAATTAATTGTGGTACATGAATGTAATAGAATATTTCTGCAGTGTAAGAAATGGTGATTATGAATAAATGTAGAGAAACATGAGAAGACTTAGATAAACTGATAGAAAGTGAAGTAAGCACAACCAGGAAAACTACTTGCATAATGGCCACAACAGTGTAAATGAAAACAACAAAACAAAACTGAATAGTGTGTCATTATAATGACCAAAGCTTGGCTCCAAAGAAAAATGTTTCTATAAATGTTTTGGCACATACGAGACCCTCTGTCTTGGACCTGAGTCAGAGGGTAGGTACATCATTTACTTTCATTGTGGTTGGTGCATTTTTTTTTTTTGCACAGAAACTTTAACCATTTTCCATCTTAATCAGTTCAGCTTATTCTGAATGAACTTTTAAAATGTTCCACAATAGTTCATTGTAGCTTATAGTGAACTAGATATATGAGGATTCTTACTATCAGTTGCTGATATTTTTAAAGCAATTCAGATCATTTGAATAAATACATTTCCTGAGTAACTTGCTTCATTGTTTGAACTATTTTTTTGTGTCTTCTGAAGGAGAGTCTTATGAAAAGCAGACAGTTGTCCCTGTCTTGGGAAGCACATCTATAATTGCAGAACCTCAGAAGACAGAGAAAGAGCAGTCAGAACCCAGTGTTCAGGCTTCAGGACCTGAATCTTGTGAGGAGGTGACATGTACTCAAAAAGAAGAGAATGTTCCTCATTTACCTCCAGATGAGAGTGTGGTGTCTGACAAGCAGGAAAGGAGTGGGGCTTCCCATCAGTTAGAACAGAGAAGCAAGTCATCGTCTTTGTTTTCCAGGTATTGTGAGGAAATCTCTTAATTGTAATAACTGTTTAATTTCTCTTTTAATTTATCAAACAGATGTATCCTTTAAATAGATTAAATGTTACTGTGAAGGATAGTTGGCAACTTTCAACTCCCTTCTTGACCTGAAGTAAAGGAGTTTGGGGCACATAAACAAGAGAGTCATTTTATCTTTCTTTCCAGACCCGGCCGAAGACCCCTGGGATTTTTATCTTTGATATGTTCAGAGAATAATTTGGAATCTGAAGAAGCCACACTAATGAATAGTCAAAAGCGTTTGAAACCTATTATACCTGTCTCAAGGCATAATTTTAGAAGACCAGCTCAACTGAATGAAAGCAAGAGAAAAAAGCAAGACTCTTGTCCTCTTCCACCCACAAGTGCTGAGTCTCCTTCTGAAGCCAGTACTGTTAGCAGCTCAACACCTCAGGTATGGGTAGTTACTTCTGTGTTTTATTGCTTCTGTGTGACATGTACTCAATTAAGAAGGAACATAATGATTAACAGTGATGGATCTTTTTATGTGAATATCAGCAAAGGCTACAAAATAAAACTGAAAAAGGAGAGGAAACATGTTTTTTTTAAATTAGGGAGTTAGTCTTGCAGAGATTTCTGGGTCAAAGCCACTGATCTAATCAAAATTAGGAGCTTTGATGTGATTTCTTTAATACTCATAAGCAGTAAAAGAAGAAAGTGGTGTCTGATTGTTTATCTGAGGGAGCAGAAGAGGAAAGAGTAATTGTTAGCTCATGTATATTGTTTAAAACTTGCATTTGCCTTACAACTAAATGTTTACTCAATTTCTATTACTGAAATATTTTTATGATGCAATACCATCATTCATTTTTAGAGGCACTTTCTATATGTCTGAAAATGTCCTTGCTACTTTAAATGCCAGTAGCTGGCACTCTTGATTTTTCTGGGGGGCACTCTACTTGATTTAAGTATAGTATATATAGTTTATATGTTATGCCTTTAATATGGTAGAATAATTTCATTGAATGCCTCCTCAGATTGTAATCTGTTTTGTTCTAATTTCTTGTATATAGTCCTAAGAATTTCCATCTGCAATATGAAGAGAAGATAAAGATAGTAAATCTCAAAAATGCAGAATTGAAACAATTTGCTTTAGCCCACACAACCTAACTAGTATATAGTCAAGAAAAAGCTCTAAGAAAATCCAGATTTTGTAAGAAATAGAGTTATTCCAAGAAAACAGTAGCTTTGTGCTTTAGTGTTGTGTGATATTTTTAAAAAAATTTATTTTTATTGCTATATTTTCTACATTGCCTCTATTGCTACATAAATTTCCCACACCCCAGTTAACTTTCTTTTATACCAAAGATTTAAAAAGAAAGCAACTGAAGTGGTCTGGCAAAACTTGTCAGCACATGAACTGACAGTATTCTATAATGTAATACTTTTCAATATTTATTTTCTTGCATTATTAGGTTTCCTGTGATCAGTCATTTGAGGAAGAAAAGTGTAAAAGTGATCAAAAGGTGGAAACTGAAGAGGAACCAACCAAAGTCACTGAATATTTTTTTAGTGATATTTTTATGGAAGTGGATGAAACAGAGCAAAACTGAAGCTTTTTACAAAGCTTGGGATTTTAATTCTCAATTATAGCAACAAAAGCAGTATTTAGCTAAAGGATCACTGTTGATTTTTCTTGGGTTTGTTTTGTATTTGATGAACTTGGTCTTGAAGCTTTTAAAATCACTGGAGTACATTATGGATATTTCCCTCAAATTAGTTGAGTCAAGCAGTTAAGACTGGTTTATCAAACGGATAATGACTCTTGTTTACACTTTGACCCTCCTCCTGTGCTGGCCACATGTGGACACTTTGTGGTGTCGCAGATAAATGCCTTTTCAATCGTAGGCCTAAAGTCTTTGGAGGTTGATTGTATATAACATTTAGTGAACACTTCTTTTTGTGAAGTAATTTCTTGGTAGGGGCCTTTTAATTTGCCTCTGTAAGTAGATGGAAGCAGATTGTGAAACTTTAGAAAATGGCAAAGAAACAGCCACTTTCTATTATCAGCTATTTCTCTGACTATAAATATGTATTTTTGTAATAAAAGAATCCATATTGATGTAAGATTGATGGTTCAAATTGAAAAGTAAATATTTAAGTTCAGTATTTGTACAGAGGTGAAACATCAAAGAGCTTATTTATTTATTTTTTATTTATTTATAAGAATGCTGTTTTGTTTTAGTCTTTTCACCTGAGACTTGTGGGTAAGGTAGAAATGAATGTATATATCCAATTAGGAATCTCTTCCTTAATTTTGAAGCCTTTGACCATGATTATTATACTGGATTATGTTTGGTCTCTTGGGAGTTGTGAAGCCAGGAGGATTTTCTTCATATCTTACTTGACTGACTTGGCTCTCAATGGCATTTTAGATGGGCTTTTTAAAAAAAGAAATTCAGGATAAGCACATTCTTTCCAACAAGAAAAATCTTGCATTTTATTTCTAGCTGGTTAGGCAAAATTCCTTCCACAAGTTGGTGATTGTAAATTGTAAGTCTTTGTTGCTGCTTCTTTCTTCCTCCACCAGATTCTACATGAACAATTTGACTTGTGATTAAAAAAAATTTCTAATAGATATCAATTAGACAATTGAAATGAAGTCATAAGCTCTGTTTTCAGTGTAAATTCTTGGTCAGTTATTACACTTAAGAGTTGTAATTTCAAGGTCTAGTGATTCATCTTCATAATCTAGAAATTGCCTCAATTCCCCCCCCCACCTTCCTCCACCTCCCCAGCAATTCTGATGAAACCTTTCAAAGGATATTTCTGGTTTTGTTTGAATAGCTTGTTTTTTAGTCTCCCATTAATTATTTTGTGTTTGAACTTATGAATCTTTCCTGAAAGTAAAAGTCTTCAGAATGTAAACTGAAAGCTGCATTTCACATAGAAAAAAATGAATTTCCAAATCTGCTACCACCTACAAAAATGTCCTTATTCTTTATATCTGGCTAACAATTAATAATGAAACATACTACTTTACAGTAAGGAGAAAAGTTATACGTAGAAAAATAGTTATATAAAGTTCTTATGTAAGGTATACATTTACTGTGAAAATTGTGTAATTGAGGAAGGGGACCAGAATGCAGAATCTGGAACTGCTGCAGTCTAGAGGAGGAGTCCCAGAACCTGTGGAAAAGACATCCAAGCACCATTAAGAATTGTATAGTCTTGAGTTTAGGCTGGGAGAGAGGAGGAGGGCTGGTGGGGACTGATTACAAGATTCCTAACTTAACTTCCTCTTTCTTCTCTCATGATAAAGGCAAGGCAATGAAAAACCAGTAAAACTAATCATAGGCTACACTTAGGTTTTGTATAAGCCAGATTTGGGGGAAAAATGATTTTGACTCATATTAAATTCCCAAGAAAATTTTTCTTCCGTAGTGACTACTGCTTTTGTATGACCCATAAAAAGTGGAAGCGTGAGCCTAAAGTCCGTGAGATAGGAACACAGTTAGAGGAGAGACCTGCAAGTCAGAGTGAGGATTCTCTCCACTCAGGCATGCATGCATAGGTTTTTCATGCAAATAAGCATCATATATAGAAAAATCATGATAGTTATCACATTGCTTTTCTACTGTGGTATTTTTAAAAAAATCTTAACCTAAATTTCTTTCTCTCTGAATTTGTTTTCAGGATTAGATTGTATGATGGAACAGTAGTTTAATTTACCCCTTGTAGACTTATTTTTATGAACATGAACGTTGCCTCTTACAAATTTCATTTGTAAACAGCAGCTTTTGGGGAAATGTTATGTTTTACTATGTATGCAGTGGGTTTATCTGATTGTTCTAAAGAATCAAGTCAGTTGGTTAAATAATCTTATGAGAAAAAGTGATCTCAGAGGAAGAGACATTAAAGTAAATTTAGTGCTACCATGAAAATGAAAAGATTTATTCACAAATATTTTAGACCTCAGCCAGATTCAAAGGGTTTCAATTTTGTATTTTAAAAAATGTTAATTACAGAAAATATGATTAAGTATCTTTATCTTTCCCTGTGGAATACAAAGACTTTTTTTTTCCTAATTGCCACATAGGTCAGACTGTATGTCCTATCTCGAGATGCAGTTCTGAAAATAGGAAGTGATTATTCTAAAGGAAAAAATTTCAGGAACGATCAGTGCAGAAACATAATTTTTTTCTGTCAACACCTACTAGTTGCATACTTCTGATTTGAGATAGAAGTGATCATCTATACTATGTTGCCTAACAGTTTATTGATAAGCATGGAAAAAATGCTCATTTGTAAACTTTCTTGTTTCAAAGAAAGTGATGATCTTTCATAAATGTAAATTATGTGAATAATAAAGTAATTTTATACCACTCATTCTCTATCCTTTCAATATTAATTTTAGAAAGACTAAATAGACTTGTTTATTATAATAAACCACAAATGGAGGACTGCTGGTATTTTCACAACTACGGTGCATGGTCATTTTCCTTCCACCATGAGAAAAGCCAAATAGGAAGAATTTTATATTTATAGTTAATCTCAGATTGATATGGAGGAATTAAAGCCACCTTGTACAGGTTTTTTTTTCCTAGGTTCAGATTCCATTTCTGAAGCTAGTTGTATAACTGTGAGCAACTTAACCTCCCAATTTCACTCTCCTCGTTTGTAAAATGGGGTTAAAAATACCTGTAGTGCCTCCCATAAAAGGTTGTTTGTGAGGATCAGATGAGATTATATACATGAAGTACTTTGCAAACCTTAAAAATACTACATAAAGTCTTTTTTTGGAAAGCATGAGGTATATATTCCTTATTTTCTTTTGGCTTGTTTTCTGCTTATTCTGAAGAAAAATGGATGTGAAGTTTCAAATATGAAATGTAACTCCTCCTTTAGAGGCAGGCTTAGTTGGATGTTCAGATGAAATGAGGCACTCGCATCATTGTACATGTAAAAGAAAGTTTACTTTGTTCTAAAAGCAAGGATATAGTTACTCTTAGCTTCTTTGTATTGGAAACATGAATGGTCAACAGCAGAGTATGGTAACTGTCAGTGGTCTTCAAAAATCCACCAGATCGGGGCATCTAGGTGGCACAGTGGATAGAGCACTGGCCCTGGATTCAGGAGGACCCGAGTTCAAATCCAGCCTCAGACACATAACACTAGCTGGGTGACTGTGGCAAGTCACTTAACCCCATTGCCTAGCCACCAAAAAAAAAAAGCCGCCAAATCAAAGGGACTTTTCATGCCCTTCAGTGGCTAGGAGGCTGCCAAAAGAGGCAGGTATCAGTCAAGTTCCAGGCACAATTTTGTTGTCTTTTAGGGAAAACTAATTCCAGTTACAAGGAAGATAGAGAAATGATCCTTTCTAATGTCACATCTGGAGAGCTTCCAGCTGGAGACTATCTTTTCTTTTCTTTCTTTCTTTCTTTTTTTTTTTGGTGAGACAATCAGGGTTAATTGATTTGCCCAGGGTCGTATAGCTAGTAAGTGTGAAGTGTCTGAGGCCAGATTTGAACTCAGGTCTTCTTGATTCCAAGGCCAGAGCTCTATCCACTGCGCCATCTAGCTGCTCCTATCTTTTCTTTTAATAGTTCCCCTGTGTCATCAGCTCTTCCAGCTCAGAAGCCAATAAAGAAAGGGACTCTTGGTGATGAATCATTAATGGCTGGAAGGTTACCCTACCTCTTCAATTCCTTGTAATTCCACTCCTTACCTTCCCAGTTAGCACATGGCCAATCAGAAGTAGGCACAGACTATCTGCATATTCTGAACAAACCCATGTTACACTTTAATCCTTTTGTTAGGCCTCACAACTGCTCTTAGGGATCCTGTGTTCTTTCTTTCTCTTTTCTAGGATTCTGATTGTAGTTATTATAAAAGTATTCTCTTCTTCTTGAGTTTTCTCCTAGTATTTGCTTACCCCATAATATTTATTGTATTAGGAGCTTTTCTCTGGTTGCTTATTTTCCTCATTTTCTCTACTGTATTTTTTTTTTTTCTCCTTTGGGAACTTCCTCTTAGATTTCTTTTCATTCTCTTTTTTTTTATTTGGGCTAAGCAATGGGGTTTAGTGACTTGCCCAGGGTCACACAGCTAGTAAGTGTCAAGTGTCTGAATCTAGATTTGAACTCAGGTCCTCTGGACTCCAGGGCCCATGCTCTATCCACTGCACCACCTAGCTGCCTGTCATTCTCCTCTTTTAACTGTAGTTCATTTTGTGCATTTCCAGCAAAATATTTTTAGGCAATTGGGGTTAAGTGACTTGCCCAGGGTCACACAGCTAGTAAGTGTTTGCTCTGAGGCTGGATTTGAACTCAGGTCCTCCTGACTTCAGGGCCAGTGCTCTATCCACTGTGCCACCTAGCTGCCCCCATTTCTAGCAATTTTAAGGTGATAAGGTCTCATTTAGGCATCTTGTTAGAATTCCTCTGCCTGTCCTTTTCATTGAAGAATTTCACTAGTTATTTGTCTTTCAGAAATTTTGGCCAGTGTTCCTAAAATGCTATAATTATGGATACCACAATAATTTCCATTTTATCTGGTTGAAATTCAATTTAGTTTTTGGCTATTTAAAATGTTATTTCGTTCAATCCCACATTTCACATGTTACAAAGTATGATCTGGAGCTCATCACACTAATGAGTTGGGTCCCCAGATTGTGGCTATTATGTCCCCTCAGAACTCTACCTTATATAAGTAAACTTCTTTATTAGATTTTCCTTGAGCTTTGTTTATATGAGGAGAAGAGGCGCTGATATGCTCTTTAGGAGAATTACAGGTGCCCTGAGCAAGAGAGGTGGTATCTGGTAGTGGCTAGTATATTGGACCTGGAGTTATGAAAGTGTAGTTTAAATCCTACCTTCATTATTTGTGACGGTTTTTTAATATAACTAGCATTTGGTGGGAAGGAACCCACCCTTTGGATAGAAGCTTCACCGCTTTCTTCTTTATGGGCTAATGACCTGGAAATGCAGCATCAACCTAATAACAAAATTAATTTCCCTAGATTAGCAACATTTTGGGGGACAGGTAGATATGACTCCAGTCTGGTACCCCTCTTTTTGAGGAGAGAAGAGAGGTCAGCCTTGTGCTTCTTTGGTTCCTCTCCAAAGGGATTCTTCCAACGTAGGAATCAAAGTGTCCCTTGAAGAGGGGTGGGCAGGTTTCAAAGGGTCACACCCCCGTATAAGCCTTGCTTAGAGAAATATGAACATACACAACCTATATTTATGGGCAACAAACATAGCCCTTACACTATAAATTGCAGAAGAACTGGTGATCTGTATTAATGGAGCGAGTTTCCATACCAGAAGTTTCTCTGATTCTATCACAGTTATGGAGCAATCTCTCTACCATTCCAGTTGAGCTCATTCCTATTCCTGCTCCTTTCCTCCTCCTCTTTCCTTTGTCCAGAATGCCTTTCAGTCCTCTTTGCTGAAGTAAATCCTATCCAGCCTGCAAGGTCCAACTCAATCCCAGCTATTATGTGAAGCCCACCTTGAGTCCAACTAGCCCAAGCACTCTTTCTCTTAGAGACTGAACTACTTTTGTCCTCATTGTCTATACCTCAGAATAAGTACTTAAATTAATTCTCTTTCCTACTTAAAAAAAATTCTCTGAATTTCCATGTGTAAGTCTTATCCTCTCCCTTATCTTGTATGACAAAGACTTTGCTTTTTGAGAGTAGGAACCACGGCATCTTCTTATTCTTTCCACCCTCTTGCTTTTCCTTCTCTGCATTCCCCCTCCTCTCAGTACAGTGGCTGGCACATAGGTCCTCAGTAAATACTTTGTGCCTTGGCTTGACTGAAACTGAAATTGGAACTACGTGTTTGAAGTAGTGTGGTTGTAGGCTGGCTCACAGAGCATATGTGCACATACTTTTTAATTCAACCATTAAACAGTGAAATTAATTTAAATGCCAGTTAATGTCATTAGTGAAAGAATGAGAGGTGCTCTCCTGGACCTATTCAAAGACAAGAAGTCAATTTGGAAGTCCTGAAAGGGTCACAGAATGAGGCTTTTGCCATTGCCTTGACCAATCCCTTCTATTAGCTCCACATACTTCATTGTGATAAGACAGATTTGAAGACATCCTTGAAATAAATCCAGCTATATTTATTTCTGTACCTTTAGTGAGATGTCAGTGTGACATCCAGATTCAGGGGTGATACATAGGCTTCAGTAACATAGGAAGCTAGCTTCTGGCTGCCCATCTTCCTCATACATCTCCTGGAATAAGTGCAGTGTGTAGGCTCTGTGTCAATCAAGATTTTATTTTGCTTTTTGCCAAGTTTGAAGATGTTGCTGCTGACCATCTTGTTAGGCTGTATGTATGCTGAAAAGGATGCCCCTTGCTCCCAGCATACAAAAACACATGATCCTTTTAGGCTTTCTTAGAGGGACATGGAAACTAGTTAAGAATTATGATAGCTACAAGCTCATAGTGTCCTGTGTACATAATGACTGATTTTAGGCCTTGATTCTTGCCCTCTGACAATGCTTGGGTACACAGTACTATCATCCATCAATTGCTTCATAAATACTTGAGTGAATGCATGAATATAATTGTATTGGTTACAATCCATGATCTGGGTATGGGTGATGAGAGAGAGAGAGAAGAGAGAGAGAGAGAGAGAGAGAGAGAGAGAGAGAGAGAGAGAGAGAGAGACAGACAGACAGACAGACAGACAGACAGAGACAGAGACAGAGAGACAGAGAGAGAAAGAGAGAGACAGACAGAGAAAGAGGGAGATGTGGAAAGAAAGAAGGGGAGAGAGAAAAGAGACAGGGGAAGAAGGGGGAGAGGAAGGAGAGAGGGAGACAGAGAGAGAGACAGAAAGAGATTGAGAGACAGAGAGACATGTGGGGAGAGAGAAAAGAGAGAAAGAAGGGGAAGAGGAAGGAGAGAGACAGAGACAGAGACAAAGATGTGGGGAGAGAGAAGGGGAGAGAGAAAAGAGACAGGGAAAGAAGAGGAAGAAGGAGAGAGAAACAGAGATTGAGAGAGAGGCAGAGAGAGAAACAGAGACAGAAGGACCCAGAGATAGAGACAGACACAGAGTTTCTTTAGTTTCCTCATCTGTAAAATGAAGGAGTTGGACTACTCTAAGTTCCTTTCCAGTTCTAAATCCATGATTTTGTGAACCTCTGTTGGCATTAAATTTTAACCTGTACTCTATAAAAGACACTGATGAAAAGGGTAAAACACTCAGAGATGGCACCACTGTTTTATCCACACTTTGCCACTGCTTTCCAGACCTTAAGGCTGACTTTACAGTTTGTTGTGCAACTCATTATCATTGTACTGATTCTTGAAGAATGTACTTTATCTGTTTAGTTTTCTATCACCATCTTTCTTTCCTTTGTTTA